TGTATTGCGGTCTGTTTACGAAGGCAGAACATGTGCTTCTCTCAGCTCACGCACTCGATACGGCTGAATGGGATTGAGACTGAAACGAACAACGGTGGGACGAATTTTCAACGTTTTTAGTTCCTTTGTGACCTTAGGTCACATGGAACTAATGTAATGGTTCACATGTAAAATGTGTGTATGAGATGTGACACCAAAAGAGGTCAGCATATTTGTAAACAAATAGGCTCCGAAACGGTGCATAGTAGCAGGTATACATGGTGCTCGATAGTTGCTGGTGGACATGCAATTGTGCAAGAAATGTTTGTTTTTTCGGTTAGATGAAAAATGTAGGCTGTAGGCGATAAAACGTATACCCCCTACCACCAGTTTTGAGTCGTTTTTTAGTTGAAAATTTGATTTGCGCATGTGTCGGCTCAAACTTTCCCGACTTTTTGTTTCTGTCGCGAGCTGCCTAGAAAAGTTCTTTACGTTGTTTTCGCGACTGTTAGTAAACATCGAGCAAACTGAGATAGTTGTGGCATATCGGCCACTTACTTGTGCTATTATTTGAAGGTGTTCTGTGTGTTCTATTAGTGTTTTAGTATACTTTAACGGCTAAGATTGACGGACCTGGTGTACCTAGGCCTAGCCTAGACACATACGTAATGTAGGCTTCTCTTTGGGCGACACCGTCAAACCTGGTATAGGCCTAGACACATCTGATATACTGTACTATACCAGTACATAAAGTAGGTTTCTTGGCCTACCACCAGCCTGCCGTCAAGCAATAAAAATCAACATTTGTGGAATTATTTTCCAAGAAATGATGGTTAAAAATTCTGGACACATAAATATGCAGCATGTGATGGACAGACGAACCTAAGGGTTGGCGGGGGCAGCATGTGATGGCAGTTGCTTGATAAGATTCAAAATAATAAGTGACTTTGATGTCTCTAGAGGCCGCCACATGTCATAAGGTCAATCAGGGCAACTTTTCACCCGCGAGATGAGACAACAGGCTAGGCTGCTGCATGCTGCTGGAGGCGTGTATAATAGCACCTCCTGCCAAGGGTAGTGGGGAGATAGCGAAGCATTGTATTTAGGCCTATACCTGTCTCTTATACACATCTATACGGCTGAATGGAGTTTGAGAATGGAACAATGATGATGGGACAGGTTTTTAAACATTTTGAATCATTAAATGATTACAGTAAATTACTTAATTTAGGATTATTGATAAAGAAAAACACAATTTACGTTGAGAGGGACCATTATTCAGCAAATGTATGGGCTGTACATTGTCAATAATTTGAGAATGTGCCACCCGCCAAAAACACTGGCTTGTAAAAATATGTTGTCATGTCAATGACCTTTTGGCCGAAAGCCAATTATTTTCCGACGTTCACATGCACATGTTGTTGACTCGACTACTGTAGCCCGAGTTGTAGGCCTTAGGTCTACGATATAGGCCTCCTTTTTAATTAGTTAGGCCCACTAATTTTCTTCCATCATGTAGGACAATTAACATTGCATTTGTGTAGTGTTTATTAAGGATACATATGGATACCTGTGGATTAATTAACATCAACAAGGTAATAATCTTTTACGAGTCCGTGTGTGAGTAGGGCATGCCCTAGTCTAGGCCAATGTTTTTAGGACTAGTGACGATCCTGAGATCAAACTTACTAATAATGCAATTAAACTAAAATACTACACAGCGTATTTTGCTCGATAATATCTTGGATACACGTTTGAATTCATTTCTCTAATTAACAACTGTTTACTGTAGTTCAAAACATTGTTTATTCCTGCTAATCGACCCATCAAAACAATCAACATTCTCGTGGTGTAATTGTTTATCAGGCCACGTTTCACGCGTGGTGGTAGATCCTACTACCGCGCAACCACAACGAAGCTACCACGCGTGTCACGCGTGGGGAATGTTGCATTAATTATGGGCTGTACTGTAATATTTTCTTAATTAATTAGCCTAGGGCCTATAGCCTATTTTTTTTTTAATTTACAATTAGTTTGCCTCTTTTAACTGTCAAAAAATGATGTCCTCAATAACAATACACACATGTGAAAAGATTGTTCATCAAACAATATTTTGTAGTCTTGATTTAGTAAGATAAATAATAAATATAAAAGAGAGTTAACATCCGTTAATTGTAAAATTACTGTGCCGAATGTCGCATGGAAAGCCCAATGGAAAATAAAACTTGGAAAATTGCCAGTTCATGTTGTCAACCCCAATCCGTGTGCGCAAATCAGAACACAGTTAAGTGTGTTAAAGGTTAACCTCGTGGCAAATGTTAAAAAGCTGTGGGTGACAGTGAGTAAAAAACAAAGGAAATGCGGTCCAGCATGACTAGCCTTAATTAGGCAAGGTAGTGATTTCTATAATTCCATTAGAATTGGATCGCTTTGCAAGTTCTCCTCATTATGGTAAACAAACACAACATGATCGTTTTAATGTAGAATTCTTAATAATTTGTACTTGATTTGTCATCGATATTATTTAAAAGGAAGAAAATGCCAATAACACCAGATCAAAATACTCCGAATTGGAAGTTAACTAGTATAATTACTTTCTGCTCTCCTCCTTGGGGAAAAATGTAGGTCGTAAATGACATCGAAATTCGAACTTACTGTTCTGCTGTAGGCCTAGCTAGGTAGCTAACTACGGTTTTAAAACATGATCGATCTAAGGTAGGAAATAATGAACAATAAAATTAAACATTGTTTAATAATAAATTGCAACATTGCTCATGTGTTGAAAGGGGGTTGAAAGCTGGTAAACTATATTTCAATATTGTTTACGCATTGTTTATCAGCCCGACGATCCAACCTACGATTTAGAGTGAAATTGCGCATGCGCCAGAAAAAGCTTTCCGACATTTTGTTTTTACCTCGCGGTGTGAAGTTCCTCAGTGTTGGTTCAGTCACCTTCTTCCGGGTTTTTGCTTTTGATTAGCACCCCCAGTTGCTTGATAAGATTCAAAATAATAAGTGACTTTGATGTCTCTAGAGGCCGCCACATGTCATAAGGTCAATCAGGGCAACTTTTCACCCGCGAGATGAGACAACAGGCTAGGCTGCTGCATGCTGCTGGAGGCGTGTATAATAGCACCTCCTGCCAAGGGTAGTGGGGAGATAGCGAAGCATTTTATTTAGGCCTATACCTGATGCGTAAGTATAGTATTCATTTTCCCAATATTCAAATGCAAAGAATAAACTTTTCAAGGTAAGCCACCACAACACAAAATCCACCCAACCTCATATTGCTTGAAAATAAAACATGCATCATGCATAGGAACATTGACGTCTGCAGGGTTCTGGTTACAACTAATGTTGAAAAGGGCTGATTCAAGGGGATGTTCGGCTGATTGTGCCAAAGAACACTAAGGCATTGCAAGTCAATGCCAAGTCAATGCGAGACCTGGGCCGACTCATCTTTAAACCTGAATATAAACCAAACATACAGCAGATTATCAAGGTCTTCTTTAATTGGGAGTAAATTGTGAAGGTGCTACTGTAAAGTGGGATGTCTTTTAGCTGTATGGATGGATGGGGAATACAACAGCAAATAAATGGGAGTATGAGGAATGCAGTTGGGTTTATAGGAAGATGTTGGAGGAGAGCAGGTAAATATTTTGTTTGTATGTCAATCAAGTAAAAAGGCAAATGAAGACGATCTGCCTCAAACTTTCTGTCCTGCAATTCATCAACCCTAAGCCCACCTAAAAATACTAACTGTGAACTAAATGGTCATTTTGAGTAGGCCGTAGTTAGGGAGGCCCTAAGCTGATTTTAGTGTGTTTGGGCTCTCTACAACTATCTAGGAAAAATATCTTCAGAATGGATGCTGTTGAACAATAAATGTCTGAAATAATACATACTTTTGTCATAACTTGTATGCATATGACATAATTACGGGCGTCTGTATTTTTCTGGGTCATTCTTTAATGTTGTTTTTGATATCATGGCCCTCAAGTCCCCTTGGTATTTTGTACTGATTTTTTGCACATGTCTCAAGTATGGAAAATTTCAATAGCCTTTGAAAATGTCTTCAGAAGTTATGTGCTCCAGTAAATTTGAGAAAGAAAAAATAAATGTATGGTTCTTCTCATAACCAAAATTTTACCATAGATTAACAATTAATAATGTTGAGAGAACAGACCTAGTATGTGTGTGAAGTATTGGGCATTTAGAACGGTCCATTTTCCAGCGGGGTATAAATATTGTTTTATTACAGTTATACGCATTGTAAGAGAAACCATCACTGGGTAGACAATGGTTTAGCCTCATTTCACATGAAATCTATGTAAAATCAATTAATAAATGTTGTTTTATCAAGTATAAATATGATTTAGTTTTAGTTTAATGCAAAATCCGATACATTTTGATAGCAGTTTTTTTTTCCTCAATTTCTGTCACTAAATTGAATTTTGTAGCGGATGAGCGCATTAATGCCAAGTGAATTATGCATCAAAATACAGCTATTTCATAGCCTAATAACATACAGAAGCAATTACTCTGCTATCTTTATTGGATTTTGTGGGATTGTATTTTGAATCTTGGTAGGGTATTTCCTAAAGATTTCTTTATGAGGTTTATAGTGAGTTCCATTAGGGTGACCTACATCTTGAATATTTATAAGAAAGAATCTCATTGGTTATTGGGTGGAATGGTCAAATTGTATTGGTAGGAAGTGAGAGAGGATAGATGTTTATTCATGAGAGGATGTGGTTGGTTGGTCCTGTCGGTAAAGATATGAACTTAAAGTAGTAGAAGCCTATTTGCCTGAAGGTGAGGAAATATGATTTGTAGAATTGTATTAAGGAGGAGGCAAGATAATAAGTGGCTCAGTTTTCTAAGTAATAACACCAAAAAAGAATATGGATGCCACTAACTCTTAGCTGTTTAAAAGTGGAGATACATTTATTATCATAAACAATATAATACACCAGTTTTATTGGACAAAATAATTAGGATTTGTACAATCCTTAGCTGATAATTTTCAAAATTCTTTGGAGTATTTACATCGTACTGATAAAAACCAATATTTTGCCATGCTGATTATGCCTGTTCATAAGTATGAGGATTGTAAGCCACAGATACAGCAATTACGACAAATACAGAGTAAGTTTAATCAGTCGTTTAAGTGCATGTGCCTTTCTTAAGTGTGAGTTTGTATCTTCCCAATGTTTAATTTTTTAGTTGATGTTAGCTGTCTGTTGTTCAATCCATGCTGACAAGAACCCCACTGAAGTGGCTTATGGGTGGTTGGATTTAGGAAGGAAACTGATAATTGAAGGATGGTTAAAGGAAAGGGGTAAAAGTCAGGTTAAGGTAAAGGGGGTGAAAGACATTGTTTTGATAATCTAAAAAAAGATTTTAGGCTCTCTCCCATATCACATACAGTATTTACTAAAATCATAAATTATGTTTCCTTAGAATAATCTAAATTACAGATTCCATATTTCTTCTCATTTAACTCTATGACCTCTGCATCTGGTGCCTGCTATGTTAGCATTGGAGAATAAACCTTTTGTGAATGAATTAGTGATTGAATGAGTGGGTGAAATTGAAAAAAAAAAAAAATTTTAATACATTTTCACAGTAGAAGTGCCCCCTTAAGTCATATTGCCTTCCTGGGGTGTGGTGGTGTACTGTAGCAGCATCTGTGATTTTTTTTTGTTTTTGCTTTCAAAATATTACCATATATCACAATAGCAAAATATTTTTTTTCTTAATATTATTGATTATATAATACATTAATTGATGCAAACGATGATTTAAAAATATGACATTTATTTTTTGGCCTGTTAATCGTAGTTACTTTGCAGAAAATATGAAAATATTTTTGACAAGTATTACAAAAGGTGGGGAAGGTGGATAGAATATGAATTAGAAGGAGGGGGAGGGAAATTGAAGATGGAATTAATTTAAGGTGTTTTGAGTTGGTTTCGAGTTTTAGTTATTCTTTTAATTTAATGTATTTTGTAATTTTTTGTCTAAGTTTTGTGTTCGGACATACCTTTTGTGTGTATGCCACTGATTTAACAGTGCAAGTCCAAATATATATTATTATTACTCAGCCATGTTTTATTCGGTTTTCCTTGTGGTGTTTTAACTTTTTTGTTTCCTTCTTCTAAAGCCATGTGTGCTGGAGTTGTCACTGTGTAGTCTGAGAAAAAGATATTTATTTCAAGATATTATTGGATACATAATAGAATTTGGAAATTTTTTTTACATATATATATATATGTAAAAATGATAAATAGAAATTCACCAATTGACCTTATAGCTCAGTCAAACAAATAATGGGTAATCGGAAGATAATACAAAAAAAAAAAAGCACACAGTATCGCACTGGTATAATATGGAAGTAAAGAGAAATACAAGTAAACGATATTTTAGGTGTCAGGTGTATGTAATTTGTCTATCAGAACCACTGGTTGCATTTCTTAGTCACATGTCAAACACCTTAAAGAGCTTATGGACACATCGAACGTTATCCACTTAGCAAAGCAACAAGCACCTTCCAAAATCCGTCTAACACAAGCTTACTCTAGAAAAAAATAACACTGAAATTCATTGGAATGCCAATGGTCTGACCTATGGATTAAGGCTTAAGGTGTTGCTAATACTTGATAATTTTGGAACAGGTTGTTTGTTAGACTGCACACCAACAATGTTTTGTTTCTGCTGAGTTGATCTTCTAACCCATGCTGTAATGCGATTTCTTTGCTGAGAATATTACTGTATTCAGTTAAATGAATTTAAACTTTAAAAAGTATAGTACAGGGCGCCCTCTAATTAAAGACCCCTCCAATGAAAGTCGACCTTCTATTAAAGACCACCTTTCTACAGCCCCATGGAGAGTGCCACAACGTGTGCACAACGGATCTCTTCTAATGACCAGACTCTCACCGACAATCAGCAGACGACGCTCGCAGGGAGCTAAGTTGGATTCATCATACGACCATTGTATGATGCAGTGTGTGCCTGGCTTTACTGTAGGTATATCAATCCACCACACCCACAAGCCCATGAAGATACTGTACCTATACAGTATATCTATTATTAGGTAGCCAATCATTCTACCAGGCCCATGGATTTTCAGCTATGAGGCCCATGGAATATTGATAGACTAAGCATTTTATGTGAAATGTGAGAGTGTGATAATATACTGTAAGTAATGACTATGCGACTTTGGTATGGAGAAACACCTGCACTAGTGATACATCATAAAGATAATATCAATTTTTACTATTATCATCAGTAATATTCTATCATATTTGAAATGGAAATAAGCACATAAATATTAGGATGTAGATAAAATAGTTGGAGTGTTTATTAAGATGCTTAAGGCATTAAATCATATTTAAATTAAATTTTGAAATTGAATTTAAATAAAGATACTACATTCTTTTCTAACAAAAATATATATTTAATATTCATAACAGTTAAGTGGTATTACCTAGCTTCATACTTTTTGTGCTGCATCAATAGTATGATAAAGTTCTATTATATTAGGTGGCATATTATGAGCTATAATTTTAGTGTTAATTATAATTAATCTCTTAAAGCATATTATGAGCTATATTTATGTAGAAAAGCATGCAGTAGCTATATCTGTTTTGTTTATGTATTTTTATTGTGTTGTCTTTATCCATGGCCAATTTCTGGACCCTTCTTCCATCCTTCTTATCAACTTCATCAAATTATTGCAATATCATCAACCAATCAGGTTATCTAATGCTTCATCACATGGTTACTCATGGAATTCAAAAAATCCAAAGCACTCGGATTTGGCTGTTACTGGGCATGCTCCAGTCTAACCTGAACGCTGTTGTCATATCTATTTTGGTTTTTCTGTTGGTGTATGTAAGATGGATATGATCATGTAGGATATTCATTTCTTATTGGATTTTTATCTCATGCTTTAAGAGTTATAACATTTGGGAACTTCTTCCCAAATGACAAAGGGGAAAATATTAAAGGGTAAGTTATTTTTAAGCTAGGATTACTGATTTCAAATCTTTTGTGTATGATTGTTATCAATTGTTTGTGTATTTTTTGGTGATATTAATTAGTAGGTTTGGAAATATATTTTAAATATAGTTATAATAGTTACTATTATTTCTAGGTTATGCAACTTGAAATATTTAAAACATAGATGCATTCATTTGTATTGTATTGTGGAGAGTAAATCGATGGCAATACAATAATCAGATTCTTGTCAATTGTCATTTTTTCTTTTTGTACTCTTTGTATAATTTATTTAAGATATCAAAACTTATTATCCATAAAAAAACAATAACTTAATGAATTATCAATGCCTTAATAGCCACAAAGGATTTTTGCCTGATAAAGAACTAGTTCCTAATAATAGAGAATAAATGTCTGTCTATACATAGATATGTGTATATACTTACTTAATCCTCTTCATCCCTTTTGGCAGGGACATAAGGCTGCAAATGTGTGTATAGTCATGTAAAAATACTTGATACTTATTTTTATTTATCTGCAAAAATATTCAACATGATGAACCCAATACAAGTTATTAATCTATTAATTTTAGAGAGTAATTATGTCAAAGAAGCTACAGTATACAAGACAGGCCAATAAATAATTACATAACAGTGCATTTCATATTCACTGATACTAAATGAACATTTCTTGACTCATTAACTTTAGAGTGTGGTTTTGCAATAATCACACATAGTATATTGTGTAACATTCTAATTAAGGAAGTAAATATATGCAGTCATTATATATCTTAATGTAATAGAAATATATTATTAATGCAAAATACAGTCTATTCATATCTAGGTAAATATTTTTAGTAAATGTTTAGGGCAAATTTGTTCATATACTGTATGTATCTAATTACTGAAATGTTATATGTATCTATATTACTAAAATGTTAGGTTGTATTGTTCCTTTTAACACATGACATACTGGTTATTCCATATTTGTAAATTTGATGATATTTTAATGCAAACAATCTTGAAATCTTGTCCATTGTTATATGTTACTTGCTTTCTATATTTAGCAAGCTTTCTTGCATTGATTCATATATTTTTCCATATTTTTTTTCAGAAAAGTTATTGAACTGTACTGGCCGTGAACTCCGTAGGGCACTCTTCTCTCTCAAGCAGATATTCCAGGTAAAATCACATTCAACCTTCCATTCATTATCTGTAACATGTCTATTCTGTTGGATTGCATTCCTCAGGAAGTTTAACTCCTGCAGTCTAAACATTTTTGCAAGATGTGCCGATAAATTTATGACATGGTCATGGATGATGAATTTACTATATTTTATTCTTATAAACTAATAATGATTTGAGTGATTAAATTATTTCAAGGACCTCAAAAAATATGGTTAAATTAATTGCTCAATGAATTGTAGGGCCTTTGGTGCGCTTAACAATTGTTTAAGAAAAATGAACCAAGCTACTTGACACAACGACCAAGAACATGACTAACATTCATCAGCAATTTAAGGAACAATGCCCACTGGTACATACAGTATTTCATTGCATGCCTTAAAGTGATTTAGATAAATAAGAAAAACAAGAATAATATTTATAAATGAAGAAAAAAAAACCGATGCCAAATTCTAGAACAACTGGCAAGAATGGAAAATTGTTTTATAATAAAGAATTAGCAATTGTCAAATTAATCGTAAAATCAGCACTATTTACCAGATGCACCAAATGATTCAATTTTCTAAAACTAAAATTGCTATCATAATGCTACTACTGGCTACTGGCGACACATCAGGGCTCCCATGTTGATGAAATGACTTCAGGGGATTCTAATTGAATGAGTTTTCGTAACACATCTTAATGTAATGAATTGAGCCACTGTAGTCTTCATTGCCAACAATCAAGATGCATGTTATTTAATCTTCATAACCTGTAAAGTTTGATAAGCTGTAAAGTTTGGTGAAACAGTTGCAGTAGATAACAGATTTTAATGATGGAAAAAACACAAGTGATGTAAACATCACCAACATATAATGACGTAATTAAATAATATATTGATTAATTTTGCTTTTAGGATGACAAAGATCTTGTGCATGAATTTGTCAGTGCTGATGGCCTGGCTTGCCTTATCAAGGTGGGGGCCGAGGCTGACCAGAACTACCAGAACTACATTCTCAGGGGTGAGTAGTTCCAGAGTCATTTACAAATTATTAGTCTTAACCATTGAAAGTAAAAGTGTTTCTTTGTTTCTCCTGCTTGGTGCCTTGTTGAAAATGATAATTGAAAGCTTAATTTTAGCTGTGTATTTAAGGATGATGATTTATATAATGCTTTAGCAATGGATCAGAAACATCATTGTTTCCCTATCAAAGAAATGTGATCTCAGCCTCATGACAAACTATAGAGGAATTACCCTGATGTTTATAGCAGCCGAAGTCTATAATAAGATCTTGTTGACTAGAATTCGAGACCATGTTGAACCAATAATAAGAAAAAAACCAAGCCGGATTTCGGCCAAAGTGAAGTTGCACACAACATATTCACAATAACTGAGGGCTTAGTTAAGGCCAAAAGCTACCTTATATAACAACTCAAAAAGTGCTGTAATGGTTGATGGCAACCAAGTGACTACTGGGGTTCTGCAAGGAGACATCTTAGTTCCCTTCTTATTCATCATACTCATTGACTACCTGATGAAGGACATAGTAGGTGATACTGAACGCATACTACATCATTTCCATAGATCATGGGGTTTGTTTGGAGAAATCTTGTGGTTGCCTGTTCCAAAGCCAATTTTTTTTTTTTTTTTTTTTTTTTTTATTTCGGTATAAAACATAAATATACAGTAAGCAGCAAAAGCTGAAAGAATTGCATTTACAGAGTTATTGAAATATACAGTACATTAAAATTATTAAAAATTGAGTGAATGATAGGCCTAGTACTAATTCCAAATCAATGATCATCATCAAAGACGCCTGGGCGTTATTACCCTTTGCCACTGGCCACATGCTATGAGATACTTACTACTAGCGGGCATTTTTTCTTATATTGCTGATGAATGTAGTCATATTCATGTTCATTGTGTCAAGTAGCTTGGTTAATTAAAAAAAAAAAGTAATTGTTCAGTGCACCTAAACTCTGCTCGCCAATTGGTTAATTTTGTTCATGAGTTGGTGGGAAACCACGTGTTTTGGCTGTGATGACGCCAAATCACAGAAGTTTCAGAGTGCTTGACAGAAATAAGCTCAGTGTAACTGATAAAAGTTTTAATTAAACAGATTTATAAAAACCCTCATTATTTTATTTTAGAGACAAATCTAAATAAGTCTACTTTGTGAATTCTTACCTGGATAAACCAACTAATTGCCTATTTTCTTCCAAAAGTGAACACCCCTCGAAGGTAAAATTGGACAGTCGGCCCTTGGCGCCAAGCACAAGCGCTCCTGCAACCATGCGCCATCCTCATTCTTTTTCGAAATATCGTGTCCTACAAGTTTGCTGGGCAGTTGGTACTTGGAGATTCCACTGTACTACAAATTTTGTTCTTCAAAGAATTATAGCAAAGCAAGAAGATGGTTGTAATGTTGATTATCATCAACATCATCATAAATTAAACTTTGTTGCTATCTGGTCCAAATGTCATTTGGGCAGCTATGAGTTTTTATTATTTTAAAAGTTTAATATCTAATTCTAGTGCATTGTTTTTTTTATACAATAAAAATTTGCAGTGACACGGCATCCCATATTTTCATGTCTTAATGTTCTGTGAACAGTCAAGCACATCTAGATACTGTAAATGAAGCAATGTCTGACCTGTAGCTCCATCATAGTCAACGACAATGAGATATTCACATGATATTTACATTTTCAACCATAAGTATGGAAGGACAAATGCTAGCTTGTCAAATTTACGACATGACCATGTGTTTGGCACTTTAAAGCTTATCATATCCCACTGTAGAGTCCTTAATTCAAATTATGAGAGAAAAATTTGATGGAAATATAAGCATTTGTCATGTAAAATGTACTTGCGCATTACTACACTAGGCAAATGTTCCATGATGTGTCAAGCCAACTGATTTATTAATTCCGGATTGGAAAATGTTCAAGCATGATTGTAATCTTGAGTGATGGCCATCATATTTTAACATTTGCTTCTTTCTGGCTTCTGGTAGAATCTAGTGGAATGTTATCTAAATGTGTACAAAAAAAAAACCCAACCCCATAGGTGATTGAAATGTGCAATGTATGCTTTTAATTTGTGATCTCCTACCATCTCCTGATGAGTGAATGTGTCATGTTTAATGATACAAAAATGATTTAAGTGTTTGTTCAAGTGCTAAAAGATTTCTACAACTTTAAGAAAGAATTATTAGACAACATATTATTATATACTGTACAAGTTAGGCCCATGATTTAAGAAAGAATTATTAGACAACATATTATTATATACTGTACAAGTTAGGCCCATGATTGAATGTTGAGTCTGTAGAATTTTTCGAGACAATTTTAATCAAAAGCAGTGTACAGTAATTCAGTATCAGTCTCATGCTTCGTCCATATTTTAGGATATATGGTTGAGACACATGATAAACCACCAGAACCGAAAAATGTTTTTTCTATGTGTTGGGGACCCTATGGACTGTCGCACGAGTGCATGGGCGTTACGCACCTGGTATTAAGAAACACCATGCTAATAAAAATCATCATCTTGATTTAAATTTATTTTCATGGAGAGGAAAAAAATATTACCCTTAAAACAAAAATTTCATATTTTATCCAAGTGGATTATTTGTTTTTACTAATTAATATATATATGCTAAATGAATTTCTGTACATTTAATTTGGATGAGGGTTAATTTATTAAGATATGAACTAATTCTGTAAATATGCATTTACTCTATTGCAAAGTTTATTAAAGATGTACTCAATTAGTCAAAATATGGTACCTGTAAAAATCCAACTAAAATTTTGAAAGCTCATAAGTACATCTTTAACCACAGTTGTGTTGACATTAACATTTTCTCATTGCTTTCAGCTCTTGGTCAGGTAATGCTTTATGTTGATGGTATGAATGGAGTGATCGAACACGGCGAAACAATCCAGTGGCTTTACTCTCTCATTACATCAAAGGTAATAATAATTACATTAGTATCACTGGTCTAAGTTGCTTAAACAGTATTATTATGTCTGTCAGCCCCAAATGTATTGCCATGGTCACATAAATCACATTCTAAGAACATGGTAAGATGGCTATGTGTACCTTGTATGTTTTTGTAATTACTTTATAACTGGACAGATTTTATTTTGGTACTTTGAATAATTTTCATAGTGATACGAAAACATATTTTTGTTAACATGATAAAATATTATGCATTAATAACAATTACCTCAAAGTGGTAACATAAATAGAATAGAGTATTTTGATTGGTTGAAAGAGGACACTTTTTTATTTTTATCCTAAACTAACAAGTGCTAGCACCAAAGTGACATATTTTCGTATTCTTCTAGTTATTCTAGTTAAAAATATTTCGACCTTGGGTTGAAGCTAGCTGCTATCAGAATTTAAGAGGAAAATATTTATAACTAAACACCTGTTTCCCCTTCTAGACTGGGTGTCAGGGCTGTCAGGGTCCCCCAGTGCATTTATAACGTTTTCACTACCATTTTGATGAATCTATAATGTCTGAAAAGCTGACGATTAAGAAAACTAGCTATAAATATGCCACATGTTATTAATGTTGCAGTTTTATTCATCATTGCGAGTCATAAAATAGGCCCTACTGGTATATGAAATTCTCAACTGTCAATTGGCCAGTAGGCAGGATTTGCGATGGGGGAGATGTGTATAAGAGACAGGTCAAAATATGGTACCGGGAATGTGTGTGTGTATTTTAGCAAGCGAGTCTTAAGCTGGGTGTTACATAGGGCCTCTGGAAGAGCTCCGGTTAGGGCCCCAGAAAGACTACTGCATTTTACAATTTTGAAATAAAAATGATGTTAAAATTCTAGAGAAGGCCGACACCCCTTCAAGTTTACAGTAAGTTAAATCCAATTAGGGTCTTTATACAAGCTGTAAAGTCAGGATTTACAAATGGCTTGTTCAGTTCTTGACAGGAGAAAATTATTGTATTGTAAACAAGTGGAACAATGCAAAAACATTTTGCCCTATGAGTTTGAAATTGGGTGGTAAATTTAATTACCATTCCAATTTAGCATATTTCATAGGGATTAAATTTGGTTCCTTATTGTATTTTACTCTGAAAGTGTGACAAATAAATCAAAATTTATGGTTGATAAATGACAAGATTGTGATATATGAGTTCGGGTTTCTTAACTTGAGCCTAGTCGACAAGTACATTAACATTCAACTTGCGGTTAATTGATAGATTGGAATTCTGTTTTTTAAAGTTTATTCTGTGTTTTTAAATTTGAACTATTGATGAAAAGAATCAGGAATTTTTATTATGCTATCAAGAAAATGAATGAATTATGTAGATTGTTGTTTTAGAAACCTCAGTGAATTTTTACAAACTTGATCAAATTAAGGCTATTATGGCGCAGAGGGCATATCTCCTTATCAGCATGGATTTACAAAACGGAAATCCTGTACAGCACAATTATAACCAATTACTTGACAAATCACAACCTGGAATAGCTGTTTTTTGGACATGTTTAGCATTTTGGCAAGTTTCACATGTTAATAGTAAAAAGTATTTATAATTGCTTGAAAGGGTTCTATTAGGATGTGAATGTTGTATGTTAAGTGGAGTTGGTCTTGTTGCTGAACTTGCAATGCATGACAAGTAATATTCCCACCCTCCCATGGAACAGAGAGGTTTAAATTTTACTGGTACTTGCAATGGCCGGCGCAATACTGTATAATGTGAAGTAGGCTATATAATGCCACAAATTATTGTTATTTATTATTATGACATTTAAACATAGCATTGTGTTTTATAGTATAGTAATTCATTGATTACAGAAACACATTTTTGCTATTCAATCTATAAACAATTGCTAAAGGAATAGATTTCGATCATGTGAAAAAAAAAAATTTTGTGTTCTTTAGTTTTGTTAATCTTCGCATTTGAGGCTTGCAATCTAAAAGCCAGCGTACTGTACTGTCGCTCATTTTTAAACTGAATAATGGGCAGTTAGAATGTGGCAGTATTGTATATGTCCTGTTTATGTACCCCTTGGTACCAAGTAGCATTCGTAAATTGAAAAAGTTGTAAACTAGATCAGGTGTCAGTTTCCACTACCTAGGCCTAGCTATACTCTGCCATTGAGCGCTGATAAGCTGACGGCGGCAAGGCCTAGCACAAACCGACAGTGCAGCAGCGTGTCCACCGCGCTGGAGCCCAGCTAAATTTAAATTTACCTTCAATAAAAAACAGATTATTGTAATCGCTGGCATTCTCCCGTTTAACAAAATATTGTTTTAATTCTCACTAACACTTCTGTATGTTTTATGGACCTTTCTATCGTGGTTCTTTCTTGTTTTTAGATCACTGAATTATATTGTTTACATGCATTTTACAGTCATCTTCACGATGTCAATATGTTGTTGACCCCAACACTCTTGTTTATTTATCACCATAAACGACGACTCGCTTTGGTAGTTCATTGTTCTGGTTAGGTTTGTTACACGAATATAGTGATTATTATAGCAGAAATGGAAAAAAAAGATTGAATTATTAATAAATAAATACAACTAAGAAAAATATACATTTTCACTTCACAAAACCTATGCAGTCGGACTCTGTTTACGTTATTAATTGGTTGACGATGACCTCATCAAGAGCAAAGACCATTCCTAAAATTGACTGTTCATTAAATCAACGTTAAAACGGGCATTTGACTGTACTTTAGTACAGAGAAACTGTTGACTTTGGCAAGAATAATTCTATTCCAGTAAATGACCCATAATTTTAAAGCTTATTTAAAAGTTAAAGGTTATTCATTTATATTGCGCAAAATATGAGAGTCTCTATGCACAGAACAAGTGAGCAGATGCAACAGGAAAAAAAAAGAAAAGAAAATCCAAGCCAGCACCCAAACCGCAGTATGGGAATACGCCCTCGTCACTGAGCAGGGATCTATCAAAATGTAACCTGTCCAGCACCAGTGGAGTCTCGGCCATCCCAGGACTCGGGTGTCTCCTATCCTGATAGAACTTCAAAAAAGCTAGCTGGCATTTATAATGTGGAAAATATATTAAGATGTCCATTTTTGTTTTATGGGCACTGATTTTGGTTTTGGGATAAGTAAATCCTTGCCGAGCAACTAGGACTCATAAGGGTGGAGATTATCCCCAGTTTCTGTAGCGCAAAGTGGATGAGAGTGTGTGATATTCCCTCTGGGTTGGACGCTGGTCCACCACAGATTACTGCCTGGTACCCATTGATATAGCTGGGTAGACTGAAGCAATTTAGTTTTAGTTCTTGCTCAAGGAGAAAAGCGAAATGCACAGCGAAGGGATGAAACACCGACCTTAAGGTTGGAAAACCAAACAATTCCCACTGCACCAAACTGCTTCCACCGGTTTTTGGGATGGCAAGCATCATTTGGTTTCAAAATAGTGAACCTGAATGTGTTATTTCTATTTTTTATTATGATTAGAATTTAGTGATATTAACATCATAATACCAATTTGCCAAGACAAATATGCATGCATATTTTTCAAATTTACTCAGGCCAATGAACCAACATCAGTCATTTGAAATCTATTGGTAGAAAATTCCCATGCTTCCAGGAAAATTGTATTGCTGCTGGAGATGTTTTGATTTAAATTTTATCACATTCTCATGATGGCCATCATTTTACTTGAAAACACAACAAGCACTTTGAAAATGTTCTTTATTATAAGATACCATATCAGATCATATCGTTTATTTCACCAGTAAAACAACAAAAAAGTATGGCTAACTGACCGGATTACCCAACAGGAACAAGTTACTGTCACAGGGCTCTCTTGGCAGCAGATACAGTACAAATATACATAGTACATTCGAGTATATCAGATTAAAATATATATATATGTAATGTTTGTAAATTAATGTAATTACTTTCAAAATAATAGTACAGTATTATGTGTATATTAAACATGCCTAAAGTTAAATGAAATAAATAAATAAGATTAAAATATGATATAATTTATATAAATTTCCTTCTTGAACAATATTTAAATTTTAAGAAAAAATGTAAAATATTAGGAATAATGTTAATTTGACATTCTTTTTCCTTATATAGTTCCGTCTAGTCGTGAAAACTTCTCTGAAGCTACTCCTTGTTTTTATTGAATACACAGAGACAAATGTTGAGCTGCTTGTGAAGGCAATCAAGTTGGTTGATAAACAGCAGGGTAAGCTATGCCTTCAATTTATTTTAATTTTCAGTGCTTTCATGATTTTAAATACAGTTAGTTCAGTTATACCGTATTGTCTCTAACAAACGCCCCTCTTCTAATAAACGCCCCCTCTGAGTTTTTTTCATTTTGGAATTAGTGCCCAATCAATTAACATGGGTATCCAGTCCATAAAAAGGTTGACAAACAAGGAGTAATACCATACTGTGTGCTGCTTTCTTTGATATGAAATGAAATAAATACTACTCAAAAAAGCTTACCCTAAACGTTTGATGTTTACTGTCTTCACGATCACTAGTCCTAGGCCTATTTTGTTTTTCTCTCATGGTATTTCGTTAGCCTTGTAAAAACAGGGTAAGCTGCAAACTGACGGCAAACGATGGGTAATCGTGTATTGTTAATGTGTCGCGTGTTCGACGCTGATTTGATTCAAGGTGTCTGGTCAATGAAATCTATACCGTAGTGAGAATGATTCTTCCAAGTTGAGGGCAAATGTTTAGCGTGCGGTGGTGCGGTGCTAAGCCTAGTTCATGAGGCCGAGAATGTTTTTGACAAGCACGCGATTGCTGTTGTGAAAGGAGAAGCATTGCGCTGCATTGTCGGACATTTACCCCAAGAGAACTCGAGGATATTTCATTTCTTTTTGAAACACAAGGAATTATTGATGTTCAAATAACCAGCAACAAACGAAGGAATAGAAAATAGCAGGAGGCCTGGAGACCCTGCACATCAACTTGTTCCTCTACAAATAAAGAACGTTGACCGTTTAAAGCAGCTTGTTTAGGTAATTTTTGATTTTACAATTCACCTCTTTGAAAAAATGCAACGCCCCCGGGGCGTTTATTAGAGGCAATACGGTATTGTTAATTAATAATTATAATGTATGGTATTACTTCTTCTTTATGTATTTTGTATTGTATATCAGTTTGAATTCTTTTGTACTATTAATATATTAAAATTGTTATATCTAATTTTTACAATTAATAAAATAAAAATAATAATGATAATAATGGTGATATTTTTAAACCTTTAATTGGTTATAATAATTTCATATTTTAATATTCAGTGCTGTAATTTAAAATTTTTGCTAGTTTTCAAATGCATTTCCTTCTTTTTGTAGGACAGTAAATTATTTCAGTATTCATTATTCATAGTACCTCTTATATATATAGTCTACATTATCATCATAATTTATTATCATACTGTAACCCTATAATTTAAATTTAAATTTTGGTTGGTGGATGACTGTCCAGGATGTGGAAGGCTGCTTTAGTCTACTAATATTTCCATTTGTTTAGATAAGTATTCCTTTTTCATTATGAGCACCCAGTGGGTGAGTTGAGTAGGCGAGTGTTAAGGCAGGGAAGCCCCTAGCTACAGCCTTAACATCGGCGCTGGTTGCAGCCGCTCCTCGCCCATGGTTCGGTTGGTAGAACCAAGTTTTCTTTGATAAAAACTTACAATGGAGGAACTTACAGTGTATGCATCTCGTTCGTGTGCACTTTAAAAACTAATTGCATCTTTCGGAAGAGTAGGGGGATTATGCCGATGTTATGGTTCATTTCAGCCCCTGTCTTTGTGGAATGATGTTAACCTGTACTGTATCTACCATGAAGCGCCTCTTTACTGCTGCTAGGTGGTCCTCACGGACCATGCCCATTCGCAATTCAGCACAATGATGCTGCAAGTTATGGGTTATTCTCCTATTTTTACCTTTACCTTTACCTTAACGGTAATTGTATTCTACTTTCTGCAGTTTAGTGTTATTGGCATTTCTAGTGTTTATGTTAATAATGGGTTTAAATACATTTCTACACAATCGTCAAGCTATTCGAAGTGCAGGGATTATTGTATGAAATTTATAACTGGGAATGGTAACAAAGTAGTACACCTACATTTACCCATCTGTCTACATATTTTCCATGATTTTGATTGCTGTATGAGAACAATAGCCCAAACAATGATTAAAAAGAACAGTCATCAAGTTCAGAAACTGTGACTTCACCATCATGAAGTCAACCCTTTGTAGTGTTTGTTTTAATTTCAAATTAGGCAGCAGTAGGTGGGACTTGATATTGAGTCTTGATTCACATGCTTTGATTTCCAGCAGGCCCTATGTGCATTTTAGTTTTTATTGATTTAATTAACTTCCATACATTTGTGGATAGGATTGCAACTCGTAAATTCTTAGTGGGTACCAAAGTTGTTGAGATTTTAGTGGGGGGTAAAAATGTATTTTTTGTTCTATACAGTGTCATTCATTAAGTTTCATGAATTAAATTACCATGACTGAAATCAAAAGTGTACGAAAAGACTGACAATTTGGTTAAAGTGGTTAGTGACAGATAATTTCTTGTTGGCATTTGTCACTGTGCTTTGACAATACAACAATTGTTTTGTCCTAATCATATAAACTAAAACACAATAATTATTATTAACATTATTGAAAAGCTGGACATACTCAGCTAACAACTCTATCTCAATGCAATGCAATGCCACTGCTGATTGTCAGTGGCAGGCTGAGCGGATTATCAGTAAAAATGATCATTCCCTCAAGCATTCCTTATACAATCGCCTCAGTTCAAAGGTGATTGTAGTTAGCGATGGGAAGTATATTTACCCAGTCAGCAGCATACTGACTGGGTTCTGTTTCAGAGCAGTTTCTTTCTTTCTTTCTGGCAACATTTTAAAAGGCTACTAGTGGCAAACTACTGGACCGCTTTTTAATTAAAACTTGGTCAGTAGGACTGGTGCCACCTCCCATTTATACGTTGTTCACAGCTTGGGGTCAAAGGTCACATAAGGGGCATTAGCGTCAAAAAACCAAAAATCGTATAACTACTTGTCTCACAAATAACGTAGCACAGTCTGTCCTTTACAAATACATTGGCATAAGGCAGAGTCTATAGGGTGTTCAGGGATAAGGAGTCAAAGGTCATTAAGGGGTGATTTTTATCTTTTTTCTGGCAACATTTCAAAACACTACTATAATCGGTGAAACCTCTCATACACCTCCCAGACTCCTACCAAACATGGGGTGTTCACAGGTTGAGGTTAAAGGTCACAGTGGTTTAATCTCTTAAAAAATGACTGGGTTCATGTTCTATTGAACATAGTATCTCTAGTTTAATATTATATTCCATTGGCAGTATTACCATTGATAATTATTTTGATTTCATCAATCAATGATAAGGGGTCATAAAATGGTGACATTGTTAAATTGTATTTGGTGACAATGATAATTACTTGCGCTGCTTATCTGTAGGGCCTACTATATCTCTACATTGTGTTTATTGACTTGGAATTTCATTTGGGCATACGAAGAAAGAAAGAGAGATATTGAATCCATTTTAGCTTGTTAAGACCAAATGAATTTGGGAAATGATAACCAAGCATGGGAAATAGTAATAAATTAAAGATTGAGATACACCAATAAACATTCTAAGTTAAAGTAAATTGTGGTTCCTATAAAAATAATTATAATTTCCTACCTTGTCCTTCAGGCCATCCAGGTTCATAAACTCTATTGCAATTGATAGCCAAGTTAATGTCAATGCTAATTACTATAGATTTTGTGTGTATGGAAGTGCTAATTTTATTTTTTTCTGTATTGCATTCAACAGTGTAGAACACCAATTAGAAGATGTGAATATAATATAAAATACAACATATCATAATTTAAAATGTTAAATGATAATATAAAAGCAATAATAATTATTAATTATTGCCTAGGACTCAAGTTTAGGCATTTCCAAACAAATTACATGATGTTCCAGAGTTTGTTAACCTATTCTTGTTTTGATTTGAAAATTTGGTTTCCTTTTAGCATTTGCTTTACTTCTTATTATGGTTAAGACAATGGTTTTTGTAGCTTTTATAGGCCACATTTGAATATCATCCATACCTACTTGAAAAAGTCATGTAACTGTAACTGGTCTAAGTTGCTTGATAATGGTCCAGAATTCAACACACAAATTTTAGATGACTAAATAAGGAAATGTTGAATATTTGAAGCTTCTAAGCCCAATGGAATGGTTGTCTATGCCTACATCTTTAATTCTTTTTTATCTAAAGTAAGTTAAAACTAACAAAAATTCTATAAATTTTTATAAAATTATATTCTAATCTGACACAATATTAAGTTTTGTTGATTTTGACTTCTTTGATACAATTCAATGTTTATATTTTTATTGAATACCCTGTATTTATCACATGAGCAGCCCTCAATTGAGCCATAGACTTTGTCTATAATTTTACATACTCCCCTAAGGAAAGGATCATGCTTGTGGGTTTCAGTGAATGGTGTTATTTACAACAAAATAATGAGAAAATGAAGTGAATATAAAAGACTGTCTGTTACTCAGAAAAAAAGAATTTTTCAAATCATTTGTTACAAATGTACCCTGCATTGATGTTAAATGATAGTCTGCTTCTATTGGTCACAGTTTTAATACCTGGCTCAAGGTAAGAGTTGTTACCTGGCAACGAGTGAGCCTCCTAGTGACATGAAAACAAGGCAGGTTGATGGTATGCCCAGCAGGTAGAAGTTATATAGATATGACAAACTTTCACAATCAACGATCAGCTAATATTGAACTTCACAATATCATGTCCTGCTGCTAACTGTCATTTAGTTACCATGGTCATGAAATTAGTTATAAATAAATTTATATACACAGTTTAGTGAGGTCTGAATTTCAGGTGGCTGGTTGGAAAAAAAAGTTTAAAATAATTTTATATACATTTTTGCTTATTGAATAAGTAATTTAAACCTGTTACATTTTTTGATTAACAGGTCAATTAGCTTGGTCTAATTTGGTGACTCTTATCAAAGATGATTCACAAGATTCAGAGGTTCTTATTTATGCTATGACACTTGTTAATAAGGTAATGTACTATTTCCTCCTTTTCTCCATTTTCATCTCTAAGGGAGATTATTGCTAAGCAACCACTTCAGTATACTGTATAACTATAAGTTATAAGTAAACATCGTATTTCTACACTTAGTACCAAGGTGTGGCTTTAAATAGGAAATGGTCATAAATTATAATTTATGGTCAATCTAAGCAGGGCTTGAAATTAACTTTTTTTCTTGGGAGCACTGCCAAAATTTTCTGGCACCCCCAGAAAAAATTTGGTAGCACAAGAAATTTTTTTAGTAGCACATATTTCCCTATCCTTTTCGCATCCCATAAGATGCTGTGCAATATTTTATTCTTTATATTTCCTAACAAACCCCCACCCACCCACACCTACACTATCCCCTTGGATTATTATGCAAGAAAGAAAACATGAAAGAAAAAGAGAAGAAATTTTTAAAAATTGAAAAAAAAAACAAGAAAAATAATAAATAAGAAATAACAAAAGGAAGGAAAGAAAAAAAAAAGAAAGAAGTAAAATGGTGGAAAGAAAATGACAATGAAAAAACTAAAAGAAAGGTAAGTAAAACATAATGAAATAAGAAAAAGGATGAAACAATATTAAAAAGAAATTGATATTAAAGGGATAGTAAAGAAAAAAGGTGCAAGGTAAAAAATTCAACTTAACTGGAAGGAAAGGAAAAGTATTTCATGGAAAGTTTCAATTGTTAGGAATATTTCTAAGAAAATTACAAATTTCTGTTAATTATTAACAGATATACACAATATAAAAAAGAAAAACATGAGCAGTAATAATGTGCTAGCTAAACTGTCTAGTCAATGGACTGCCAAAATCTGCAGTTACTTAAGTGGATTGATATATTGATTATAAAATTATTAATTATTATTATAAAATTATTAATTATTATTACTGAAACATTAATTATATTTTCTGTACACTTTCTTTAAATTTTTCAGTATTTTTCTTCATTTGTGCAGGAAATTTTGAGAAAATAGGTCTGCAGAATCGCATTAACACTGCGAATGCCTATATATTGTTTACAATAGCCACCGGCCGACTTTACTGCAACATTTGCACGGAAATTGGCAGACTTATTTTTAATATACATGGATGGAATTTTTTCTTTATGAGATAACTCTAAATCAATTTACACATAATAATTTCAACCTAAACAGAGTTCCAGAGTTTTCACCAACATTTCGGGAGTGCTAAGATTCCAGGTCCCCACTTGTCAAAGGTCATTTAGGCTTCGTTTTAAGCCCGAAAAATTGGCATCACATAGTCGGCCGGCAACACTTCTTATTTAGGTTATAATGTAGCCTAGAACATTAGGCCTGGGCCTGTACCACTTCAGAAAAGTATCTTATACCTACATATATAACGATCTATAGCTTCATTTTCTTGTTCAATGGTTGTTTTTATTGAGAATTATTTAAAAAAAAATAAAAAAACTTTGAAACTTCAGTATTAGTCACCAGAGAACATCGTCACACTTCTAGTGTTTACAAAGGTTAAGCGGAGTAACATATCCCAAACATTGCAAGTTTCCCCGAATGATGTAATATCCCAGCATTCTAATTGGTTTACAACTTGCAATAGACTCAATATACCTTACTCGCCAGCCTGTGTAGTCGGGTGCACACGTGGTTTGGGATGTTACTCCGTGAAATATAGTTTCGTAATTGGAAGGCCTGCTACCAGTTAGTTCGATGTTGTTTTGTTGTTACGTTTTTTTGTTGTCAAAACAAGAAACATTCCTTGTAGAATTATATATTTTTTATATACCTTATAGATTAAATTAACCAATTAATTCAATTGTTGCACTTTATTAATTCCACGTTTAAAATTTAATCTTTAAATATTCATTTATATACAATTCAATTTTTATATTATTTTAAAACACAATTAAACAATCATTTTGCTTACTTTCTGCTGATACTTTGTTAAGAACGAAATAAATTGTTTGATAGAGGCCCAATACTAGTTGCCTATGAAATAACTCTGCTTACCGTCTACTACATTCAGTGAGAAACGTTCCCAATTCCAGGCACCTCCTGGTAGACACAGACACCGAGGTTGCCAGACACAAAGTCATTTGACTCTTTGTACGCCGCCGATACGAACAAAAATAGGTCAGAAGCCGACTGGCTCATTCAGAAATAAATGGTAGTAAAGGAGTTGCTTTCTATTTTATTTCATTTAATTAGGTTTCAAAATTTGCTGTGAGACCTATTTGTTTGGTTTTTTTTTGTAAATTTCAAGATGTTGCTCATTGAGATGCATGTTGTTAAACTATAGCTGCTCCGTGATGTCTGGCTGAGGTTATCATCAAAGAATATTTTATACCCTTTGTTATCATCAACCATGTGATTGTATGTATGAGGTTTGGGTAATTCGTTTGGTTTTTAAATAAGAGATGTCTGCCTTAATACCAGTAGTTCTTTGAATATAATCATCCAGATGATGCCTAATTGTATTTATTTACGATCTATTTAGAGTTAAATTTTGATTATTGCTTGATCTGTTCCGTTTACATCGTATGAGTCAATACATAGTCTATTTTATGAACAAATACGTTAAGGAAACGTTCACAATTACAAAGAGGTACAGGTAAGAGTAGCACTCAATAAAATAGAAAAAATCGTGCAATCCGATGTTTTTATACCAGTCTCCTTCGCTTTGACGGTGATCGCTTATTTAATACCAAGGATGAGTGCACATCGACACGGTTTTAGTACGTCACACTTTAACAGTCTAGGTCATGCTGATTGGTTGATACAGTACATGTAAAATGAATGATAACATGTTTTGCGTACTGCCTGACTGAAAATAAGGCTGTACAAGTTGTAAATAATTGGGATTTGGAGGGAAACCACCTTCCTGCCGCTTACAAAATCTACTCGCGCTATCAAATGACCTTGTCGCACTGAGCGTGACAAAGCTGAATTCCTTGTCGCACCTTAAAAAATCAGGTTGCAAATGCAACCAAATAACCCTTAATTTCAAGCCCTGCTAAGATCAAATCCTAAGTTCCACAATTTGAATGATAAATACACTTGCTGTTATGTGCAAATTGTAGTCCAGAGACTTTTACAGTGACCCATAAGTATTTTGGAACACAATGGGCAATTAGAAAAAAATGTCACAGGAAAATTTGAAATAAAACATCAATCCAACTTTATAGAGGAAAGCATCATAGCAATTAGTTTGGACAACATCATAGCAACTTTGTCACAGGGTGGAAATGAGTTACTGTAGCGAAAGTCAGTTCCCATGATGGAATTTATGTATTTTGTCTGATTAGTAAATCGTAAATCTCCGGGTATTTTAGGATAAAGTTAAGGACGAAGATGGATGGGGCCTACAAAAAAATATTATTTTATGATTTTTTTAAAGAGATTACTTAGTCTTTGTCCAAGAAGGTCTGTTATCGTTTTTGTTATTGTTATCAATCACCAATCTAATCATCATCAGATTACAATATACGTACCCTAAGTCGATGTGCTGATCTTTCTTGAACACCTTTTGGGTCCATCTTTTTTTACCCGGACCATTTAATTGTTTGAATTTAGTCAGTTACACATCAATATCATAATCCGAATCCTTCTGCCTTAAAGACCTAACTGCTTTTAAATTATTTGTTTTAAGGTGCGTAACTTCCACTGTGGGACTTCCAACTCATTCCGCTGTGACATTCTGTGATGATGTGATTTTGTGATGTTTTCTAAAAATTTGTTGCAATCCTAACTGAAGTTGTGATGTTTATATTTTTAATTTTTCATAGATTATATATTTCAAAACTATGTAACTATAGTTTAATCCAACTCTAAAGTTCAAAATAATTCAAGTGACTTGAAATACCAACGTATACTGACATTTCCTGCTGTTCATTATCATCTTTTAAAAAGGTTGAAATTAATTTTTTGTGTAATTCAGTGTTTTATAATGACCAAAAAACTTTTTTTGAAACTGATTTGAACTCAAAAGTGCTCGATATACTAAATTATATCGATTAGGCCTATTATTTCGCAACATGAAACTTTTGCGATTCAATTCAATCTTCATTGTCAAACACTGTAAAACATACGGTTTGAAATTCTGGTTCCCGGCCTTCTCGCAAAATTCGCAAAAGTTTCTTGCACATTAATGTTTCTGGTTTTACAGTATTCTGCCAAATGTTTGACCAGTGTGATTTGGGCGCACGCACACACACACACACATGCGCCAAGGATTGCCAATAATGAATATATCACTGTCCTACTGTATGAGTAGGTGACAAGACAAACATACACACATGATGCTTCACACAAACTAAATCTCATTATGGCTTAGGAGTGGAGTTGTTTTGGTAGTGAGAACAATTCTGCAACACCAAGAGGAATTGATCCCAGGACGCATGGATAGCACTAAGCTATTCAACTCCACTCCAAGTAGTAAACAGTCATAAAAAAGCTGCTAGGTTTTCTTGAAACTTTGATTTTGTTTCAATAATTAATGGTTGTCATAATTACATTTTTATTGTTTGTACATGCTGGTATTTGTTAAAGAGGTTCATATGATGGCACTGCAAGTTGTGTGTTACCTACCTCTTCCCGCTAATGTTGAAAACAAGATTTCCGAGTCTATTTGGTGTCAATTTGAAATATCTGTCCACTTTGATGTGCTGAATCCATTTAACCTTTTTTAAATGTGATATTTAACAATACTTATGAAATACGGAATACAAAAATACAAATCTCACTTTCTCATATTCAATATATAGGCCAGTAAGCAGGGCTATGCTATGGTTTGGCCAAGCACCCTTCTTCCGGCAAACATTCCTCTAGTAAACCTACATTATAAAATGGCTTTTTATTGATTGATAAATTTGCAATCACCATAGTTGATAAATTTCTAACAAATGTTGTATGACAGTGTTATTAAAAATCAGTGGTTAGAAGATCTGGAATATGAAAGTCAATGATACATAGCATTTTGTGATAATTTTTAGTTTTTAGTGAAATAATAAGTTTTTGAAAGTGGACATTTGTGTGGGGGAGGGGTTGGGGGTGGATCTGTCTACCTATGAGCCTGAGTGTACCTTTACCTCTTCTACAGGTGCTCTCTTACTGTACTTAGTAAGTACGAAGGCTAACCACTAATTGTTGTTTTCTAGGTCTGTCAAGGTTCCTTGATGTGTACAACAGTGAAGTTATGATATGTCCCTTGATCTTGCCTCTGGGCTTTTGGCCTAGAAATACCATCTACTGACACCCCTTCAAATAAATCAAAGGAAATTCACTGTTTAGGACTTGGTCCACTGTTTTATACAATCACCAGTTAACATTCCAAAATGGTGTGATAAGTTTTTGGTTAATGTAGTATAAGTTGCCAACCTATTCAGATGCTAGATTTAATGTCAAATTTGGCTCAGAAATATGTTTCTGCATTATGAAGGCAGATTGCTATTGGATTGGGTAGAATTTCTTTGGTGTCGTACACACTAAGGATGACCCACGAAAGTTTTAAGACTTACTTACAGTGGGGTCCTTCTAGTGAACATTATGAAGGCAGATTGCCACAAACATTTTGCAAAAGATTTGAACTTTTACATTCTATTGTTTCAATCTAATTGATCTATTACATAGTTTGCGAAACCTCATTGAGGCATACAGGTAGGTATGTATAAATTACATATTGAGAAAGTTTCACTCTTGATCCTTAACTTGAATTTAATTTTTAATGGTTTTGAAATTATTTTAATATAACCCTCATATATTTATAAAATTAAAAAAATTGATTTTTGTCATCATCATTGTCATAAACATGTTCATGTCCACTGTCATCCTCATAATAACCATTAGTGTTGTTGTAGTTTTAGTTCAAATTGCTATTTTTTTTTATATACTTAGGGAGTGTTTAAAATACTTTGATGTGGGGTTTAGAAATAGGGGTGAAATTGTTTTTGTTCCTGAAAAAAGGGACCAAAAAACATACCTTCTGATAGGAAGTAAAAAAAGTTAAATATGGTCTACAACTTGAGGTATTGTTTAGTGTGCTGATAGTAGTTTAGGGGGTGATACCGGACAAGCTTAATGTCTAGATGCAGGGTTCCCAGAACGCTGCCCTCAGCGGCCTGTGCGAAGCACAACTCAGAGTCAGAAGTGGAACGTGAATTTCGATATGGTTTCGTAGTCAGATTTTCAAGAAAAACTTCAGCTACCCGTATTTCTCGACTGAGGCGTCAATGGGAGCTGTAATTTGTATGGCAAGGAGATGGTGCTACAATTTACATTTACGCCCACAAACCTTGTAGTTATTAATATTTTGGTTATAATAGAAAATTTTTATTTTTTGGTGACGTCACACTCACACTATAGTTAGCATGCATACGTCATAAGCTAGATTACGTCACCTTTTTCTGGTAAGGCAAACTTTCCCGGCGTGCTTTTTCATGGATAAACAAACACCACTCCTTTGCACGTGAATGCCTTGCCTAGCTAGGTCTATAAGAGCCGCATAGTTAGCATATAATAATTAAACAAGGTACGTCTGCAACTGAATTATTCTTAGGCCCTCTAGTTAATTTTTTTGTTTTCTTATTTTAATTTATTTCTTTCGAAAGTGTACTTTCTATCATATATAATTGCACTGTCTACTTAGGCATAGGCCTAGTCATATTATGCTTCATCGTCCCCCGCTATACACAGTACATCAGTAGGCTAGCGCCCCCCCCCCACGCTACAGTACAGACGTTTGCTAGGCAACAGAACGTGATTGCACCTTTCTTCCCAGGTGTTCATGTAAATTTGCATATTGTTAGTTAGTTAACCTTTGTGAAAATTAGTACCGCAGCATACTCATTTTCACAAATCATTTGCGTCCCCTCTTGGTAAGTGGGAACTTCAAGATAATTGTCTCCATATCTTCGCTAATTAATAACCGTAACTTAGCTTACACTTATGCATGGAGGGAGCACTTAAAATGTACAATAATCATTTCACTACCCGACAAACCCCGAACTTTATTTATTCATATCATTACATAAATAGTTTCATCTTGCTGTACTCCAACATCACTGGCGTATGGTAACAACCAACTGGCAGACCATTTCTAATCGCACATTACTCTCCATAACGCAGCACCCTCTAGTTCCGTGTCCTCTGGGTAACAGTGTGGAATGGATACTTGGTCAGTAAGTGCCGTTGGTCTTTTGTAACAGTAATGTTTGGGGATTTTTTTTTTCTTTTTAATTTAACTTTATTTGGCATAAAACATTAAAATTGTATAATCAAGAAATATATAGTGTTCTTTTCATGCAAATTAAACAGAAATTCCTAAAACAATTTCCAGAGGTGGCACCTGAAATTACCAAGTTATAAAATTAGAGTAGGAGGCTATATTGTTAGATAAAACAAGAGTTCCTTAGTTTGTTTTAGATGAAATTGAGTTCTATCTGTACCCATTCTGGTTTTCAATTTTCTGGAAAGGAAAAACAAATAAAAATTGACATATAATCGATCCATCACACATTAACTTAGCCTTGATTCATCAGCATAGCAATGATTTTCAGGTGCATATAGCCCATTAGGGTACAATTATTTACTAAATTATCAACAATAAATCTAGTCTAGCCTTCACAGGAGATGTCATACAAGGAATTTCATACCACAAGAGAGCACTAAAGGGTAATAATAAATAACTTGTATTTTACAATCTTCTGTAGTTAAGTATTAATTTTCTAAAATGTTTCAAGAAAGTATTCGAGGAATAGCAGAACAGATCTCAAAAAGACCTATTTGTTGTATGGTTGCAGTTTTTTTCCATTCACATTGCATTTCTGTACAAGACAATAAGGTTTATCCAGGTTGTCTCTCTTTTCTTATTGGTTGGTTCCTGGCAGTGGCAGCACCAGCATTTGAAAAGGTGGTGGTGCATGTGGGGGAAATGTATAATTTTTTAGGTGGAAATATGTTTTCCCATAGCCGACCATAGATACAATTTAAAATAAGAGATAACAGAAAATTAACACATTGCTATTATTAACTTCACTAAAGCGTTTGATATGATTGGGTGGGGTGCCCCACCTCAAGATGCTAATATTCAATTATTTTAGCACAGGAGAAATATGATTCATCCAATCTGAGCATGTTCAGAACTAACAATAGTGCACTGAAGACAAAATCAGCAAGCTTCCTTCCTATCCTGGTACAGTTAAAAGTCCTTGCTCTGGCATCACTGTTTTCCAGCAGTATTCGCACATTCCTCCGAACGTTCAAAAGTAGGAAATTTATCTTCAAAAGTTTTATCATTGATGGCAATTTTGCCTACTTGTCATTCCCACAAAGCATTGCCGATTAACTATGAGGTGTGGGCCGCAGTTCACCAGTCAATTACTTACGACTTGTTTCAAGTGATTTGTTCTCTCAATATGTTTTTTACATGTAATCTTATTCTGTCTCGTTTTGCAAATGAAGATATGCCAAATATTTTTCAAATACAATTATTAAAAATAATCTCTACATTCTCTCTTTCCATGAGCATTTTATGCTTATATACTTGCACCCAACAGCAAGTATAGCGACTCATGCCTGGTGGATGTGTAACTCTTTTGTCTTTATGTTTTGTGTCCACATTCCATGAGTTGGCCTAACTCAGCTAAAAGAAATTTAACATTGTACCACTACTCTGATTTGTCACTTTTTTACCAGAGACAATGAAAAGGTAGAAATTTCAACATAGGCAGTTGCGGCACCAAGGGTTGGAGGTGCAGTAGGGGCTTAAGCCCCCCCCCCACCGGACAGGTCAACCCCCACCGGACAGGTCAAGCGTGCTCCCCACCAAACAGGTCAAGGCCCCACCGGACACCCCCCCCCCAATTGGACAGAGCTCGTCGGGCAGTCAAGCCAACGCATTTCTGTCACAATCAGAGCGTGTCATTTCTGGCCGTCCAGAGGTTCTATTCTTAAAAATATCTCATTTGGGAGGGAGAACACCCTCTTAAACCCTTCCCCCAGCTCGGGCTTACGAACCCAAGTTCCCCCTGTTGGACACCTCAGCCTCCCCCTCCCCCCTAGCCGCCACTAAACATAGAGTCATCCCAGTCATTGGCAACCTGTGTTGTGGCTGGTCTCCCTTGAGGTCATGGGTTCTTTGGACAAGGCACTTTGTGCAAGTTCCCCCTTGACCTAGAATATTAGAATATTTATTGTTTTGCCAATTACATTTTAGAATCTTGGAATATAATTGGTTGAAATAAATGCCTGCATAGCAAAACCAAATAAAGAACCATACTATAAACTTACACATATACACTTATACAGAACCCAAAAATATCCCAGATGGAAAATCCAAAAGTTAAGGAAGAAACATATTGAGTAATCACATTGTGTTGTCATCATAAAACAAAAGCCAATATTTAACACAAAAGCCTACTGAACTTGAGTGTATGCAGTAGCTTATCAATGGTACAGCCCAGCGTACATTGGTCTTAAATATTTTGTTAGATTGTTTAATCTATAATACATTGGTATTAATCACAAGATGTAAATCTACATTTCACCAGAAAATAATTCCTCATTATTTTGTTCAGAGTTAACTGCATGTGAAAATCTGATCAGGACTTCCTTGTGTGAAGCAGATTAAAAATAGGGGTTTGTATTTGGAGAATCTGAGCTTTTATTACTGTTTTGATAAAATGGTAACTATTATGTACTTTGTTGTTTTTACAAAGATATTTTGAAATATGCTAAGCAGTGTATAGTGTTATAATGTTTTTAAAATTTATGTTGTAGACATTAAATGGAATTCCAGATCAAGATACATTTTATGACGTAACTGATGCATTGGAAGAGCAGAAGATTGAAGCAGTTGCTCAAAAGTTCATGAACAGAAGAGGAGCAGATTTGGATCTAATTGAGCAATTTAGAATATATGAGGTTTGCAATATTTTTCCTTCTTTTTGCACAAATGTTCTAGCGTAGTAGGAGTCAATATCATGATTACAAATAGTATGAGGTTTTTCTGCTAGATGTAAATGGATTTAGGTATACAGCTAACCTCATGGAATACATTGTCTGAATCTGCAATTTTTGTCTCTTCAAATCAACTTTTTTGTTTTTCTGGGTCTTTCCACATGTATCAGTTTACAATTTATTGTTGTTAAGAGCTAGGAGAGTATAGTAGGGTACAGATACTCATCACATTCATTTGACACGATCAAACAACTTTGCCCAGTTGACACAGTTTTGGACTAAACAGATCTGTGTCGTAAATAGGACTAACCAGTAAAAAATACAATTTTTTTCAAGTTTCAAAGTGTTGGTCATTAAATGTGATAGCATTGAGACTATTGGTTATTGGTGACATGTTTTTTTTTAGTTTTTAGCACATATGTACTAAGATAACTTCCTAGGTGTGGGAATAATAATGCCACCAATGCCATGAACTCTCATGATAAGATATTTTAATTCATCACACAATTAAATAAAAGCATTAATTAATCTGATTTACTGAATGTTGTTTAATTGTCAAAATCTTGGTCAGAACCATTTTTTAACAAGTTTGAAATAATTTTATTAAAATATTATATTTCACATGTTAATACTAGCAACGGAAAATATCATTTTGGTCGTTTTCATGTCTGATAAGCGAAGGCTAGGCCTATATATAAGGCAAATATTTCTAGCACCTACTATATTTTTTTTAACCAATAGATTAGAACTATCGCAAAATTAAACGTAGGAAATTTATCCTTATTTAATGTTTGTGTGGAACAAAAAAATACAAAAAAAACAAACAAATTTGAGTTTTATTTTGCAATTTTTTCATGTTTTGGAATGTCTAAATTCAGTTAAAGTAGCAATTTTGTATTGTATTTATAACTCTTTTTAACAAAATCATATAAAAATAAAAATTAATTTTGCTGGGAATGGGACTTTAACACACAAAGTAGGTGATTATGAGATAGCTAAAAGCCAATTTTGCATGATTTGGGGTATTACTTATTTATTTACTTGGGACAATATTTTGAGTGATCTTCTGTAGCTAAAGCTCATTAAGGTAAACATACAAAACAAACAAGGCGATGATTTGTACATTAAAGTAACTCTATGAAACAGATTTAATTACACAATTTTGAACAATAAAAAATAAGTACATATACAAATATATAATAAATGTATATAGAGCACTCAAATCATAAAATAAATAATATTTATTTAGTTCCTCTTATTATTGGCTAAAATCTGCATAAATGTTAATATTGTTCTTAAACACTTCAGATGTCTCTAAAAAATGAAGATGGTGACAGTGATATTCCAATTGAGCAACATCGAAACTTGCGTAAAAATCGGAGAAGCGCCGAGCCCCAAGTGAATGGAAAGACACCACGCAAAAGTAAACGTAGCACTAGCACACTACAGCCTACGCAGCAATACATTCTTGACACAAGTCAGGAAGAGTCCACAGAGCCAAATCTTGCCAACGAGTCTGAGAATACTGAAAATGGTGATAGAATGACACCCTACCGCAGAAGAAGGGAAAGAAGGTAAGGCCATGGGCTGATGAATTTTCCATGTGATTGTTGCTATGCTATTGTTCAGAGTACTTTCATTTGTTTCAATTACAATAGGTGTAGGTCTATTATATTTAGTATTAGGTATTGAAAAGAAAATGATAATTTTTTAAATACATCATTACATTTTCATCAGTCTTTTTAGAATTCTGATTCTGATTTTATTTATAGCTATTTTTTCACTTGTATCAGGCATTAACTTGTGATGATTATGACATCAATACCTTAGTGCTGTTTAAGAAAGATATACCATTTGACATAATATATGAAAAGATTCCATATTATTTCACAATTTTCCAACCGAAAACTAAACAAAATCTTTTTTTTTTCCCCCAATTTTTCAACCAGACTTTGCTTGTCTTCATCAGATTATAATTTTGCAGATTTCATTTGGAAAAGTGTGAAATAATAATATGGAATCTGTTAGCAACAGCCAACCAAGAAATAAAGAATCCTTAAATATTGAAAGAACCCTTCAGGTTTTCCAATAAAAATCGATTAGTTCATTCACAAATCCAAAATAAAGAAACTTCCAGTGGTACATAGATAAAAACAAAATTAATTTTTGCTGATTTACAAAAATTTACTATAACAAATCTATAAATTGATTACCACCCAATTATCATTCTATATTTAAATTAAAAAGCTATTCTTGCGTATAAAGTAAGCAATCAACATAGTGTTTTTTGTCACACATTCTACCAACTTTAAAAACTTTTTACCATTCTTAGAGTATGATATATTATACAACATATGTTGTATTCAATATCATGTTACCTATAATTACTGTTTTCATTATGACTATTCTAGGAGAAGGCCCCCAGAAGAACCTCCCTCTCCTGAACCAACACCAAATACAGCAGCAACCACAACTCCAGGTGAAGAAAGTTTATTTGAGCGACGGCAACGAATAAGACAACGAGCTCAACAAAAACAGGAAGACTTGATAGCTAGAAACAGTGAGTTTTTTTTTTTCATAATTGTCTTGTAATGCAATAACATGCAAATATGATCATGTACCATGGTTTATCTATATAATGTGCCATATGCCAAAATAACACTTTCATTCTAGATAATCAGCTACTTGGCAATATATGTAATCGCGTCATTAATTTGTTTAGGACATATTACATTTTTATCTGTTATATTTCTGATATTTTTAATCTTTTCTATGGATTTCACTAAGGAAGACATGTATCTTTCTGTAAATTATGATATTGAATGTGTCTTATCGTTAATGAATTTATTTTGGTTCAAAGGTGATAGTATCAGTAATGGTCATGTGACTTCCTGTGGCATGAAGTCCGATACCTGAGACGCCATACAATGAAGAACCAAAGAAATTTTGTTATACATTGACTATAACATTTTACTTATTTTGGATTATAGCTTTTCATCATATTAACAAAAAGAGTTTAATTTTTTTCCAAGGGTAGAAAAGTAATATATATTCTTTCAACATTAATTATGTACTAGGTTTAATTGATTTTTTTTCATCTGATAAGATTCTACCAAATATTGGTCAAGTTCTCTTTTCGTTTCTATTTTAGGAGTATGTTTATTACTGCAGTCTTAGTGTGATGTTCTTTCCTTGTACCATTTCTTTGGTTTCCTTCCTGTTTGATTTTTGCTTACAGTAATATTAACTGTATGATGCAAACGTCAAATATGGATGTTGAAACACATGCAACAAATGTGTGAAATGTCATTTTTAATTCCTATGCATGTAATGCAATAGGAACTATTGTAATCACTTTTCACTGTTTTCTCTGTGTGTAGTGTGTGCGAGCGTGTATGTGTAGACATTTATGAAAATGTGCATGCGTAAAAAAAAAAGTTTTCCAACATTTTGTTTTTCCTTGCGATGCTAAGTTCGATGTGAAGTTTCTGCAGTGTTCAGTCAGGGCTTAGGCTAACTGATCGTTAAGTTGGCATGGATAAAACTATTTTGGTTTTGCGGCAAAAAAACATCAACTGCTGTAGGCATAGGCATTTTGAAGAAAGCCTAAAATTAAAAAAAGGTTTTTAATACTTGGTGAAATACATTGTTTTTTTCATTTAGATCTGCATTTTTCGCTACTTCCATTACATTTTTTCTATTCCATTACTTTTTCTGTTGTATATGAAAGTACTATAACCCCGACAGTTGGATATGCAGCAGTGTACCATTTGAATGCAAACTGAAAACAAGTGAAGATATGAAGGCAGCCGACTGTCTGGTACATAACGACTATCTAGCTTAGGCTTTCTACAAAAACATGAGGTCTAGTTTAGTACAGTAGTTACTGCGATGTGAGAGTGGCAGATCGTTTAATTAATGATATCGTGTTATCGTCTAATACGTAAAATACATTTAAATAATGTGTGTAAAATTTATGAATGCACCGCGTGGGTCGCTTTCTTTGTTATGCGGTAGTATACGTGGCAGAGTGACGGCAGCAAGACTAGGCCTAGCCTAGGGCCTAGATTGTGTACGATCTTGATCATCGTGATGAAAATTTCGGGTGACAGACGATTGGGCCCATCTGGTGTGGACGATCGGGCCCAAGCTATTTTCAAATAAATTGTATATTGTCTAGTAGGCCACTACTAGCTCCCCCACTCCCGATATCGTTCCAAACTACTGTAAAATGAAAATACTCTATACCTAGCTAGGCCTAAGCCTACAAAAAATTTTCAATGAAATTTGCTAAAAATATTACTGTAAATTTGCCTATCAAATTACATTACCAATGTGGTCTAAAATCACTATTTTGGGCCATAAAGACTCCCCCTGAATTTTTCAACCACCACACAAATTTGACCCAACCATATTTTCTGATTATGTCAATTATGATGACTTAATCAGAAAATAAGTCATGTATCATGCATAGGAACGTTGACGCCTGCAAGGCTCTGATTGAAGTAGTGCAGTTAACCCCTTTTCAGCCTATTACCTTTCAAGAGACATTTTTCTTTTCGTTTTTTTTCCCAAGACATTATTTTTCTTATTCTTCATTGCTTTAAGTTGAGTGAAATATTTTATAATGTTTTGATTTTGTTTAACATAACATTGTGTAATGCCTGGCACATTTATGTTCTGAATTTTCAACTAGGTGAGACATTTTTCTCTCCAGATTAAAATTTTTGAGGAAACTACTTACTATGTGGTAATTTACCTACAAATATGTTTCTTATTTCATTCTTTGTACTAAAAGTATCATTGTATTTATCCATGGTCTAGAATACACTGTGTTAGAGAAGGATACCCATTACATTTATCTACATGATCATGAGGCATAATGACTGGATAGTGGTAATACTGTAGCTATTTTAAATGCTCAAAATTGCATTAAAGGGGTGCTTAAGGCTGTCTCTGGGTGATATGATACATTTTTCAATAGAGCTCCCTCTTGAGAGAGAAATATAGAACAAACATGCTATTTTGAAAGTAAACAATACATTATAGGAACAGAGAATGCACACAGCTTTAAAAAATAATCACAGCCTACGTGAGGTGAAATATCAGGTGACACATATTCTTTTTAATCGCTAAAGTATTTCATCTGGGACTTAAAAACTGACAATCAAAAGCAGCTTAGATCACTTGGAAAATTCTTGATTCTCATTAATTCAAATAATATTAAATGATTATGAATCAATTAGCATATGAATGATTATTCCAAACAATATTTCATGAATATTATTTAATACTATAATTATATGAATGATTATTAAATACATGCACAAATATTATTAGTCTTAAAGTTAAAGTACCACAAATTATATCTGGCTACTGAAGATAATGGGTTCAACAACGGTGAGTGACACGGCACTAGGAGCATTCTATAATCATACCATCACAATTATTTTTTGTTTGTTTTTAAGCTTAATATAGTATCATTCCACCTAAAGGCTCTAAGTTTCTGTTTCTGTCTATAATATATTATCGTTAAGAAATTTATATCAGTTAACATTTGCCTGTCGTAAAATGCTAAATCTAATTAGTTTATACTTTACATTATAATAATTAGGTTACCTTTACGCTCTCGGTCTATACTACAGCAATTTGCTGGATCACTGCATGAATTCAAATTTAATCCTTTAGATTAGTTAATAACAATTAAATATACACTCATTGATTAGATTAATTTGTATTTGCCACGAATGTCTATTAGTTTGTATGATGATCATGATCAGCAAATTTGATACCATAAATTTCCCCACAATTTTAATACTTAACAACATCCTTGAGTAGGCCCCATCTCTAATTTATATGTGGTGACGATGCATCTTTCATCACAGTTGAATCTCTCCCAGCACAGCTGATTTCCAGCAACTCGCACGGCTAGTGCAACTCTTTTTTTTCTGCTTCCAAAAACAACATACCTTTTAAATTCATGTCACATAATGAAATTCTATGTTAAATATTTTTGTTCTGTTTTTATGTCTGCTTTTAGAAATATAGGAGAGCTTCATGGTATCCTTTTTAGTTTATCAAGAGAAGACGCAAATGAGAGTATTCAAAGAAAATTTAATCTTCTACATAGGGTACTACAGCCAAAGAAAAGACATATTTACTTTTGAGGAAACAATAGATTTTTTTACTATTATAATTATCATCATTTTGTTTAATTCCACTCTTTCCCCTTTTAAATTATTGTTTTTAAAATTTTTCACAGTTTTCTTTCCTTAGGTTTTCTTTATCTTTTCAGTTTTAAAATTATTTATAATTTTGCAGTATTTTATAAGTTTTCAATTTTTCTTAGGAAATAGAATATTTTACAGATGAGATTATTGGTGGTCATGTTTTTCTTCAATCAATAAGAAATTGGGGAGCATTATAGATTGCTCTCCTGGATCAATTTTATGGAGTGTGTAAAATCTTTACTTTATTTTTATCCATGATGTAGTCAATAGTCTGAATTGCTTTCTTAACAGTATGTTGTTAGTGAAAGCTGTCCCTTCTGTCAAATTTTCTTCATTTTTGGGATTGTTAAAATGTGATTTTTCTTTTAATTTGAGCCAAATGTTTTTATTTTTGGACTTCATATTTGATTTGATACAACTGAAATTAATTTACAATTACTATCACAATTTATATCTTATCCATCAACGCAAGAATTCTTTCTGTTCATTTTAACTGACAAATTGTGTTTGCACGAAATCGAGTGACACTCGTCTTGCATCTTTAACATTTGAATGCAGCAGCTGTTTTGTTACGCAATTAGGTCACACTGTTAACTCAAGTTGATTTTAAACGTTTATTATGTTTATAATCAGGTCTTTGGAAATGCCAAGGCTCATAATTTTATTTGGTTAATTGAATTAGTCCATACATCTTGGTACATGTGTGTCAGCTGTTTTCTGAAGAATGAACGAAGCATTGATTGTTAAGTAGTTGTTATTGTGAGATATGGGTATTGTGATAATTTATTTTTTGATGATTAAATTTAGTAATATTTCTGTACAATTTGCTGTCTTAATATTTTGCAATTCACATATTTTAATATTAACGGTTAGAAGCTTTTGAAGTAAATAAATAAACTTTCCTAGCACATCAAAGCAGTTGCTCATCACTTATAAAGTAAATAATGATGATGAAGTTACGCTTGTTTCAGTGGTACTGTGGTATGATAACAATGGTCATATTATAATTATATCAGAATGTCTGTGGATGTTATAATGCTAAACTAACATCCGAGAACAAATTTAAGTGCTTAATTTTTTTTTTTCCAGTAGCCTTTATAATTATTTAATATTATTTAATATTCCTGTATTCTTTTTCTATTCTGCTTTTTAAAATTTGTTACTCTTTTTTGTTAATTGAGGTCCAAGCGATAAACAATCTAAGTACAGATTAAAACTAGAGAAGCGAAGGAATGCCAAGTCTGCTAAAAAGGGCATCACTGGAAAGACTCCTGCAGTGTCTTCTCCAAGTGAGTCCATATGTAATTCTGATTAATGTTTAATGACCTCTTAAAAAATATTTTAATTTGAACATCATACATATTTTAATGTGAGGGAATATTACTTTTATTGGTGGGCTTCATGTGCCTAGACAGCTTTTTATGTTTACACTGGCCTGGCTGAAAAAATGAAAAGAAATTATATTTTTTCTATTTCTATTCAAATTCTAAAGTCATGTTTGTCTTATCTCTTCTGATGTTGTCAGGTGTAAGCTTGCAGCTAGACCACGGTAAACATTGCAAGGGGTCTATGCTGTCAGGTACAGTTTACATTTTCAATCAATAGAAATTTTCAAAACATGGAAAAGTTCGAAACCATTATTTAAAATATGTCATAAACCTGTTTCCTGTTTCTTATAATAAAGTTCATTTCAATTAAATTTTAAATTAACATTTAATAATAGACATTAAACAGACCACCTTCTTAATATTTCTATTCAGTTTTTACTTTAATGTTAAATTTGTTAGCTGGTATATTTAGATATAAAAGTGTAATATAATATTGAAGTCTTGCCTTAAATATATATTATAATAATAAATATAATAATATTAGATATAAATACCACCTTTTTTGTCTTCTATTATATATCTAATTCTTTTGTTTGTTCCACTCTTTCAAGATTCTGCTGACCAGAAATCATCAGAATCAAATCTTAAGAATAGTACAAACCTAGATATGAGCTCATTAAATGCTGAAGCAAAAACTTCTGTTAAGGGTAATTCTAGTGAGTAATAGTTGAGCTTTGCTGTGTTTGTGTATTCCACTGAAGGCCTGCCTTACCTTCTGGTATTTTTTTTTTATAAAAATCAGAAGTGCCTTGAGTGAATAGCATACTAGAAAAGTTTGGGTGCTATTTATTGTAGAGGTTTTATTTCAGTGTTGTTCACAAGTATTTTTCTAACATAATTGTTGATTGTTAGACAAACATATATGTATAATTTGAACGAGTGAAGAGAGTAATATGTTATTTCTTCTAATTATAATATAATATTAAAAGTGGATCAGCTTTATTACTCGCTGAGCATCAAATGTGGTTGTGCAGCTGGAAGGCACCTTTTACTTCAAAACAGCAACAACTATATATACTATAGGGCCCTATGAAAAATATTATTAGTTTGTCACCCTACCAAGACTGAAAACGGTGAGGGAGGGAGGCTTTTTTTATGTTTTTTTTTTTACTTTGCTAAAGCCAAATATCACCCTTGGGTTGTTTGCTGGTGCATTGAAATTCAAAGTAAAACATGATTGAGATAATATAAACAATATCTACTCATTATTTAATTTAACAAATGAAAAAAAAAATTGTTTTTGAAAAAAAAAAATTAAAAAAAAAATCTTAAAAACAATATATTTCTTCAGTACCATAGAAGGCATTCACACAAAGGTGATAAACTAATACATTTTTTTATTGGGCCTAACAACAACCTACAGTACATCAACAACCTCCACCTATATTCATGCCCCCATAGACCTGTTGTATGAAAAAAAGTATGAAGTAAAAGAATAGTGACTTTTTGCTCCAAAAAGGAAGATGGTTATGGGATTGTTATTGTAATACTTTGTATAATTGCAAATATAAGCAGCATCAAGTATCCATGACTTACCTACTTACTTACCTACTGAAAATGAAGCACGACGACGGCCACTACTTGCCTGCCCTTTTGCAGCTTTGGCCTCGGTGCCCTCATGACGCTTAATATAGATCGTTTGACACGTAAAATAAATTTAAATAAGAACGTTCAAATCTTGAAAGAAAACACGAAAAAGTCAAAAACGTAGGTTGCCTAGGCTAGCCGAAGCCTAGATAAAGTTGCAGTGACACAACATGAGAGAATTTCCATGTGTGTTGATACGAACTGTTATTGCAGTTACCGTTGTGTGCGCATGCGTCGGACTCGAGCGGTAATTGCAGTAAACATGTGCTTGCTGTGCAGCTAGCTTTGGGCGACGATCTAACATCATCGCAGCTCAAGCGTGTGAAATTAACCTAATTGGTTGACACTTGGTTAATCTAGTTGCTTGATGACAGCCAGTTTAGAGGTGTGGCCTCCACTCCGATGATGACACTCTGAGCAACAACATCAAATATTGAACTTTTTGAACTGTTTTGTTTACGATTGCCGCCGCCCAAAAAAACTAAAAGTATTTTCCAACATTGAATCGATAATAGTTAATACGGTGGCTTGGCTAGGCCTAGCATGGCTACGAATAGAGGCACTAAATCAGATTTTGCCTTGGTGCCCTTTTACATTAGGAATTTTTGCCTTGGTGCCTTTCCATTTGCCTTTCAAAATCATATCACACCGGAGGCCATTTGGCCTTGCCCATAAAATGCCCAAATTCGAGGCCTGCCTCTGGTGTTAATGGTTATCTTGATTTATATTATATGTGACTATTTGTTTCTAGCCGTACCTGTTGTGTAATGGAGTGTATCTGGTGGTATTTAAATCTGTTCAACTATGAAGCCTCTATGGTCTAATGGTTATGACGCTCGCCTTGACAGCGAGAGGTCGCATGTTCGAGACCCTCAGAGGCATTTTATTACACAATTTCTTTATTCATTTATTTGCCGGACTACATTCGTTGAGAGCTATGCTACACGGTGTATTATTATGTCCTTTACTTGAACACTGTATTTACCTTTCTTTGATGATATATATATATATATATATATATATATATACACTTATACCACTTTTATTTTTTTTTTTTTACATCTTTCCCTTATTTTTTCCAGTCAATCATTATATTTTTATTTTCATCAAATAAAGCTAAATTAGCAACCTATCAATACACAACTCAAAAGACATATACAGTAGGTAACATTGTTTGTATGCACATATTTTTTTCTTTCATTACTTGCTCAAAAAGCTGCAAATAATGAAGATACATTAGAGTCTGAAGTAACAAATAAATCAACAGCCGAGATTTTCAGCCAGCATTCATATACTGCAACATCTGCAAATAGGTAAAAATTCACCTGGCCCAGTAACACTTGTGACACATGGTTCTGTTAGTGAGTGTACCGTTGTGTTTTCGACTTACACCATCAGCCAGGATCAAGTTTACTCACTGGAATTGTTTTTTAAAATGTATGCTTAAATCCCATCTCATTCTACCTTCCCTTCATGTCAGAAATGTATAATATTTCGATTTTTCAATCTACCCGTATGCATCTGTATAGCTATTTATGCGTTTCAGTCTCTGTGCAAGCAAATATTAAATGCATTTAGTTAAGCATATTTTTTTGAAATGCATGGGTCTACTTCCCCATGGCATTTCACATTACTTGGCTGTGTGTGACAAAGCTTACATAACCTTATGCCAATCTTTGCTTTACTACAAATTAATACAAGTTATAATATAAAAACTAGATGAAATTATTTGTATATTCCATTCCATGTGTCATCATCTTGTTTTTTTTTATCATCCTTTTAACTGGTGCTTATTTTTTTTTTTGCTAAATTAGGAATTGTTTTGTATTCTGCAGTGTAGAGTTATTTTATATTGTCTTGCTTAAACTTTGTTCTTACATTACGCATGACATACTGTAGCAGAATCACCTTGTCAGATTTCCTCTTCTATATAAATCTATGTAGATACTCATCAACGCCTGTTAAGCATCTGGATGAGAGCAGGGGCTTGAGATGAACCATTACACCGGGGTAACACCCTACTCGTCTCGAAAGATGCACTGGGTTCTTTATAGTGGACATGAGCCATTGTGTACACTGGGCCTACGGTTTATAGTCCTTATCCGAGAAGACTTGCTCCACCTCCAGAGCCATAGCCTATATTATGGCTGTAGGTTACGGGCCCCTGCCATAAACACTCGGCCATTTGACTTCACCTTAAATTGAGCATATTTCAGATGAGCTGAAAAATGCTACATCTTTGCCTACAAACCCAGCTGATAATACTAAAAATCCAGATACTATGGATGCTGAAAATTTCTTTAGTTGGGCTGACAATTGGCTAAGGAGTTTTACTGACATGGAACAAGCAAATTTCAACAGTGCAGCATGTTCTTGCTAAAAAAAAAAAGCTTAATTTACAACTTGGATTTTAGGAAAAATATCAAGTGTCATCCTAAATGATGCTGCAAGTTTTCCCTTTATCCCCAACCAATAATCCACCCTAGTGAGTTTAGTGTAACTATCGGTGTTTGTGTACAGTGCAGTGAGAAAAATACTTTAAAAGTTAGTTACAGTATGGATAGTTTATCATAATATGAAGTAATCACATTTTTTTCAGCTCCTTTACATTTATTTGAATATGAATAAATTATTTAATTGAACCCTTCGGTCTTTATTTTTATCACCTTTCTCGATCACCATAAAGGTTCTCCACAAGAGGAGATATTTTCTGAAGATGAAAAATATAACCCTACGTCAGTTGCTGAGAAATTGTTGGCCAAGGATCTACCTGTATGCAAAGGAATAATAGATCCATCATCACTGAGCCTCAGTGAGTAAACCCAAAGAATGAACATAAAGAGAGCACATTAAACTCTTTTGAGCGTAAACAAACTATACAACCCTGTACACAGCTATTGACGCCTGCTACATTTAGTCGTCACTTTTAGTTACCCAATAGTGCCCAGCAGTTTGGGTAGTTGCTGAACAGGTTCAGCTGAAGGGCATGGCTTGTATCATGTATCGTTATACCATCTACCTAAAAACATCACACATACACTGTGACCAATGTGACGTTAGCGAGCAGGCTGAGGCTTAAACCCGTATTCTTGAAACAAACTTTAGTCGAACTTCGAACTAGAACTTCATTTAGTCTTAGTTGCAACTTCAACTTCAGTTTGTATTCACAAACAACGTAGTAGAAGTTCTAACTACGACTAAATCAAGTCCTAGACGACTGGCAAGCAACAACTATCAAACTAACCAATAAAAAGAGCTAATTTTAATAGCAGACGAAATTTTAGATATCTGGTAACGCGGAAGAATATTAAACTGCTGTCTTTCAAAACATATTTCTTCATAATTGACCATTAGTCGCCTAATTAATATTATATAATAATAACTATATTAGTTGTTAACATCAAACGATAGAGAATTTGAACTGTCACTAAAAATTTGCTTTCTTTGGAGAACTATTATAGTTGAGGTCGAGCGAGGGTGGCGCTATCTTTGTTGTTGTTACGGTGAATCTATGGGATCGCAACGCGAGAGGATTTTGTGCAAATCAGGAACTGTTGCATGTATCTTGCAAAACATGCTAATTTTGCCTTTTGGAAGCTAAACGTAATGTCCCTTTTCTTGAACAGAGTGGAGATACATCGGACCTACCTATACAATCATTTTTATCCATTTCACTTTATCGTAAGTTACAAAAAGCACATTTTCATCGTTGTAAATATTTCAAGTCGGCGATTTAGCCTGACCCTGGGCTGTCTAAAAAAATCGGCCTGCGGAAGTATAATTTTAGGCGAGGTTCGCGTCCTTAAGAATACAAAATGGCGTAATTTTTAAGTTTTAGCTTGAACTACGACTGAAGTTTGTTTTAAGAATGCCGGGGTGAGTTTTGTGATACTGCTACGGCCAGGTGATGGACGATCGGGCCCATCCCACGTGATGATCAAGTCTATTTCCAGACGATTGGGCCCCCTAATAATGGACAATCGTAGGCCTAGGCCCCTCTAGGCCTGCGCTGTTTCGGACCAGGATACCTCTTCAGTAGAGTCCCAGGCCTAGACTAGTGCATCCATCAACCAGGCCCCATAACTTGATAATATTCTAGGGGTCCTAATTTTTTTTGGGGGGGGGTAGCACACACACACACCCAGGGACAACTTATTTTTTCTTAGCTGTCGTTCAACATTATCAACATTTTTACAACTGTACAAAGAGTACAATGGAGGAATTGGTTGTACGGACTGTAGTTTGCATTGCTGTGTGTTTACAGACAGGGCCCACTCTTTGTCGAGGAGATTAAGGCGAACGCCATACAAAGCCACACCCCCTCGTCTGAACCTGTTCTATTTTCATGGAAGTGTGCCTCACACACAGACAAACAGTAGTTATTAAAATAACTACTGTTTGTCTGTGTGTGAGGCACACTTCCATGAGACAATCAAATTCAGCGGGTGCACTTTATGACAACGATGGCGACTTCATCATTACTAGGGAGTGATGTATAGTATTTAGAAACATGACTGTGCTCTCTTTACTTCCTACTCTTTGGTAAACCTTAATCCGATATAATGATCGCAGACTAATTGCAAAAGGTATAAGATATGTGGTTTAATGATGGATGCTATAAAATTTATATATTACATATGGCCTGCTTTAGATTCGGGGAACTGTGAAATCTATTGCCCCTCGGAACAGTAAAATATAATAACTATAATAATATATATATTCTCTCAGGCCTTTGGCCCTCGGGAAAATAGGCTATAATCTCCACATCACCTCGGGGAAAAAGATTTTACCATTCCCTCATAAGCAGTCAATATTTGTATATTACATTATAGTATTAACTGTTATTCTGGTTACTGTGCTCTGATAACAATGAGCCTAGAGAACGTAATCTGTGTCTTGACCATCCGTCCTAGGAATGTGGGCAATCACCCTACCGTGTACGTATTTCTCCTTAAGGAAAGTCAACCATTTTTCATCCGTCTGCTTTACTGCTCTCGAAATCCAATCTGCCATATTAAGCGGAGTAAATTTCGGAATATTTAACGATTTCTGAAAATTTAACTCGCATTTAAATGTGCAAATGCAGCAAGAAATATGAGCTTTACAACAGTAACATAGAGAAGACGCCATGATTACTGTGTAGAGTATAAACATGGGAAAGTTTCTGCCCCCAAAGGTTTATTATGATTCTATACCCAATACGTTTGTAGATGTCTATTCGCCATATCCCACTATTATACTCACATTATTTCAGAGCAATAAATTCTTTCCAATCATAAATCTTTACTTCCCCTCCAACTTCCATCCTTGCCCATTTCTTCTATCTATACCTCTCTCAATCAATCCCATCAACCCTCTATTTACCTAAGGACCATTTTTGTTACAATAATGACGATTTTAAAGGGATAAGGCAGCCATTTCTCTAATTTAGGCCTTGCAGATTAATTTTCATAGTCCGCAAAATGCATTGTGTTTTTCTACTAAAAGAAAATATACGGATAATCATTGTATTGGAAGATATAAATATAAAAAGTGATTTAATTAATATTCTATACATTCTAAACTCATTCAATTAGTAAAAAGTGAACTGGTACAATTTAGTTTGATAATATTATGAATATTGGAAATAATATATTATGTTTGCATATACAGTATAGAACAAATAAATAATTTTCATTTATATATTCTTCTGTCTAACTTCATTCTTTCTTTCTCTGTCTTTAAAAATTCCGTACTATTTGAAGGCCTAGATTCAGTGGCTAGAGATTCTAGTAAAACAGAGTCTGATGGAAAACATGGGGCAAATACTCTGAATATTGAAATGGTATCTCCAGCCAAGGCTAGCCCTAGTGAGTAGTTATTGTGATGACATATTATACAAAATTACATATACTGTTAAGAAAATCAGTTTATAGATATATATGTTTGCCCTCAATATTTAAAGTTCTGTGGAACTTGCACTAAGGTTTATAAATACGCTGGTGTGTGTATATATATACACCATATTTGTAATTGCAAATATGGTGAAATTTATGATTATGAATGCAAATCAAATTTGATAATATGTTTCTAAAGTATGCATTACATTCATGGTTTATATATCATTCCTGATGATGACATAATTAATGTCGAAACATTGAATCCCAACACGATGGCGTGTATTTCAATACTTGGAGTATGTATTATACTATCTTATCTGAGATTAATCAGTGGACCTTTTGGTATACTTGTTGGTGTTAAAAAAAAAACAAACTTGAATCATATTCTCTTCTCCTTGCAGTTACTGCTTGCTTTCTCGGTCATCTTAAATGTATTTTTCATTTTTTTCTACCTTTATTGTACATCTATTTCCTCTCATACTAGCCTCTTCCCTTGATGCTTTCGAGTTTGTGAGCCTTGGAGATATGTCTCCTCAAACTAAATTCAATAAGCCAAAGTGGTCAATGACTTCAGAACAACCAAGTACCACCTCAATAAACTGTGAGTGTTTATCAGTTATTGTGTGAACTAACATGCGTGCTTAATTCTACTGTATTCCGTATTCTGATATTGTAGTTTGGTTAACACTACAATTATTTAAGCCTGGAAAGTGAAATTTATCATGTAGGGCCTACATGTACATACTTCATAGTCATCTAGATAAAAACTGCATATTAATTTTAAGAAGAGTTTTACAATTAGTTAAATTTTGAAAGCTAATGCATGGATATGTCACATAAATTTGCACAGAAACTTCTTCATGGAATGGTAACTAACCATGAAACTATATGATGTATACACCATGAACATTAATTTAGTTTGGTTTCCTCTGCACGTGATGAGGAGGACATCTCAACGATAGGTCAGTATTTCTCTTAGTCATCAATGAAGAATAGAAATTCTATCAAAGATGTGCATTTAATTTATCTGTTACTGTTATTTCCCCCTTTTGCATTGCTGTTACAGCACTCTATCATCCACTTTGTTGCTTTATTTCTTCACTTTCTCTTTCTGAAAAGCTTGCACCAATACTGCTTTGCATGCCTCGATATGTAAGCATGCAAAGAAACATCTTCAAGACCAATCAAAGCAAAAGCATCAACCTAAAGAAAGTGGTATAGTTGCTGAAAAGCACTTAGCTACAATATCAGAAATCATCATAGACAAGAATTTACAATCGAAAGAAAACATTCAAGAAAATGACAATAAGAACATAAATTATGTTGACATTGAGGATTATAAGGTCTGGTATGATGAAACAGATGACTTAATTGATGATGTAAGAAAAACCAATTATCATGACATCTGTGATACAAGTGAACAATGTAAGCTCAAATCCAAGATGCTGAAGGATGTGAATATAAACACTGACCCTTTGTGCTCAAGGTTAGATGCTGAAAGTAAAAATAAAGCCTCAATTGAGGAAGAACCAATTGCATCTCACAGTTTTGCTGAAAATATTGAGGTGGGAATAAACAAGTATGAACAAATCTCAGAAGGAAAGAAAAGACTACAAGCTGTTGTGATTGACTTTGAAGATGACACTGCGCATAGATTGGCTGATAGGATAATTGGATTGGACCTCACTGTGGCTGTTAACGAGCAGACTGTTGACCCTAAGCCTAGTTTAGCTACTCAGTTTGAAACAGATAGAGCACAGTTAAACTCAGATAAGGAGAACTTACACAACAGTTTAGAAGCATGTAGTAATGGATCGAGTGAGTTCAATAGTAGTGAAATCATGGATTTAGATAATGGAAATCATTTAACTGTGAAAGAAGATGATACCAAGAATTATATAAGGATAGAGGATTTTGAGAGGGTAAAATTTGGAATAGCGATAAATACACCAGGTGATGAATCAAATTCAGAGGACATATCAAGTAGAGATTGTTACAAAAACAAGGAAGCTAAAGTTGGAATATTACTTCCAGATATTAAAGTTGAAAAAGAAAGTAAAGGCAATGTAAGTCAAAACACTATTGAAGAAAAATGTTGTAGTAAACATAAAGTTAATGATGATATTAAGATCAGAAATTCTGAAGATAATGTTGACTTAATTAAAAGCAATACCACAAGGGAATCTAATCTAAGCAGCAATGATTTTAGCTCTGAGTTTTTTGAAGATGGTGTGTCAGACCCACCATTTTCAAATGATAATGAAGGTATAGAGCCATCCAATTCTTCAAATACACTTGTCAGCTATGTTGAAAAATGTCATTCAGTGGGTGATACATCAGATGAATATTTATCATGTGAGGATGAAGAAAAAGAAATTGTCAACATGGGGCAGGAACTGCAATCAAATGATGATAGTGACGAAACTGAAGAAGAATTATCTCAAATATTACCTGGTAGTTTTTCCTTGAAGAATGAAGAACTTCTAATTCAAAAAGTCATTGAAAAAGATTTGATCGGTACTACTAAAAATGGTGAAAAAGTTTTAGAAAGCCTTTGCAGTGATAATATTAGTTGTTCAATTGTTGTAAATGATGTGGATAAATTAAGTTTTGGCGACTCAGACTCTGGTGTAGGTGATGAGGATATAAGTACCCCTGTACATAGTATTGAATCTGGAAACATTCAAGTTGCAGATCTAAGCAAAGAGGACATTCTCTCAGGTACCAGCTATGATGAGGTTCATAGCAATTATAGATATAAGGATGTTGTTTACATTCAAGAAACCAGGAAACTTGAAGTGTGCAATGTGCTAGGTCAGGGGGTTAAGTTTTGCAATCTCTCCATAGAGGAAAAGAAGCAGCTTGTTGAAACCCAGTCTGAAATTGAAAAGCCTAAGGCTAAACACGAGGCAGTAGATTCATTTGATGTTGATAACAAAATTAATAGTGATTATAGTGGTATTGGAAATATAACCATAGATACAGGTGTTAATACAGACAAATCTAGCTGTGGGCAAAATGAGGACGTGAACTGTAAGAACATACATGACATAAAAAATTGTGATGAAAAACCTGAATCAAACACTTGTGAACCTATTAATTATTGTACCATTCAGAAAGTTACTGCAGGGAAAACTGCAGTAGTAGAACCGGCAACAGAGGGCAACGGTTATCAGATACAAAAAGAAAATAGTGTGCAATTACAGGTATCACACCAGGAACTTTTTGGCGGATATTATGGAGAATTATTTCAAGGTAAGTCACCTGCCTTGCCTCATCTTGAAAAGGGTAATTTAATTGTGGAGTCTGCATCGGATAATTCATCGTTGGATAAAAGTGAGAAAAATGTACCTCAGACAAATGGCACCGATCCCTGCAAAGTAACAGCAGATGACAGTGCGACAGCAAATATGGCGTGTTCAACAATTCAGCCTAAATACTGTGATATCACTGAACATGTTTTTTCACAGATTAGCAAGGATGATACATCAACAGGTTGCATTATCTTTGGTGATAATTATAGTAATAGCACTGATTATTTAAGGAACCCTCAAATGGAATACAGTTGCAATGAAGAAACTGATAATCTCAAAGACTATGATAAATTGACAGCAATTAATTTTGATGATGGTATAGGAACCCAGTTGTGCAAAAGGGAAAATGAACAAAAATATGTCGATGCTAGAAATGTGATGAAGGATAAAGATGAACAGGAAATGAGAATTGTAGAAGATGATAATGATGATAATAGCTCTGTTGATCTAGCACCATTACATAGTAAATTAATTTTATCCAATTGTTTTAATGATTTTTCTGGGGGAAAATCAGCTGATTGTAACTCATCTACAGTGTTGCCTAGTTTTAATGTCAGGGAAGCAGTTGACATCTCATATTCCCACAAAGATAATGCTGAACTTCAATCACAAGTATGTAACTCCTTTGATGATACTGAAGAAGCCTCTGTGGATAGTTCAGATAATGACTTTGTAAACCTGAGAAAAACCGATGTCAGTACATTAACAGGAGAGATAAATAAAGAAAAGCAAGGTATACAATGTAAATTGGTAGATGAAAAAATCGATTTTTTCACTGTGAGTGACACTACTTCAACAGAAAAGGAGACTAATGACACGCATGTCATGAATTGCATTACAAATGCATATTCAGATGATAGTACTTTTGCCAACCAAGAAATAATTGCAGAACAAGACACTTGGATTAGCATAGATATTGTAAAAAATCCCACAATTGATGAGAATCAGTCTATTTGTGGAGAAAGAGAATGCTTTAAAAGTCAAGATACAACTGAGTTTTTCACAGAAATTGAAGAGGTTACAATTGAACCTGCAGCGGAAGTTGATACCATGTCATTTCTTAGTCAATGTATATCAAGTAATACCACTTTAGGAGAAGTAGATAAAGTTGAATTTGAAATGAGTGAAAGAAATGTTGATAGCAATCAGCCATCTACCCAGGAGTTAAACGGGGACCAGATTTGTGAACCTTCATTAATTGATCATGCAAATAAATTTAGTTTTGAGCCAGTGATTGATGGGACAAACAAGACTGATGATCAAATAGAAGATGTTGATGGTAACATCCATGCCATAGAAACAAATGTAGATATCATGCAAAATATTAAGTTAAAGGGTGTTGAAGCTGAGGAATTTGGTGATGTCTCTAAATTTTCAACAGATCTAAGTTTAGAGCAATCAAGTTTATCTCAAAGGATTGAAATCTCTAATAATTCATGTGCATCTCCAGTATTTCAGAGTACTGAAGATGTCTGCATGTCTTTGGGTGACATGCAGAAAGAGATTTTTCCTAATGTAGATAATTTCTTTCATGCTGTCAATGAAAATGCAATAGCTGGTCAGGGAGATTTTCAGAATATTAAATCATCATTAGAATTGCCTAAACAAGTGAATACAATAAATAATCGTTGTCATGAAAAATTGTATGAAGAACATGAGTCAGTTGAAAAAGAGCATTATGAAGGTACCCAGAAGAAAAAATCTCCAGAACCTTCATTGTTTCAAGTTGCAGAGAAAATTAGCCATGTAAAAAGGAATGCAATATTGGATGACATGCAAGACATTCTTCTGCTTCTTAGTATGGGAGATTCAAGCTTTGGAAGTATTGACGAAAAAGAAGAAACATGTTTTCCAATTTCTGATGGTACTCTTCTCCAGAGGGGCAGTGAAGATGAAGATGATGATGATGCTGATTGTACAGAGAAGGATGTTGGAGATGATCAGTTTGATACAGATATGGATGAGATTGAGATTGACAAGATGGAAGAAAAAATATTGGAAGCACACATAGAAGGAAATTTGAAAAAGAAAGTAACAGATGTGATACATCCTCAAAATAATGAAGACACAATTTGTCTCAATCATAGAGTCATTGGTCATGTTGATTCAAGTGAATCCACTAGTCTTGAATCCACAGGTACATCCTCATTTCAGTCAGATAAACGTGATTGGACTGATTTGACTGGTCGCTCCTACAAAACACATCGAAGTGGCGAAGAAGACGACTTACTCAAATTACTCTCAGCTGGATTCAGTGAACCTCCAAAAATTGACAATCAACATCAAGAAAGTAACAGTCAATTAATTTTGGTTGATGATAGGTCTATTAATTCATATGTGATTCATAACAATGTCGAATCTAAAGATGATGTACATTCTGCAGATGATGATGTGTCCATTAATCCAAATTGCAGTGATGTTCAACAATGTGACAAAGGTATGCTGCAGAAGAATGTATCAGTTGATTGTAATTTAAATATTTTGAAAAGTGTGAAAGACAATTTGGAAGCCAGTTGTGATGCAGAGATATCTGATGGTGTTAATGATAATAAGATTTCAGTTGAAGCTGGTGTATATGGTTTAAACTCATCCACATCCCACACTGGTGGTATAGCTGATCAGGATGAAACCAAGGGGGAAATAGAGAAACAATTAAATTTAAATGTTAAGGTTAGAGTGGAAAAGTTAAAATCCAAAATGCAGCAGGATGAAGAAGACGAGGTTCTTAAGTTCTTAACATCTGGTGTATCATTTCCTGATGCAGTTGAAGAAGATCTACCATTTGTTCCAGTTGGTAGAAGAAGATGGAAATGGCAATATAATGAAGAAGAATCAAACCAACAATTAGATGCAAAACCAGCATTAAACGAATGTAAAAAATATTTTGATCAAAGTATTATTAAAGATGAGTCGTCTAAACTAGAGTTTGATAAAGTTAACAAGCCAAAAGAAAGGATTGAAAAGAAAAAAGATGAACGAAAGATTCCCCCAATGAGTTTTCAAAAAAAAAAACCGTGGAAAGAACAATTAGAAGAGGAGGTTATTACTGTTAAGACAATTCAGATTAAGAAGGCGAAGAAGAACGTTGAAAAGATTGACAGTGAATTGTTGAAGATATTGAAAGATGGTGCTATAACTGATCAAATGATATTGGCAGAGAAGCTAAACAATAAAAGGAAAGTGGAAAGGCGAAAAAAACAGAAAGAAGAAGAAGATGCTCTTGCCATTTTGAAAGGAGGACTTGAAGATTTTGTAGTACACCATGAAAATTTATCTTCTGACACTGCTGAATGTTTGGAAGAACAAACAGTTGTATATGATGTTGAAACTAATGCAAAAATATCTGATAATGAAGGCTTGTCAAATGATGAATCTTTTTCTGAAGTCCCTTGTGTAAAAGTGTATAAAGAACAACCTAAAACAGAGGAAGAATTGCTACTAGCAATGTTATCATCTGGTCCAACTAATGATCAGGAGTACTTGGCTGTTAAAATAAAAGCAAAGGAAAAAGAAATTCAGAAGAGAAAAACAGAGGAAGAAGATTTGTTTCTTCTCTTGAGTCAAGGAAATCAAGATTTGGCAACAGAAAACGATTTTCATAAAACTAAATATAATGATGATAATATTTGTACTGATCCAGCCATAGATGAAAAAAGTGATATAGATCAAAAGGATATAGACAAAACTACGAATGAAAGTGAACATGTTAATACTACGTTGCAAAAACACATAGTAAATGAAGAAAATGAAAATCTTCCATTATTAAAAGATGACCGTAATATTGTTGATGAAAGTGATAGGAAACTTCAGAACTTAGTAGCTGAAAAGTCAGAGGCTTGTAAACAAATCAAAGTTATAGAAAGTTTAACATTTAAGAAAGAACAAATTGTTAAGGAAGATGATATAGTGGCCCTCTTAAGAAGTGGATTCTCTTCTTCGAGCTTGGAAAGTGAAACACATCAAGAAGAAAGTTCTGAGGTATTACATCAAAATGGAAATTTAAAGAAATCACTTGCAAAAGAAAATACATCTGTAAATGCTACATCTAACACAAAAGAGAACCTTAGTTATTCAGTATCTGCTTCATCTAAAAGTATCCCAAAAAGTAATTCAAACGAGGAAGACATCCTTAGTCTTTTGAAAGCTGGTTTTTCAAACAAACAATTAGCTGAAGTTGAAAGTGAAATTAAATCCATAGAAAACAGAAGACCAAGAAGAGTTGGCAAGAAAATTAAAACTAAAGAGAAAGTTGGAGAAAATACCATTTTGAAGGCTGCACCTCCAAATAGTCAGGTAGTTGAAATTGAAAGAAATGTTGAAACTGAAAAAACACCAAGAATATTTAGGAGGCAAAATGCTGAAGAGTTTAAAATAATATGTCAACCTCCATTGCCAGATGCATTGGAACCTGAATTGCCGAATACAGTTAGTAATGAGGATGCTGATGCTGTATTTCCATTGCTAAAATCTGAAAATGAACCAGCTCCAATTCAATCATCCATGAAACATAATCAAAACGGTATAGATATTGCAGTAAAGAGCTTGCAAAAGGAAAGTTCGAAGATAGTATCCAGTGATTCAAACTTACTATGGACTGTTGAAGTCAGACCGGCTCTAAAAGGTATCCAAGAGGACACTAGTGAAATGATACAAGACATGCATTTAGAATCACAAGTCACTGACAAAGACTATGAAGACTTGGGCACTCTGTCACAGAACAGTGAGTATGTGCATGGTATTTTAGGACATGCAGTTATTGTTATGTGTGCTTTGCTTGCTTCATACAAAATGATCTATTCCATATTTGTTCTTTTAATCTGTTTTTTTAAAAAGCTTGTCTGTAACATCATGCATCCATTTCATTTACCTGCATGGCTTTGCTTTTAGTATCCTAATTGAACATCATTAACTGAGTTGATTTCCTTGGAGAGATGTACAGTAGACATTGTATAAATACTGCTTTTTGAACCATACCATACCATTCACCGAAATCAGTGAATGGCAATGGCAATCCTAGTTGCCATATATAAAAAAACTCTTTCTAAACACGTTATGTTTTCATTGCGGATATTTTGGGCTCAGTACGGACTCCAAAAGTATGCATTTTCTTTTAGTTTTAAGGCGTATGCGGATTTTATAAGTCTGCAATGACGATATAACATGTTTCTAGTTGTTTTCCTTTTAACTTATATTCAAATATAAAATTTGATTTTTTAATGTGTCTCTGTTATTAAATTTGATTTTAACCAAAGACAACACAAATTTGCCAGATAACTGTGAAATGAAATTCTGTAACATAGGTATCTGCCATGTTTTTAAAAAAATTTTTATTTGTTACAGTATAAATACATGGTACAAAACAAAAGCGCGAGGCACCTATCTTCTCTAACAACAAAGAAAGCACCGCCCTTGCTTGGCCTCAACTATAATAGTTCTCAAAAGAAAGCAAATTTTCAGTGACTGTTCAAATTCTCTCCCGTTATAATGTTAACAACTATATAGTTATTATTATTATAAAAAGTCATTTAAGCAATTGATGGTCTATTATGAGGAAATATGTTTCGGAACGACAGACGGCAGCTTAATATTGGGTACCATCAAAATGGCAGAAGACTAAATACTTTTAACCATGTTTCTGATGCTAATCGGACAAACAAATGGAGTGGAAGGCCACAGGGTTGTAGCAACAAGACAAGAATGACACCATGGGCTTTTTTCGCCGCATTACTTGCCAAGCGGTAATTACAAAGAAAAATATTATCTATAATAATAATAAATTTTCCAATATACACTTTTATATCAGTGGCACTCAGCTGCAAAGGCAGTGCATCCACAACAAAGAAAATTAACAAAAAGGCCAAAAAAGTAAGGTCTATCACAGAAATACACAAATTTAAAAATGAAATCAAAGTACAAAAAATATAAAATACAAGGAAATGAATCACATTGTATTATATGTAACATTTCAAATGTATCGTGATACCAGTAAGCATAATTTTATCAATTGTTGGTTGTTCTAAATACATCCAGCAATACCGTACATATTTTACCAACCCGGCCGATTAAACTCAAGTTAGCGACCTGTCGAATTAATTAATTACCACTCGCTGTAGCGTGAGGGAACAAGTAGGCATCGCCAGGGAATACGAACCATCCAAATTTGGCGATTCCTCAAGTAGCCTTTTTTACAGATGGTTTTGTAATCTTGCAGAATCCAAACTCGTTTATACAACACTCTTAACTTTGCCATGCTGATCAGGCATGTAATGGCGTGTTGTATGAAAAGGCCCTAAAAGGTAATGGTTGATTTTTGTTTTTGAGTAGATGTTTTCATTTTCTGGACTTTCTGGGTAAACAGTATATACTGCAGGGCATAGCAGGTACTGTTCTATACTAGTTGCCTGGTAATATTGACTTGTAGACCAAAAATATTAATATATTAAAATGCTTTCCCTGATAAGCAATTGGCAAGGTAATGGAAACATTTTGACAATAAAAAAAAGATAAACTATTATTTTAAACTTTATAAAAATCCCCTACAGAGTCGCCAACTGTTTGGCGAAAAAAATCTTCATCTAGGCTAGACCTATCCTTATATTGCCAGGCTCTTTGAATTTTTACCATCATGGCGATATCGTCTCGCTAAGCGACCTGTTTTCACTGTATGTGCAGTTGGTAGACACTGTAAAGTACATGTGTGGAAAATCCCAGATAGATTGATCTAGGCATGTTTAAGCAAACAGTCACGTCTGTGATCATTGCCTGCACGCGGCATGCTAACAATCGTTTTTTTTTTGTTTTTTTTTATGAAAAAGGTATTTCCCATGTTAAAGAAAACACTAAAACGAAATTTCTTCAGTGAATTTGTTTTGGAATTCATACTACACTTACTATTAAGATAATACATGTACAACCATTCTTTCACAAACAATAATATTGATTTACAGTGGCAGATCCAGGAATCAATCCAAGCTGGCTGCCCCTCTCCTCTCTTTCCTCCCTCCCCCCCTACCTCCTTGCATCTGAGCGTTCGGAAAAAATAATGGTAAAAGAAATTGCCGTTAAATGTGTTTAATATAGTGTGACAATGTAATGTTACTACAGTATTTGTTTTTTTAATTTATTGATTTTTTTTTCCTTTTTATTTTTCATCCAGTTTCTATGACCTAACTTCTTAATAATGAAAATTTAGTTTCATAATTTCCCATGTCCCTCAAGGTTTTCTTAATTTTTTGGAAAGTTGTATGCATATTTTCTAAGATTATGATCTGATCTGTACTGCATCATATTCTTTTTGAAGCATTATTTCTCATTTCATTTTATTTTCTATCCTTTTCACCTTCTGCTACCACTGAAATACTGTAGGTATGTCAAGTACTTATCTTGACTCAATGAAGATGCAGAATCATGCTTCATCTCATATGCCAACTACACTGCTTAAGTACAGTAAGTTATACTAACTTGCATGATCACCATCTTAGCATTGTACAAGTTAGGTCTTATTTTGATTTTACTTGACTTGACAGACAAGAATTTGTAGAGTTTTGGGTAGTGAATGACAAGTTAAGTAGTGAATAATATAATGAGGTTATTTTTATTTTCGATATTTTGTGGTGGTTTTTTAAATCAAACTATTACAGTATTATACTCTATGTCCTGTACCTGCAGCTGACATTTCCTTCATTGTCAACCCCATCCTCATTAAAATATGTGTGAGCATTTCATTCAGTTGTATGAGAGAATGTGCCTCGTATACAGTATTGTATGGTATACTGTACAGGTCTCTGGTCTAAATGTATGATACTCCCCTTGATATATAGGCCTATATATTTTATTTTAAGAGGCCATTTCCAAGCCTTGATTAATAGACTTGATAATTTAACCAGGATTGCCGATCCATATTTCACGGTGCTTTCACATTTTTTTGTGTTGGCTATATCACTATCATCATCACGGTCACTATGTTTTCTTCCTTTCTTTAAGCCTGGTGGTCTGAAACAGCAGATAGTCCTCAGTGTAGTCCTTACAGTGAGTACTATAAGAATCATCACCATTTTATGCCTCACCACCTAATACCATTTTAGAATAGATTATTATATTGCGTGATACCAGACCATCATCTACTTTTTCCATTATAAACTAGTATATTTCCTTCCTAACTCTTGTGACAAAGCTTGGAATACTGCAGTTTTTTATTAATTCTGAAATTGAAGTTGATCAGAAATTCCTTGATTTGGAATTATAACTGGATATTCCTAACAAATAGTATATTAGAAAAAAAAATTATCTAATATTTAGAATGTTATTATCATTTATGTAATTTGTACTTTTATTGTTGTCTGCAGTGTTTTTTGTTTCACAAGCTTCAGTGGTGATATCTTGCTGTTGGTTTTGGAATAATTAAAATTTAAAAAAAACTTGTACATTACTGTTACTTGTTGTTACTTGTGCATCCTTTTATTGTACAACTGACATCTCTGTCTGATTTATTCTACTGTATATATACCTCTATCCTCCAACATTTTTAACATTAGACAACAATTTATTGATAGAATTCACCGTTTCAAAAAGTAGTTACCTGTAATCTTTTGTAGAGAAGTTATTCCTAAATATAAATGAGGAAAAAGTTCACTTGACTTCACAAAACAGCTTCACATAGTAGAACACAATATGTTCTCATTTACTTGAAATGGTCTCAGATTGATTTATTGTTAGTGTTGTTTTTTCATCTTACTGATGTTGTGTGTAGCTATTTAATGTCATCTTTAATGCATCCTCATTTTTAATTTAATTTCAATTGTTTTGCCTTGTTGAAGTATGGAATGCTTAACGAAATTTAATAAGATCAATATAATATAGTTGTGACTTTTAGCCTTTCAGAGGTTTGTTTAGGGGAAATCCCTATTTCATCATTGTGATTGTATGTCTGATATTGGTTTTCATCATCTAAGTTTCATTATTTCTATATAATTTCTGTCATCATCTTCTCCTTCAGAAACATTTTCTCCTTCTGAAAAACTTTATAACAGTAAGTTTATTGTGGAATTTATTTTCTTAGTCAGTGTTTTGAAATGAGTCAATATCTATTTCCTTGACTTTCTTGTGAAATTAGGCAAAATGTAAATTCATGGTCATTGTAATAATCTATTGCATATATTTTTAGATTACCGGTATCATGTTTCATTTTCTCACCAGTTGAACATTTTTCTTGGATAGTTTTTAGAAGTTGTTACAAATATGTTTATGAATTGTGATAGACTACATTACTATGTTAATAGTTATAAATTTAATATAGGTTCATTTTTAAATTTTTGCTTTCAATGGACCAATTTGTATCTAGTATGTTTTAAATAATAGAATGTGTGAAATGTTTTAATAGTGATGATAACCATTTATTAGTCACCGTCCTTTGATTTCCCTTCTAATTTTTGAACAGGAAATTTGCTTTGTGATTAAAACAAATTTATAATGGATTTTTTCTTCTTAGTAAATTTGCTTCTTTGGAATGCTAATGATAGTTAAAATAGCAAATTTATGAAAAATAGGTTATCAGAGCAATTTATGATTCATGTTCATTACTTGTTTAATTCTCATAAATTTTATTTGTGTTGATTATAATAATATGGAATTGGTTTGTAAATTTTTGTGGTCTCTATTAAAGTAAACATACAATTTAAATGTGTAATAAAATTTGTGTAATCACCTATTTTTACTATCAGTTAATGTGGTAGTATAATGGCACTGTATTGTGCATAAAGATTTATATAAATTCAAAGTTTTAGTCTTATTTAATTACATTTCAAATTTACAGTTTTAATTTCTTTCATTATTTTATTTGAGTAAGTTAAAGTTTCATATGCTAGGTTATTTTGTTGTTTATATACTATATGATACTTTTTTGTATTTAATTATAATATATTTAATATTAAGGTAAAAATTCCTACAATTGCATTTTCAACCTTTCACTACATGGTATGATATTACTTTCTTCTATTGAGAACAAAAGTGAGCTTTTGTTATTTGAGTACCAACACAGATAAACTATTATGTAAAGTATTATGTTAAGTATAATTATTATAATCAAATTGTTTTAGCAGTTAATGGTTCGGGAAAAAAAATCTAAAATATCTGAATGTGAGTTGATATATTTCAATTGGCTAGATTGGTGGAGCATGCACCATGTAAAAAAATCACACACGACAATAAAGGAAGAGCCAGAAACTGATCAATCACAAGAGACACAACCAAAAGGGAAGGTTCTATCATTCGAACCTAACCCAAGTAATAATCGTAAGTCATGCAAGTTAGACATGGTTTTTATGGTGTGATTAAACACTAATATATAATTTTGTAACCAAAAGAAAGTGACCATGTTTTAATGAATCACTAATGCATGAATGAATGTCATATTATTGAATGTTGTCTGGGAATAAATTAGCTTTAAGTTGGTGCCTTATAATTTAGAATAATTTGAAATAACTTAGGATGGCAAACCAAATCCTACCTAAAGGCCCCCGTAAACAAGGATATATTAATCTATATATTTTAACAGCTTACAAATAGTCATCAAAGAAACCAGGACAGTGCCTGACAATATCCACAGGGAGTTATTGTACATAGTACATTGTTCAATTTTATATTGCAGCATATTCAGCCGATGATGTATTCAATGTATAGAATCAAGTAATTTGACTTGAATGCTATAGGCTGTAGGTCACATAATTAGGTTATGCATCGTATTTGAATACCTAGATAAATAGGTTAGAATCACTAAATGTAATGCTATGATTTTTAAAATTATGTTTGAAATTTAAATTAATGGAAAGTTTGCATTGGATCTCGTAAAAGCATTTTTGAGTTTCATAAATTTTATTCAATTTTTATGTATCATGTTTTGTTAATTAATAATATTTATCTATTTTGAGGATGTCCTACAAGGTCTACTTTATTCAGTTTTCAATCCAATGATCAGTTTTCAATCCAATGGTCATATATTTAAATAGCACCTTCCAAAAAAAGAAAAATCTGTCTCAAAGCGCTTTAAGCCACAAGAAACAAAAAGCAACATTAATTAATGAACAGGCGCCAACGCGAATGGAGCACGGAGTGCATATGAGCAATATTGACAGTATGTCAATATTTAAAAAGTAATTTTGAGATAGCGTTGCCATCACTACCGTGTACACACAGGTACCTGGGTGTCAGTTTGTTGGGCTCTGGTAGATTCCACCGAGGATAAGCTTACGGCTCCCCTACCATGCACTGCTAAGTTTGTGGCGTTACTTATCAAGTAAGAAAGTGCGACTTTTCAGGGTGAAAAAACTTAACTACTTAACTACTTAATCCACAATGTATACTTCTATAAATCTATAGGAAGATATTAGTTAAATAAACCTTCTCATTACTTTTTTCTTGGTGATTTATATTTTGATTTTGAGAGGGAGGCAATTTTCAAGTCATTGTTGAAATAAGGAACTTTGTATTTGCATATTTACTGGCCAACGGTAGATCTTAGTAACAAAGGTCTCTAATTTACTTCTTGGTAGCTGCTGGTAAATGATTTATCATCAGATTATTTTTTGTAGCATGACATTTTTATGTTGTACCTGAGTCTGCAACAAATGCCAAATCTCATAATAAGCATATGAGCAATAATGACAATATGTTAATATTCAATGGCAACAAAATTAATAATTAATTAATAGTAATCAGACTCCATTCCATCCATTTTAGTAATTGGTTGGATGTTGATAAAAAAAAAATGTTTAAAAATAGATTGTAAGAACTGAAGCATGTATTGCAATTTAAAGAACATTTTATGAATGTTAGCATGAATATCAACATGGTTTATGTGGTTGTGTGAAAGATTCTACAAGTATTACACTTTATCCAGTTCGATGTTGCTCTGCTATTTTTTTTAAATATTTACAACAACATGGCTGTGGTTATGATTATATGACTAAATCCAAGGAACTTGGTATCCTACTATGCATTTTTTATACTATGCCATATTCATCAGCATTTTCTGGTCATTTTTAATTTATTTGTTCTCGCATGGTCACATGATTAGTGAATGTGCTTGCCTGAAGTGCTGTTTTCTCCAGATATGAATGATGAATTTCTCATTAATCATTGCATGATTTTTTGAGGAACATACTTGATTCCTATTTAGAAATACTTGCACAGTGTCATCAATTTTTCTGAAAAATCTTTTAGCTTCTTGTGATACCACTATCTCTGAAGAGCCTAAGGATGGAATTTCTTGTTATAGAGCTAGAAGAAGAAATCAAGAGAGTGAGTTGTCCCATTAAATATAGATTTAGCACTTATTTTTACTTTACCAACAGTTCGGAATTACATTGTATCATCTGAAAGTTTTTATCTAATTATTACATAGTGACAATGTGAAAACCTGAGATTTTTTTATCACAATCATTTTTAACTCTTTTCTTGCTTATCTCCATCTAGTAGATTTAAATTTAATTTCTAATATACCTTTAAAACTATGAAGTTATTATGAATTTTTTTAGGTTAATAGCTAGGTAATGTATAGGTACATTAGAGTGAGTTATTTATTTTTTTAAATTTTTGATTAACTGAAAACACGTTTAACCCATCCTTAATGACATTGGCTTCCTATTTAAGAAAGAAATACATTTAACTAGTTTTACTTGTTACAAGTCGCTGTTATAAAACATCATATTGTTTAGTATCTCCCCTATTCTGCATGTCACTTCACTTAAAAATAACCAAAAAATACATGCTCAGCATTCCTTTTTGATACAGATCCCCATCTTTGGAATCAATTACCCATTTCTGCTTCCTGCAAATTTAGTTATATTCAAAAAGAATCTCAAAACTTCCTAATTTTCTAAAGCTTTTTAGATTAGAGTATTATTTACTAGGCACCTTTGATACAGTAATATTTTTTTAATTGGCATGGAATGAATTTCTGATTTATTATTGCTAAAATTACTTTGTAATTTGTGATAAATTAGAATAATTTGGAATATGTTGGCATCAGAGAAGTGACTGATGATATAATCTTTGATTAGTTTAAAATAAATATAATTTTGTTCCAATTGTTTAACCATACTTAAAATTTCCGTAATTGCCTATTAATTGTTGTTTATTTTGATAGTCTTTTTTATGAATGTGTTTTTAATACAATATTTTTTTATATTGTTACCATTTATTTTGTAATTTTTTACTAATATTGTTTGAACTGATCAATGCTAACATAGTGACGAATTTTATTTCTTAGATTGAGGTTTTTTGTATGTTTCTTTTTAAGACCATTATGTAAAGTACTATTAATGATTGTATGGAGATTATAACAGTTTTGTATTGTGCATTGGTTTTAGCAAGTCTTCTAAATCTTTATTTTGTTAGTAATAATAATTTGCACTTATTGCACAATAATAATGATAATGATGATGATAATAAGCAAAATTAAAGTATAATCCTACCAAGAATCGTATTAATTGAGGATAACAATTCTAGTTAAAGCAATTTAAATGATAATTTTTGATTATCTTATTTATTCCATTATTTTTTTTTATTGATCTCAATTTTCTTTTTCAAAATCTGTATTTAATCATGTTTTTAATACATTTTTGTGTTTTAATATAGTTCCATGGTTTAAAAAAATGTAGTTACTGTTTAAATTTTGAAATATGTTTGGTTTAATATTCAAACAAAGCCTCAATATGATACCTAAACACATGTTTAGAAATCTTATTGTGTGTGATGGACGGGTTGTAACATTGTCAAATGTACTATATATTTCAGTGCAGTTTTAGGAAGAAAATATTCCATTTAATATTTTACTCCTTAAATTCTAAACCCACCAACTTTTTCTAGATGGTGATGAAATTATGGCATTATTAATGCACGGAGACTCCACATCTGATGCTAGTGAGTACTTGCCTGTCAGTGTGAACTTGGTATAGCAACTTAACCCTATAACTTCATCTAGCCATTCCATTTAGTGATACTTATTCAGCATATTAAAGTCACAATTTAAAAAAAAAAATGTTCATGTAATTTAAATTCTGTCTCTAGAATTCATGAATTAAAAAATCGAAACTATATATTATTGGATAGAGTTTATTATATATAATTAATAATAATTATACTTGATCAAATGTATTTAAATATTTTGTAATTGCTAGTTAAGTTGAATGCACCGCTTTAATCACTTCCGCCAATAGGCATATTCTCATTTTATTGAATGAATAAATACACGAGTTAATGTGTCAATATGAATATACTTATTAGATAAAGCAGATTCCAGCAGATCCAAGGATGAAATTTCAAAGTCAGAGGTTACAAAAGATGATAGCATTAACAGCAGAAGCATCATCAAGAACAATATCTCACAACCTTCTTGTTCGGTAGTATCTGGGGCAAAAACCCCTAAAAAAACAACTGTAGTGGAGAGTAAGTTTTATCTAAAGTTGGTAAAGTTTTAAAATTAAATTATTATACTGTAAAACATAGATGTGGAACATAGATATTAAAGCACTAGCATGTAATCTAGTTTTTATAATATTGACAATTTCCCACATTTTCACATCAATATTTTTAGTCAGTATTCATATTTTAGCCAGTCTTAATAAATCCCTAACTTTCCATCCTGGAACTTGTTGGTATCTAGGAAGTGAACCTCATTAACTTACATCCAGTGATCGCTAGAATATACCATACCACATACTCTACTATGACATACTAACATTGCATTGGGACCTATGGCATAATGAGATTGCATTGCAACAGTAGTCATTGAGGGCTTCAAACTGCAGGTGGACAAAGCAGTGATGCTAGTTTCTTCTGCATAATTTTCCCAGTTAGTTCAGGATATTTCATGGGTTTTTTCCATGCTTTCAAGTTTCAGTTTGCTCCTGCTCTGTTTCTAGTAGTGCCTTGCGCACTTTCCAAAATGGATATGTGTGCTATGTAAATCTTATTTGTAATTATTATTATTATGTGATGATCCATCACTTGAGCGATCTTGTTTGTCCAATCAATCAATCAATCAGCTTATTCAAGGCATTGTTGAGGAGAATATAATAGAATATTTCTATAAATTAGAAAAAGTGATAAGGAAAGGAAAAGATGTATAAAAAAAAACATTGTAGAGCTTTCGTTATCTTGTTCAAGTCCATAGCCGAAGGAGTTTTGTGGTTCGGGCAAAACCCCCTTTTCTAGCAAATCCCCTCTTTTCCGGCGAACCACTTTCCCCCCCCCCCCCCCCACTTACAAATGAGTCCAACCCAACTAAACCTAATACACTGCAGACCCACCCAGACTAACCCAGACTAAGATAAAATGTTTTTTTGCAGACTTATTATCATATTATTAAGACCAATAAAACACAAAAATTCCTTTGGCTTCAGGTCCCTTGCACTGACCCCTTGATCCCATGCCCAGAAAATTTCCCCCTTCCCCCTTTCCCCTTTTGGAAGAGCCTAGCTACGGGGCTGTCGTTCAATTCAAAAACTTGGCTAGTTTTAATCTAATTCAAGTCTAAATTTTAAAGGAATGTATACACATCTTCCTTGTACTATTTGCTATAATGTTTGTTTTCTTTGGAGAATATTACTTAAAATTAGATGAAATATAAGTGGGACATTGGCCTTTGTAGATTCCAGTTTGATCTGGTGGCCAGGTGGTTCTCAAAATTCAAGTAAATTTTGCTACCTGAGGTATTGAATTTTCCCCTTCAATAGGACCCAAGCTTAATCAAGTTAAACCAGCAAATATTTGCGAGAATCATGTTGCCTGACTTTTACACCTCTGGCACACAGCTAATGTGCCGAACGTGATTCTTGTTACTCTAGTGATGGGTGTTTAACAAATTGGATATATATCTTTAATAACAAGTTTTACAGAATTACACTACAGAGAGCTAAGATACTGTGTATGATATAAATATATAGTCATATTGTAATCACTAACATTGTGCAACACTTTTGAATTTTGTTGGGGGTTCCATGATAATAGTAATGGTAATAGTAATAATATAAAAGATTATAGTAATGTAGTGATGATAATAGTAATGATATAAAAGATTATAGTAATGTAGTGATGATAATAATAATGATATAAAAGATTTTAGTAATGTAGTGATGATAATAATAATGATATAAAAGATTATAGTAATGTACTGATGATAATAATAATGATATAAAAGATTATAGTAATGTAGTGATGATAATAGTAATGATATAAAATATTATAGTAATGTAGTGATGATAATAGTAATGATATAAAAAATTTCTCTTATACACATCTAGATGTGTATAAGAGACAGGAACATAGATATTAAAGCACTAGCATGTAATCTAGTTTTTATAATATTGACAATTTCCCCATAGTATACTCTATTAAAATTATTTAGATTATTGATAATTGATTTTATATAACCGATAAGACGATTTCCTTTTTTAATTACATATTCGACATGATTATGATCATTCATATTTCTTGAGATAAGTACACCAAGGTACTTGTATGTATCTGTTTCATTTATGAATAATGATTATGATAATAATAATGATATAAAAGATTATAGTAATGTAGTGATGATAATAGTAATGATATAAAATATTATAGTAATGTAGTGATGATAATAGTAATGATATAAAAAGTTTTAGTAATGTAGTGATGATTCCAAATACAGTTGTCTTAGTTTTGGTGGTGTTGATAGTAATGAATAAATGATACAGTAGTTACAAATAATTCCTTTCTTGGGTCATAAATTTTTGGTCCACCTTCCACTATAAGGTAGCATACATGTTTCAAATCTTAAATTTATACTGCATGATCTAAAAACAGATTAAGTCTTTAAGAGTTTCAATTTTTTTTTTGACCTCAAGATTTTTCCATCTGTATTGTACATGTTTTGTTTCCTAATATAGAGAAAAACTCGAAAGCTGATGATGAGGATGATATTTTGAAGTTGCTGTCGAAAGGTGACTTGTCTCCCCCGACAATGATAACCACTCACACAGAGGGTATGCCACACAGTCCTCATTGCTTTGCATTTCCTCCACTAACATGCCTGAACTCAAGTTCAATTTCAGTGTTATTTTTTTTTTCCAATAACAATTTTTTTAACATCCTTTCTAGTCATTTTCTGATATTTATCAATTTATTATAAGTAGGCTATGAATGTTTCAAGTTTGCTGTAAATATAATTAAATTTTCAGGAATATAAAGGTAACAGTAGTTTTTAAAATGGAATTTCATACATGTATTTTCTTTTTTTTTTCTTTTTTTTTTAAATCTTTTTCAATCTTTGTGATTAGATATAGTTTGGTAGAATGGTTATATTAGAGAAATTCCTTATATTTTTCTTTTGTATAAAATAAGTGTGTGATACATTGGTTTGTCGTTGTTTACTAATTTCATTGGTGTGTAGAATGTTTATATTTCTCATTCTGTTTGTTAAAGGGAACTTATTTATTTATTCTTTGTTCTTTCAAGAACTTGTTCCATATAGTTCTCGGAGATGGCGGCCTCGGTTCCCGAAGCATAAGGCTACCAGTGAGTGACGCATGTGTATTGGCATGTGGTGTCATGAAATTGAATGTCAATTTTAATCATTTCTATAAACTTGAAAGTTTTAGTATTTCTCCTCATCAGTTTAATGGAATGATTTTCATCAAATTTAGTTTTATTTGAGTGGAGAGTGTATAATACCGTCTATGATTTTTATTTAACAAGCATTTACTTCATATTGATTTTGTTTGAATTGATTTTGTGTGATTACCAGAATTTAATCATCCTAATGCGAGTTTATTGTTTTTTCATTCCTTGTTATCTCTGATAAACACAATTGTGTAGTAACACAGGGCTGTATAAAGTTGGGAGTCCTGTATCCGGGACTTGAGTATTGTAGGGCTGGGCTAGCAAAAAATACATTAAAACTACACCAGTGTTCAATAGGTGATACAAGGGCTAGCAATTATTTTGGCAAAACTAGACCTTGGTCCAGCAAAAAAAAAAACAAAAAAAAACTTTTTACAGCTCTGATGTAACATATTACATATTGAATGGTTTTCTTAGTATTATTACTCATACTTATATGTTGTCAGTTTTTAATGAGTTTAGATTTGTGAACTTTTCTATTTCATCATTTTTAATTTATGTTACTTTACAATTGTTGTAGAACATTTCAAAATTTCCTAAACTTAACATTAGCCATTCTTAAAGTCATTTACCCAGCAGATGCCATGATTTGATTACATTCTCATAAATTAGGCCTATCTATTAATGTGAATTTGAGTTTTTTTATTAATGTCTTAAGGTTTTTCAATATTATTTCTGTCTGGTCTGCATGGACATCCTGGAAACAGATACTAATTTCTAACCTCTTATTTTATAACTCAAGCTACAGTAGATATTATGTGAAGGAGAAAAACATTGCGTATTTCTGAGGCTTGTTATTGCATTTGCATTAACCTGACTGAGTTTAGCAGGTCAGAGAATAGAAGACTGTATCTTCGTGATGAGCGATTAATTACCATACAATTGAAACATAACACTGCTGCCAACTAGCCTACATAGCTTAATACTATCCATTTATTTTTTTCACTATAAATAGATTTGGAACCACGTTTAGACCTGACCTATTACATGCAGAGAGCTACGGTGTTACAAATTACAATCTATTTTTAATATTACATTAAATAATGGTTGTTTATTTTTAAAGGTGATACAGATGCTGGGGATGAAGAGTCTCATAAACAGGAAGTTGAGGGCCAACTGGATGGTAAGCGTGCCTCACTTGCACGCATGACCTTTATATTACACTAATATAGTTTTTTTTAATCAATATTATTATTTTTCTAATTATAACCATAACATTCAATATTATTATTTTGAAAATAACAACATTATTATAGCCATAATAATCTATCAATACTATAACTAATCAGTTTGTACTCTCTGATTCTTAAAAATTATATTATTATTTAAGGTTATAATTTTCTTTCTTAAAATAAAATAATCTAATCTTATAAAGATTTGAATCAGCAGAAGCAAAAAAGTGATTTTTATTAGTACAAGTTACTTTTTAAAATTTGCTTGAAGAAAACAATAGGCCTTCCTGTAAATTAGATGTATGTACGGTGTTTTATGTGACACTGTGATTTCTGGTTGATGATGTCATACCTCATGGGCCAATTAGCAGATATTCGTTATGACACATACAGCGCAATTGTGTCGACAAAGCATAGAAGCAGAGGCATAACAAGTATTCTATGAAGGTCACATAGCAAATTCAAATTCACTAAATTATTTTGGTATACCATGGTGACGACCTAATTGCAGTATCACATGATGTACCCCAAAATATTTTTCATATATATATATATTGAATAACAAAATATTGTCATAATTCTTGAATAAATTATTTTCTGAATACAATTAAAAGTGTCACTGACATTTCATAAAAATTGCGCATTTCATTTGTTACGTGAAGTAGCCTGGATTATTTTGTTTGCAGTTTAATTGGCATGTTTTGGTAATAGACGCTTGTGATACTAACAAATATTTTTACATATCCTTATTTTATACTTAATGTTTTTTTATTTTACAATTTGAATTACTTTTATTTACTTGCCTGCTATTTTTGTTTTATATATATTCAATATTATTATTATTATTATTATTGTTATTATTATTATTATTATTGTTATTATTATTATGTACGGAGATAATAACTGAATATATTGATTTTGACCAAGATTAAAAATGCAGTTTGTATCTTGATTATTATATGCATGAATATTGAAGTAATTAGATTGCTTATGAAGTATGGACTTTTCTGTTAGAAGATCATAAAAGTTGCCAGCTTCAAATACTAGTTCATTATCAACCAAACTGCATTGATTGGGAGCGTGAAGCAACTTTATATGTTTATTTGTCTACTATTAAAAAGCATTTATTTAATATCCTGTATAATATATAGTCTAATTTTTATAGTTATATTGTAACACATCATAAGCAATCTAATTAATTCATGCATATTCAAGATATAAACTGCACTTTTAATTTTGGTCAAAATCTATATACTCATTTATTTGTCTGTGTACATATGCATGGTTAATAGAAACAAATCCACCAACCTCCTTTGCTTGCTGGGAAGTATGTTTTGCCCTACAGTATCCAGGTACTTATCTTACTGGAGGATAAAGAGAGGTGCAAACGTAGAAAAAAGTATTTTATGACCGAGGACACCATAATACTATGCCATGATATTCAAACTATTGATATTGCAAAAGCCTTTCAGTAGGCCTACATGCTTTCACATACTGTAGCTGTTTATTGTGATTAGAAGCTTTTGTTAACCAGTGCTAACCTCTGTCTTTTGCAGAAGGTTATGATACCCTACCTAAGCAAATTAATGGCGAGACACCTAAAGCTGAAACTGATAGTAAGTCTTGTAATATTTATTACTCATTTCAACTGCTTTTTTTTCTGCTGGTTTAACATAACCTCTTAGTGTATTTTTTACCCCCTACATCTTACAGCAATTTTTTTCCCCAAACCTAATGCTATCTATCCAGTTTGATGAAACCCAGTTTGCCGAATGGTATGTCAAAACCAAATATTTCAAAATCGATTTTGCATGATTGTAAAATGATAAATGTAATAATAATCTTTGCAAACTATAATACTAATTAGTTTTGTAAATACTTTTAAAGAACTGTTACAAAAGCATAACCATACACAAAATGAAAGGTAGTATGATGCTGAATGCGATCAGAATTTACACTGACCCTCATACTTGATAATGTGTTTGATTTTATCCAAATTTTACACACATAAGGAGGTTACAGTGGGCCAAGTCTAGAAATGTTATATAGACTGCACATTCAGAATAATAATTTTGAATATTAAATTAACTTTTGATTATTAAATCGTGTATTACGAACCAAGTTCATAATTATAGTGCTCGACATGCTATATCTAGAAAGTCTTATTAACCAGTCTGGCAGACATATTAGATTCCCCATCATTGATATCTATTGATGGAATAAATAATAATATAATAATAATAATAATTAATATTATTATTATATTTATTAGTTAATTTTTATTTTTATTGTGCCTTGTATCCCTTGGCAAAAGGCAAGGTACAAATTTCTGTTTTGTTGCTTATTCCATCAAAGGTGATTACTTATCTGGGTGGCGGCGCAGAAGGCGTGAAAGGGAAGAGAGTAAGTTTGTAAAGGTGTAACTTTTAATTTTCCATTTTGCAGAGTTCAAATCTTATGCACGTTGTCATTACATTTTCTCTATCATTGAATGTGTGTTGACTATTTTAGTGTCTAAGTTTTCATATCTGTGTGCAGAATTTTTATGTGTACAAAAATCTGTTTCATGCTGTCATCATTTTGCATGATTGTGATTATTATTTCAATATAAAAAAATACAATATTCAAATTTCCCTTTAAAACTCTCAGTTTCCTACATTTGGAGGTATACAATTCAAAATTATAAGTTCTGTATCATTATTAAACATGTTTGTGATATCTTTTTTACATAGATTATGTTACTCATTTAAATTTTATATATCAGGGGGGTTATTAGGGTGGCTAGCCACCCACTCCCCCCCCCCCTTTCGTTTACCGTGAAAAAAAATGGTCACTCATCTTGTTGCATGAGTGAGAATTTTGTGTATTCTGGCCCTCCCTTTTGCAGTCAAACTTAACCAATGTCCAATATTTTTATGTATGAAGTATTTTTGCAATATATTAGACAATGATATTTGTATTCAATAATATTTGTTGTATTATTCTAATAATCTTTTACTTCACTTTTGATTTTATACTTGCTGCATTTCCTTCCATGTGCAGATGTTTTACAAGGATTGTGTGTTAGTTTCTTTAATAAAGCATGAGCTTTCTAAATTCAAGTATATAAATGCATAGTGCATGTATGTATGCATGAAGTGTTTGTTGGTGGTTTGCTTCAGTAATTCATCATAATTTTTCAAATGATGTTTTTTTATGGTGCATGTTAGATGATTTAATAGCTTAGATATTTGGGTTAGGTGGTTAGAGCAGTGTCTCAAAAAGAGCACAAGCAAATACAGTATTGGCAGGTCTCGAAAATTTGATCTAGCATCGAATTCCAATCTTTAACTTTCCTCCCATGCAAAGTATACATCCATTGTGCGTTATGTACTTCTGTAATACTTAACTGTGAGTTTTATGCATAGAGGTAAAAAATTAAGGAAATTTGTAGTTGTATTTTCTTTAATACCAGGAGTTACATTGTAACAAAAAAAAAAAAAACCCAAAGACTGCTGTAAAACTGAAATAAATCACTATTTTCAATATTTTCTTCAGAGAATTTTTAAAGTATTAAACTGTTACCAAATATAATATTAGTAATATTAATTCATTAACTTGCTTATTAGCATGCAAGTAAATTATATAGTTTTCAAATTAATGGACAGTATTCCAAAACCTTGGAAAATATTGCACATACATGTAGGTAAGGGCACCCTAAAACTTCTAAGCATGTGCATAAAAAGGTGTATGCCATTACAGTGCTATCATGCAGGGGTCCCAAGTTGGATAAAGTCATTTCCAGGAGATCTGCAGTGGTGGGTCGAAGGATTGGGGAGTGGTCGAAGGGGGGTGGGTGAGGGCAGGAAGGGACTTTTACAGATGGAGGGTCTAAACCACATAAGCCCTACCATGGTTGAAGCTAAGGTAAGAAAGTTTATGATATGACACCTCTAAATGGCCGGAAGTGGCCCTCTCAGACTTAAATTTGAATATAATTTTCATTTCTCCCCGGCTTCCCCTTCTCCAAACCCATTACTGATCATGATCTAGTTAAAAAGCTTTCTCACTTTTAATTCTATTTTGCTGCACAATCAGGCACTGACTTCCGTGAGACAATCGATAATAAAGCAGTGAAAGCATGCAAAATTATAAATTTGTAGAGATGGGTTAACTTCTGGGAGATTCTTGCTTGAGTGCCGGAGGCCGTACTGATTTCCGGGAGACTCCTGCGAGTTCCTGGAGACTTTGGACCCATGTATCATGTGATACGGCTTTGTTACTGAGCTGCTTTTGGTGGTCGAGTGCCACAGTTTATCAAAGCCTTTCAGGGTGCCAAGTTGGTTAATCCACTTGTGGGACATCTGCTTTAATGTGCTTAACACATTGAATGACGTATTGCTGTCTGTGTTCATACCTGTTGCTAGTTGATGTCATAGACATAGTACTACCGTAGTAAATACATGCAAACATGAATTTGCGGAAGAGACAGTTTTTGGAAACTTTTAGGCGATTCTTTGAGAGTTTTTAGGAGATTTTTTGAGAGCAGTTTAGCTCAGTCAGCTCATCTGGTGGTAGCCACTGTGTGTGCGCTGAACCGTGGAGATCTGTATGTCCCCGGTTCAATTCCCATCGCTGCCTCTTCTTGTGTTTCAGCTAAAGGGCTGAAATACAAGTTACAATAGCGCACCGTCTTTTGGATGAGGCGTTTAAGTCATTGTCTCGTGTGCATTTTGGCCCATGCGCATGTTAAAGAACATAGTACACTCTTCGGAAAAGAGATGGGGATTGTCTCCCGGTGTACTGCCCAATCACCACCAGGAGGACCCCACTGGAAATGAGTCTTCTTCTAGACTTTCGTGGGCTATCCTTGGTGTTAACACCAAATAAATCCAATCCAATCCAATTCGCAAGAGTGTGGGAGACTGCTGATTTTCAGTAGACCCCCAAGATTGTTCAGCTATGGTATCAGAACCTAAAATTTTGTGATTAAAAACCTAATAAAAACATACAAACTGTACCATAAAACCTCGTATTCTTGAGAAAAACCCATCTCAAATTGAAGCCACCTCTTAAGCTTTAGGGGAGACTATTTTTATTCCTTGTTTTGCAAACTTATATTTTTATTGATCATTAGAGAAGGGCAGAAAAAGAATTAAGATAAAATTTAGTTTTCTTAATAGCAAATAGTTTTGCCAACAAAATCCGAACAAAATGAAATTTTATTGGTGAATGTAAACAGTGTAGTAAGGGGATGGTTAAATGCTTTAAATTTATATAATTAGGAAGAAATGTACATATTTTATTTCTTGAGATTTCAAGGCAGCGGAGGGCATAATGAAAGTAAAGAAAAACTTTTATATTTTTCTGAAATTTCCTTTTTTTTTGTGGCGCCGGATTCAAAATCATCATTATTTTGCAGGCTGCGGGTTCGCTAAACAAGGTATTAAAAAAAGTCTCCCCATAGTTTTTCAAAAGTAGCCTCGGGCTTCTTTTCAAGATAGTACAGTACATACACTGTGTGTACATGAATTTCAAAGAAACAAAATCTATTCAAAACATGCTTGGTTTAAGTGATTTGATGCTGGTTATTACAGTTAATTACCAGCAGATGTTACAATGGCCCTATTATTGTTTTATAGTAGAAATTCCCAAAATTTGCATTCATATTGATAAAAGCCCCCTCCCCCCCCACTCTTTACTTAGCAAGAGTAACCTCAAAAGGTAACACATCTCGAAAAGATGTCCATCCCAAGTTCGCAAAAAATAGAAGCACATGGCTTCTATTTAAGGTTTTACGGTGTATGTTTAATTTGTCAGTATAAAATGCAATAGAAAAAAAAAGATAATTTCAAGTTTAAAAAGTAAGTCTTATAGCAAAATAATAATTTTTTTTTAAATCCAAAGTGGTTATTTTATGTAGATGGTGTAATTAGGAATATCATGTGAACTCAACAGTGTTTTCATACTACTTTATTCTCTTAATATGTTATATAGCACTTTATGTTCATCTCATTATTGGATTTTTTCTTGTTATGTGTATATTTTAAATTAATTAAATTTTTACTTTTTGTCCAAGTCAAAATATTGGGGATATTGGCTTGCCCCAGGGGACCTTATGCACAGGCAGTACCACCCTATAGTGGATACAATGTCCCCTATCCTGCCTAACACTTGTTCAGTTATTCAAGGAGCAAAGTGATCTGAATCCAATTAAAACCTGATGTTGGGCGGGTTTGAACCAGGGTCTTTAGTGCACGAAGTAGGAAGGTTACCTCTCAGCCAAGGCTTTTGTTGCCAGTAATAATACTACTGTCAGACAATGTTATTTATTTTTTTCACTTCTATAAACAGTTTACATATTCTGTAAGAATATTGCTTTGAAATAGTGGATGCAGATAAAGAATGGCAAATTATCAATTTATTGTCGTATTTTATTCTGAATTTTATGATTTTTAAATTAGAAATTAGTTTGATTTTCCCTAACATTACATTTCATTTAACATTTTCATTATATACTAATGCAGGGACTCGATAGGGTCTTCAAGCTCCTATATTCATTTTTCAAATGCCAAAATAACTATTATAAAATCATGATTTTGACTTTGAAATTGTAAGAAACCATTATGATAAATTCTTTCTTAATTTTTAAGCACTTAATATTCTGCTACAATACTAAGTGAGAAGCATAGACAGAAAATATAAAAGTGTTCATGAACAATCCCATTTCAGACTAAACTTGCTTCATAGAAATTAATTTAAAATTAAATTAAAGTTATGGTTTTTGACAGGGTTAGCATCACTGACAACAGTAACGACTATAACGCCTAGACGATCAAGAAAAAATGGAGAAACAGAAAGGCCTACAACAACTGTAGCAAGTGAAGGTAGAAAAATTGTATATATTGTATACTAGACAAAAATACAGTATAATAGCGGGCCAAAATGGCCGAGCGGTTAAAGCAGGGGCACCGTGATCATAGGCAACAATATTGGCACGGGTTCGCGGCCGGCTCGCTCCTATAGTTATGGTGGTGGAACAAGTCTTCTCGGATAAGGACTATAAACCGTAGGCACTTTAAAGAACCCAGTACATCTTTCGATATGAGTAGTTACCCCGGTGTACTGGTTCATTTGGCCCCTGTCGTGGACAGATGAAAGTGCGCCGGTTTACTGGCTGTTGAAGACGTGAAGTGACCCTTAGGGGAGGAGAAAGTTATTGTAAAGTGCAACATCTAGTCCCGAGCGCATAGAGACCATGTATTATGCACTATATAAGTCTCCAACCATTACCATTACCATTACCAATAGCATTATGCCAATATGTCCTATTAGTATTATTGTTCTCAAAGATTTTTATCTGTGTCCATAAGCATAGTAGGAAAATTATCTGTTTTTTTTTAAACTAAGTAGTTGCTTGCCTTGGTAACCGTTTCAGCAACTGCTTTGGTCATTTTCCTCAGGCTGATTCGAAGCAGTTGCCGAAACCGTTGCTAAGGTAAGCATAACTACTTGGTTCAACAAGACAGATAATTTTCCTAAAATATAATTATTATTAGTTATCATTATTCCTGTTTAATTCATTATAACCTTTGGATAGTATACATTCCTGTCAGCCTTTTTTTTAAATTGTTTATTGTTGCAATAAAAGTGAAGAGAGAGAAAGAATAATTAACAACCATGTGGCATCTCCATTATGAAGGCAGACAATTCAAATAATGCTCTTTTGAAACCCTTTTCTTGACCAAATTTAAATTCATAATATATTCAAATCATTTTTATTTTAACTGGGTTTCAGAATCATCAACAGTAACAGCATTAACAGCCAGACGATCAAGAAGGAATACAGAAGCAGAAACACTTACAAAGACTGTTTCAAGTGATGGTAAACGACTTTTATGTATTAACATATTAACCATGTGCTAAACCTGCAATTATTAATTATTATTATTATTATTATTATTATTATTATTTATTTATTAATAAATTAATGTTATTATTTTTCACAGAATTATCGTCATCAACAACGATAACACCTAGGCGATCACGAAATAGCGAGGAGATTGAAGTATCGCCAACTCCTGTGTCAAATGAAGGTACACTTATTGTATTACACCAGGTGCTAACTGTGCTAATATTGGTTGTGATTTCATCTGATTAATTGCACTGTCATTTTTATTTTTTATTCTTTATTCAATGTGTTGTTCATATCACCTGCATTCACTCTTATCTGTTTTATTTAAGCCACTATCACTTTTATTTCTTTTTCTCCATCACTTACGGAAAATGAAAATGTCTCATATACTTTCTATTATCTAATGATTACCATATTTGCCATGTTGTTTGTTTAATAATTGTTTTACACCGACAAACTCAATTTTTGGTCTGTTTTGTAGTGTATCCATTAAGTCCAATGTGACAGTCGTCTAGTAAGTGTGTGTATGTGATGATTGGAGAACTGCACAACATTTTAATTATTAAACAGGCCAACTGATTATATATCTTTTTGAAAATGACTTTAAATCAACATTGGCCCTATTTTTTTTCGTTTTTGTTGAAAAAAAAGTTCTGATAAAACAAATCTTGAGCAGTAGGCTTTTGGAGACACAGAAAACTAAATTTCTAACGAAAAAAATATTTTAAAGCGGAAAAGAATGAAACATTGATATTAAAAGCAAGTCTAAGTGTTAAAAAGCTATTTCAATGTTTACATACAGAAAATTTATGAGACTTTTTGGCGCTGTTTCAAAATATACCCAATAAAATGATGTATAGCCACTGAATATTTTAATTCAGAAGTGATATTGGCCGTAATCTGCATATAAACCTAGCTCTTGCACAGGCCTTGTATATGTTAATTTCTACAAGAGATTTTTTTATTAATTAGTTTATCTTTAGTAGAAGTAATATTCACATTTATGCACCATCACAGTTTCATTCTTCTGCTTTCTGTTTTTTCCTTTGTTTTGTTATCACATTTGTTGCTTAAAGTGAAATCCATTCGAAGACGCAGACGCCGGCACGAAGGAAGCGATTCGACAGATAGTGAGTTATAGCAACTTTCATTTTCTGCATGTGGTAGCAGAAAACATTTACACAAATTCTATGCTTTTTTGTATTATTTCTGAATTTAGGGATTGGCTTATCTTATTTGCAATAATTTATTTTTTGAGAATATTTTCAAATAATTCTGTTCATGTTTGTTCTTTACAGTTTTATAATTCATTAGATTTGTTGCTTTATATTTTTTTTTTATCAATCATTTTTGTTGTTGTATGTAGATGTTATTTGCACATATATTATTAATTAATTAATTAATTATTATGGTATTTATTCAGATAATTGCCCTGTTGAGAGGGTTTATTCGAGGGAGGTGCTTATTCAAGCGAGGCATATGTTTTTTTGTGTGTAGAATGGATATGTATATACTCCAATGAATGCCATTTAACTTCACTTTAAATGTGGAACTACAACAATACTGTCGAAACGTGTTATTGCGTGTAGAGTGGCTGAGCGGTAAGGTAGGGGTGTTGCTAACTACAGTCTTAACATCGGTGCTGGTTCCAGTCACTCCTCGCCCAGGGTTCGGTTGGTGGAACCAAGTCTTCTCAATAAGGACTTAACATAGAGGTCCAGTGTTCACACCTGGCTCACTTTAAAGAACTCCTTGCATCTTTTGGAGAGTAGGGGGCTACCCAGATGCTATGGTTCATTTAAGGCCCTGTTGTTGCGCAGTTATGTGAACATGGACAGTAGCAAGTATAAGTCCCTCTTAATAGTGGCTAGGTAGTCACGGACCACGCCCGTACGCAATTCTGCACAATGACGCTGCAAATTATGGGTTATTCTGATACCTTTATAAAGACTTGTTGATCCTAACCTGGTTTGAAAAAATGTAATTCTACTAAAGTAGAACATTAATAATTTGTTGAGAATGGTGTTTTCTTCTATTAATTTTGGGGATAGGGTGTGGCAGTATTAATAATTAGAGGGAAAAATAAGTGTATAATAATAATAATGAGTCTTGGGGTACAAAAAATAAAAATTAGTTATTGATGTATTTGTATATAAGCTTTATTTTGGTCTTTCAGTTATGTTCTTAGGTTGAATAAAACTGGAGTAAGATCATTTTGAAGTGCAGATGTCTACAAACATACTTATTTAATTGAGGGAGGAATTTATTCAAAGCAGGGGTTTATTTGAATAAATACAATAATTGAACCTTGTAAATTTTTAAGCATTTTCACAGAGATGTAATGAGAATGTTGCATGACATAGATGTTTCAGGTATCATTTTTTTTTTTTTTCATTTTTTTACAGGTCTATCCACAACAACAACAGAATGTCAACCTGATCCAGAGGTTCAACAAACACCAATTATTGAAGTCCAAAGTTAGTGTACTTATTGAATTTATTTTTTCAAAATAGCCTTTTTATAAACTTTAATAAAATGAATAACTAATTATCTTTGTGGCATTATTAATCTTAACATTAATTTAAGAACATATGTTAATACCTGATTGGCAGAATTAATATTTAATATTATTTGTATGTTATTCTCATTAATTTTTTTGAGTAACCTCCCAATATTGCAACTAAACTCAAATACTGTTATTCAAAAAAACTTCCCAAAAAAGTAAAATAGATAGCTGCATAAAATTTATTTGTAAGTCATATAATAAGGTTTTTAATTTCTTCACAAAGCTTTAGGACAAGCACGCTATCGTCTATACACATATTACCAGTCAGGAAGTGAGTTTAATTACCAATCCTTATTATTTTATGTTTTTTAATCAAGTCCATTTCAATCCTAAATTATTACTTTTTTTGTAAGAAACATCTTTATTTTTGAATCCATAGAAGTTACTCTAAATGCTATTATAGTTGGCTATCAAAGCATACTCTGCTCTTAGTATGTGCTTCGTTATTCAAGCATATCCATTTCAAACCAAAATTCAGTCATTGTTATAAGAATGTTCATTATTTTTTTATTCCTTAAAAGGTTTTCTGCTCTGTGTTCTTTGATTTGGTTATATTCTTGCATTAAGGCCAAATAAAAAAAATTATTTTTCGACTAACCCAAAATGTTCGAAATTGAGAGTCGGCATTTTAGTTTTTTATTAATTTTTTTTTTAACATCGAAAAATATTTTATTAATGAACTAAAAAGGCTGGAATAAGGCTATCTTGCGACGGTAAGCAATGCGACAGAGTTATGCGATGGTTTTGCTCTTGTCTGTCTTGTATTTTTGTGTATTTTCTACTTTTTAGGCATGGACTTTTTTTGGTAAAAAAAAATAAAATAAAATAAAAACTTTCCCTACCAACCTACCCATTTTTTTAGATTTTTCCAAAACGTGGCAAACAAGATTTTTTTTTTATTGGCCTAATTATTTACTTTGTCTGAAATTGCCATACTTTAAAATAAAAACACCATTAGTTTTCCTTTAAAGTTATTATAAGTGCTATTAGAGTTAAATATCAAAACATTCGTTGCTATCTACCTGGAATTGCCTTACTTACGCCTGACAATATATCATGTATTAAACAGTTTAATGTGGATTAATCATAAGCAATTTATAAAGAAAACCGAAAAAAAAAAATCATATAAGAAGGAGAGTTGAGTCTACTTGTTTATGTGTAAATAAACACCCAATTATGCAGCTTTGCCTTCTCACCAACTTTAACTGGATTTACCATCAGGATTTGTTTGTTTTATTTTTTCATTTTGTTTGCTTATTTTTTTTTTGCACACGCTTTAGTTTATCGCCCTCATCAAACATAGAACATGTTCACAATCAAAACAAAATTACAAAGATTTAATGGGCACACTTTGGCCAGATTGCTTCCATTGCATGATGCATTTTCAAGCAAATTGTACTTTTTCCCTCTCTAAACTGCTTGAGTATGCCACTGGAATTTGTACACAATAACCTAAACCAACATGAAGTTTAATTTTTAATGGATAAATAAATCAGTTAAGCTTAGCAAATTCCGTTTGTTTGTGGCAGGCTTTATAGTGCACATACATAATTGGGGTAGTTCAATGTTGTAAGCTTATCTCAGTCGGCTAATCTGGTGTTAGCCATGGTATGTGCGCTGAACCGTGGAGATCTCTAGGTCCCCGGTTAAATTCTCATCGCTGCCACTCCTTGTGTTTCAGCTGGAGGGCTGAAATACAAGTTACAAGCACACCGTCTTTCGGATGAGACGTTTAAGCCGTTGGTCCCGTGTGCATTTATGGCCCATGTGCACGTTAAAGAACGCAATACACTCTTCGGAAAAGAGTAGGGATTGTCTCCCGGTGTACTGCCCAATCACCACCAGAAGGACCCCACTTGAAATAAGTCTTCTGGCGTTTACACCGAATAAATCCAATCCAATCCAGTCCAATGTAATTTTTTTTACATATGTGTATGCTCTGCAAAAATTAATGAAAGTATATGACTCAATAAAAGTGTCATTATCAACCAAACTTATAATATATATATGAAACATTCATTCTCTAACGAGCACATACATTATTTCCATTACTAATTTCATTCTCACCCATAATAATTTTTCATTCAATGGCCAACATTTCCTCCAAGTGAAAGGCACGGCTATGGGTACGAGAATGGCCCTAACTACGCCAATATTTTCATGGAAGAAAACCTACTTTCTGGTTATCCCCTTTCACCGTTATTTTTTCATAGGTATATCGATGATAAATTTTTCATTTGACCTCATGGAGTTGATGCTCTCCTCGACTTCGAGAAGTACGCCAACATTTTTCATCCCCACATTAAATTCACTCTTGAATATTCGCCCACCCACATTCCTTTCCTTGATGTTACTGTTAACATTACTAACCAACGCCTCTCTACCACGCTCTGTTCTAAACCTACTGATAGCCACCAATATCTCAACTATCGAAGTTCCCACCCCAGCAACTTGAAGAAATCTATCATATATAGCCAGTGTCTCTGTATTAAACACATTTGCTCTAACCCAGCTGACTACGAAGCCCACATATGCTCCCTTACCAAACCACTTTCTTAACAGTGGTTATCCCTTTAAAATTATTAAATCCCAGACCCTTAAAGCAGCTTCACACCCCCACTCTGAACTTTTAAACCCTAAACCCAAATCGGATTCTGACCGTATACCATTAGTTTTTAACTCCTACTCTCATACCACTATGTTAGCCAACACTATCAAGAAAGATTTTTGTACCCTTCAACAGGACCCTAATATAAAAAATCTGTATCCCAACCCTCCCTTACTCGCTAACCGCCAACCCCCCCAACCTCAAGTCTATCCTCACGTCGTCCAATTTACTCCCTAACCCGACTTCCCCTGGTAATATTAAATGCAACAAATCATGCTGTAAAGTATGCAAGCACCTCATGTTGTTAGTCTCCCACACACCTCTTCTATCAATCCCCCTCCCCTCACCTGTGACTCATCGAATGTTATATATCTCCTTATGTGTAATATCTGTGATCATGGCTCTTATATAGGCGAAACTGGAACTAAATTTAGACTCGGGTTTAATAACCACAAACAGTCCGTCAGTAGCAAGAGCAAGGGGTTCCCTGTCGCTGAACACTTTAACTCTCCTGGCCACTCTATTGACAACATCCCATGTGTTCTGCTAGCTAACAATTTTCCATCTCTCGACCATAGAAGACGCTCATCAAATTCAACACTGACATTTTAGGCCTTAATCGTGACATGGGTATTCTGAGCGATTACACATTCACACACACTTGAATTTTTTTCATATCACCGTATTCTGCATCATTATTTTATGTACACCATGTTATATTCCATATTACTTGTATAATGCTATATTTAAGTTTGACTTCTACATTACATTTGTGTCTAGGGTTACCTAGTTTACTTTGTTTTTTTTTATTTTGTTAATGGCTATTATTATATTATAATAATAATTATTATATATAGTAATATTATTATATTTTTGTTTTTAGTTTTTTCAATTTACTTGATCTTGAGAATGGTTCCATGATGGACCCGAAAGGTCGATCTTTCTTGTCATTAAATTTTGTTTTGAAATTATATTATATTATATTATTTTATATACATATATATGTATGTACATTAGGCTTATATATTATCTTATGATTTTTATTGCCATTATACTTATCTGTATCATGGGCTATCGCTTACACTACTCGATATCAGAGTACTTTGTTTTCCACACTTTTAACTCATTATCTTGCTTCCATCATATATCATTATCCCTATTTTTCCATTATTGTTTATCTCATTTAATCACCCTCCTTTATTTATTGCCCACTGTTTATTGTATTATATTGGATCTAGGATTTGCCAACTTCTGTAATCAGTTACGCTGATGAAGTCTTGAGGACAAGAAATATTCGTTCCCTAAATAAATTATATTGTGTTCTACTGTCTAACTCAACGTGTCTGCATCATTATTTTTTGTCTTATTTTCTGTTATATATAATAATAATAATAATAATACCATAATAATAACAGTAATAATAATAATACCGTAGTAGGTGTATCGCAAGCTTAAACTGTATGTTATTACTTCGCCATGCAAACCTTCAAGCAATGCCATAGTAGTAATACGGTAATAATAATAATAATAATATTATGGAGATTATTGTAGAATTCTTAATTTAAAGCCAAAGAAAAATATATGTGCAGCTACGTTACCTACATAAAAACCTGAGGAAATTATTTGAATAATATGGGGATTTATACCGTGCCTTTTGCAAAGGGATGCAAGGTGCTGGTGATGTTTTTTTATACTGGTATATCAGGCCTGATGTTACTGTCAATATTAATGAGAGGCAGCCACAAAGTATATAATTAGTTTATAAGCGATGAAATACTCACACTTAGGTCTGAAACATAGCATGGAGCTACTTCAACCCTTCAGTAGTTCAAGCTGGGATAACTAAGCATGGTCGGCCGAGAATGGTCAGCGTGTGCTTCAAACCTCAGCCCATGACCAATTTTCAGATATTTTTAGGGTAAATTACATGCCTGAAGCATATTATTTTATGTTATTGAAACTTTTTTTGTCGTTAGATTAGATTAAATCATTTTCATCATTTGGTGATTTTGATTATAATCATTGTCAATGTGTTCGCACTTCTGCTATAAAGTTAGATGTTATGTTGCGTTTGTATTTTGCAACCTTTGTTTCTGTCATTGCATATTCAGCTTCTAAGGCATCCATGACTTCTCAAACACTTCTTGCACCTGACAGTAAGTATATATACATGTATAAACACTTTTTCAATTGCCCTCTCTTTTACTTCATTAGTCATTCCTTCTTTTTCATTGATTGCTTCATTTAATCATTCACTCACTTTCATTCATTTATTCTTAATTTTTGACTTCACTCCTTTACTATATTAATTATTATATTGATTTGTTTATTAGTATTAATAATGATTTAAGTAATTTTTATAATTACAAATTATATTTTATGAATTGAAAACTTGGAGCGAAAAATAGATAAAAAACTAATACAAGATGTACAGTTTTTGTGAGACTAATCTAACAAACCCAAGTCTATTATGGCACCTGTTCATCAGTTCAAGATGCTGGGAGACAGCATTCAATTGCTCTAGAAAACACTTACTTTCTAGGTGTACACTTTCTTTGATGGCTGATCAGTCCACTCTTTGATTGACCTATGTTTTCACTTTTTTGGCACTTGAATAATTTAATCTGGCTTTGTACTTGAGATACTGCAGCGTGTTGAATGCTCAGCCACCACTGTTTTATCATTAAAGTTATTGGAACCTCATACATTCTATGTTGGATATTTATATTCACTTAGGTATATATAAACCATGAGATATGGAAATAAAAATCACACTGTTTATCATAATTTTAAAAAATCATGATTTATAGCGATTTTAACAACATTTAAGCCCCACCCACCTCACAATGTTTATAATGGTCATGTGACACTATGACATCAGACTTGTCCCTCTCCTTAATTGGCTTCTCTCAACTTGTCTCCAATCGCGGTTTGTTTTGATCGTCGCGATAAGTTCTGTTTTGAAGTGAGATTTGTCAGTTTTTATCGTGATGGATTACCCCACTGTGTACAGCTTGATACCAACTTGTTCATCACTTACTAACAATTCAAAGCTGGATGGCTTGATATAAAAGCAATTTATATCCTTTTAAGATGTGTCATTAAAGTGTAGCTTTGGACGTCCAACTGGTCTTGTCCCTTCTTCAAATTCCCCACAAAGGATATCCTTGGGGATGCTACCATCCTACATCTTCCAGAGGAACAAGAGTGTAGGTAGACTCTTTCCATCTCTTCCATGAAGGCTAATGTTGGATGTTATTCTTTCTTTATTGGTTAGATTTATAAAGCGCATATACTGTAGTTTCTATGATTAGAATCCAAATACTGGTAAATCACATACTTTAGCTGTTTGTGTAGAATTCTATCTAACACTAAAATTAATAAACCACTTCCTGTTCATCATTTTTATCTTGTTTAATTGTTTTTATTATTATTATTATTATTATTATTATTATTATTATTGTTATTATTATTATTATTATTATTATTTATTATTATTTTTATGATAAGAGGAAATATCTATAGCAGTTGGTGATATTTGTCAAAATTTAAATTTAGTTTTGTTACTGGTCACACAATTAAGAATCTAAGATAGAGTTCATCACTGATTTGTACATAATGCACGTGTTTTAGGCAGTTTTATTTACTGTGGGTAGAGATGCAGACATGAATCCAAGGTATACTGCCAAAGGTAGAGATTAGGGCAGACATGAATCCAAGGTCTACTGCCAAGGGTAGAGATTAGGGCAAACATGAATCCCAGGTCTACTGCCAAAGATAGAGATTAGGGCAGACATGAATCCAAGGTCTACTGCCAAGGGTAGAGATGAAGGCAGACATGAATGCAAGGTATACTGCCAAAGGTAGAGATGCATAAATGAATCCAAGGTCTACTGCCAAGGATAGAGATGAATGGCAGACATGAATCCAAGGTATACTGCCAAAAGTAGAGATTAGGGCAGACATGAATCCAAGGTCTACTGCCAAGGGTAGAGATGAAGGCAGACATGAATCCAAGGTATACTGCCAAAGGTAGAGATGCAGAAATAATTCCAAGGTCTACAGCCAAGGGTAGAGATAAGGCAAACATGAATCCAATGTATACTGCCAAAGGTAGAGATGCAGAAATTAATCCAAGGTCTACTACTGCCAAGTGTAGAGATGAGGGCAGACATGAATCCAAGATCTACTGCCAAGGGTAGAGATGAGGACAGACATGATTTCAAGTAGGGACTAGGGCAGACATGAATCCAACTTACTCAAAGATTTAAAAAGAATAATAATACCTACAGCTTACAACATTTGAGTGGTCATGCACCTCATCTTGGAAGTGATTTCTACAATGTGTGACATCAAGAATAATTTTTCAGCATTTCTGTAATTGGATCACCAACATATAACTAAATACAGACCAAGCTCTTAAGTGCCCTTTAAAATTGTTACATACTTATGTTCTTACATGTTTTACTAATTTTTGAATATCTTTCTGTAACTTTGTGTTGAAATATTTTTTTTGCTATGCTAATCTTTTTATTTCGCATGAAAGAATATTATAAGAAGGTATTATAAATGCATGCTACTTGATAAAAGCATGATTCAAATTATGAAAACTAAACAAATTGAGAATAGAAAAGCCTAATACTTGGCCTATAAAACGTTAAGTGTATGTTCTTATTTATATAACATTTGTTTGTGTTTTTTTTTTTTTTTATTGACACTAATATGAATAATTAACAATTTTCTGTGTAGCCTTGCCAAATGGAATCGCATCCAGGAGAAGACGGAGCAAACAAGATCTTGATGAAGCATCCGAAAAAGAACGACGGAGGGAGAAAGATATTGAAAAAGAAGAGTGCTCGCTCTCAAGTTGTTCTTCCTTGTCAAGTCTGAACAAAGAAGCAGGAGATCGGTCATCGTGTGCTTCCAGCATTTCTATTGAAAGTACGGGTAGGTGCATGATACACAACACCCAAAGACAGCAACATTATTATGTTGTGCCTGATTTATTCCACTGCTAGTTTCATTTCAGCAACAGCAAAATTTTACCTTTGCTAACCAATGATAAATTCTGAACAGAGGTGGATTTTTTTTTCTCCATCTTTTTGATTTTTATGGTTATTTTAGTGCAATTCTGTGTTTTCCAAGGTTTTTGTCAAAGTGTTTTCCCGTTATTTCTTACTCATATCTGGTATTTATTGGTTTTTTTGTTGTTTTTTTTTTCAGATCATCACTTTCAAAAAATTATATGAATAATTTGTATTTTTCTGAATACTGAAATAATTTATTGTCCAATGTAAAAGAAGGAAATGCATTTGAAATCTGGCAAACATTTAAAATCACAGCGCTTGACTGCAACTTAAATATTTTTTGGCAGTGTTGCTTTATTTTAATGTCATTTTTTTCGTGTTCTCTCCTTCATTCTCTATCATTGGTATCTTAATAATGTTCAAATTCAACTGGTTTGTCTGGATACCTTTCTTTGTCTGCTTTACTCCTCGCCTTTTAAAGTGCCTTTACTTTTGTCACCCACCACATCTCTTCTGTTCCTATCCTCTTCAATGCTGTGTTTTTTAAAAATTTGTTTATCTAAATATACCTTTTAAATATGTGTTTTTGATTTCAATATTAAAGATTGACTAGTATATAATTGTTGGCCTTCAACAGAGCAAAACTCCTGTAGTGACATTGAGATTGTTTATGCAGTTCTTCTTGTCATTTTTCATCAAGTTGTGTTCTTTCAATGAGTTATATATTTTTGAAATATCAGAATCTTCATTGATACAGTAGTACAGAGTGTCCCAATAGTCTTGGTATCATTTAAAGATTCATGTCTCTGCTAAAATCATTTACAATCTAAAGCTAAAAACATATTTCAGAGATAAAACTTGTAGAATTACTTTGATACCAAACTCAACCTCATTCATGATCCCTTTATATAAAAGGTAATAGCTAAAAGGTTTGGTTGCATAACATGAAATACCATAGATTGTTCAATTTGCAGAACCCGTATGTGAAAAGTTGTCACAACTGTGCAGCCTGAGCATTGCTCACATTTCATGTGGACGTTGCAACAATAACAAAGCCTTCACTTGCTACATTTTCACACTATGAATATGGTCAACACTGATTTTCAAAAGCTACAGGATGGCTTACCTCATAGAGCATCAATAAATTGAATTTGTTCGGTTTACGTCGAAAGTAAACCAGTCAAACTTACTCAGAAAGGGTTCAGAGATTATATCAATGTCAAAAGCACAGGTAGACAAATCCCTATCAACAGGATCTGTACTTGGTTTAGTTTGCTGTGGTCGTAAAAAGTCTGGCAGATCGACAAGTAACATTGATGTCATTAGACATGCAGTATCCAAAGTCTAAGGAGATCTATTCACCAACCAACTTTTCAGATTAATTAAACAATCAAAGCAGCAGACAGACAAACATGACTGAAGTTTTCCAACTAAATTAGCAACCAAAGTGAGCATAAACCATCCTTTCTTGACAATATTTGGTAAGAAAATGTAAATAAGCAGAATATGCGATTTTTGCATAAGCATGTATTTATTAAGTGTTTTACAGTTAGGAAAACTTTTGTTTTGGAACACAGAAATTTTGGTACCAAAATAATTCTACAGACTATCATGTTTTCAGTTTTACATTACGGTACAAATTATTGTCCCGGCGATATAAATCTTTAAAAAGGTATCAAGACTTTTGAGACACCCTGTGTCTTTCCCATTCGCATGCTCTTCAAGATTTTTGTCGTGGTCCTTCTGTGTCACACCATAATAGCTCTTGATTGCTTTTATCAAGAAAGGTTTGTAGCAATGATGCTGCCCTCTATGTTCACTCTACAACAGAATTACTTAGTGATATACCTATTAGTGCCAACTCTAAAGAAATAGGTGTGAGCTCTTAAACTCACTGCGCCTGACGGTCGTCAATTCTATAAAGAACGTGACCATGGTCAGTTCAGACTGCCACTGGCAATCAGCAGACGGCATTGCATTGTCTAGCACAGTCATACTACGTAGCGATTACTCGGCTTTACCCTTGGATGGCAAATTCGCTACATTCATTTAATTTTATTAAATGTTATGCTGTTATATTTGCTGTTGTAATATGCTTTGTTCACTGTGTTGTTGAGTAAATTTCCACATTAGCAATTTAATCTGTTTTTTTTTTCACCAATATAATAATAGTAGTTGTGTAGCCATGCTAGATTGAACAATAATATTGATGACAGGTAATGATGAGGCAGAACTATGAAACAAACTTTAAAGATGCAATTGTATTTGACACAAGCTTTTGCTGGCAGTCAATGCCAGTCACACAATTGAAGTTTCATGCTTTCTTGCAAAAGCGTATTATTATTCTCCTTAGCTGCTCTACTATTCAAAGTTAGTCTCAGAGTGTTGCCTCATCATTACCTGTTACTATTTTAATATGTTCTTAATTGAATTACAATAATTCTGTTACTAGATGTATGATAAATTGAATAATGATTATAAATGCAAGATTTATTATCAATATTGTAAAGACCTATATTTATTCACTTGTTTGAAATATGATAATAAAGTTTATCTTATCTTACCTTATCTTATCCTCTGAATATGTCTACCATATACATATATATTGTATCTACTATATATTTGTATCTATATTTTGTATTTTTTCTGTACCAAGCCCACAATGCATCCTTACCATCTTCTTTGACCATTTAGGTGGCAGGTTGAAATATTTTGCCATAAGAACAGCAGTGGAGTAATGTTTAAACACAAAAACAAATCGTATGTCAAGACTCAGATATAATAATTGTTTGTCTTTAATTGTTATTATACTTCACCAGGATCAAATGAGAAAGTTCCTTTACATTCAAGTCAAAAAGTACCTAGCAGCCCTTCTGAGCCTCCTGCCAATCATCTAGTGCAATCATCGAAAACAAACCCTGTTGAAGATACAAGGCCAGGACAATGTCAAGTTGCTGAACCTGTCCAGTCAGGGTCACAGCGACTAGTCAATGGACCACAAACACCCCAAAGTGCTGGACTTTCAGATACTAAACGTTATATCTTAGATATGACATATACGACCGCTTCACCCACACCGCACTCACGAAAGGTTTCCACTTGCCTTCACAATTCACCATCTATTATAAAACGGATGGAGAGTTTAAAGTCACCCTCTACTCCCTTGTCACCACAACAGATAGAAGTCCTAAATAACAGTGGCAAAGTGCAATCTGTTCAGGAAAAACTGCAGTCGCAATCATCACTTGAGGAGTCCACAGGGGAAGAGGCAGGTCGCCGCGGTGATGTCAGTGGTGCTATTAGCCAAGCCATTCAGGGCTTAAGTCGGGCAAATCAACCAGGTTCAATTCCTGAAGAGGAAGTTATACCAAATCCGCAAGAAGTACGGAAAAAGGAATGGGAAAAAATCTTGCATATGAACAAACGTGAACTGCGTATTTTGAATTGGGACTTCACAGACTTAAGCACAGAAGATGATGAAGATATTTTAGACTTAACACCAATGTATCTTATAAATGGTATACCACCACCACCTCCTCCAGTCAGTGGTGCTGGTGGGATAAAACCAGCACCAATGTTCATGCCACCACCCCCACCTGTAATCAATTGCCAAAACAGTACACTGAAAAGAACAGCTGAATTTCCCAATAAGAAAAAGAAAACTGTCCGTCTTCACTGGAAGGAAGCTAACTTGGAGCATCCAGTCTTCTCCTCCATAAAGGAAGGCTCTCGAAAGGGAACAATATGGGAAACTCTGTCTTCAGTAAAATTAGATTGTGATAAACTTGAACACTTATTTGAGAGTCGCACAAAAGATCTACCAATCAAGGTAAAGTAGTGATTAGATGATTTTACTTATTTTATTAACTTTTAAATGAAATATATTAAAAAGGGAGCACAGTTCTAAAAAAACATTGAATTTGTTCTAGATTACATTATCCCAATATCCAATTTACCATCTTCAATGTTAACATTCTTATTAATATTATTACTGATATTGCATGAGGACAAACAAACAAATAGATAGCTATTATATTAATTCATGCCAACTTTTCCCTCACAAGAGTTTGTAAAACAATTAAATGTGATTTAAATATTAAATGCTCTCACAGTTCAACATTCTGTAATAGTATGGAATAAGCAGTATAAGAAATTATGTTCTTTGGTGGTTTTGATACTCATACTGGGTTCAATGCAGGCAAATGCCAACATTTTTCTTACAATGAAGTATTGAAAATCTATGATGAACCACCCCTCTCTCCTTTGACAGCACCAATACATTAATTTCATTTTGGTATTAATATCAAATGGAACTGATATGCTTAGGGTAATACTACTAAAGGCTGTGTAAAGATAAATATTAAAGGATAAGGTATTTTTCCTGTTGGGATTCCACCCTCTCTAATTTACTGTTCGTTGCTCTGGCAATTGAGCTATGAGGCCAAGTTAGTTTTATCCTTTTAAATGTTGTAGTTAAGTCTGGTTGCCCTGCCACGGGCACCCAGTTTTCTGATTTCCAATTTGAATGAGGACAAATAAAGAATTAATATGTTTTAACAATAATAATGTCATTTTATAAGATGCATGCATCTTAGCATCCTATTAATACTGTTGGCCTGAAATCCACAATCCATTAAAAAAAAAATAGGCTGTGAGAAATGAAGGACGTGAAAAAGAAAAACATATTTGATTGTACTGATTATAAATATATAGAATGCATGCAAGACCTTTAATAGTTAATGCTTTATTATGGCATAGCAATTGAAGGTCATTGGTTTCATATAATGCTGCTTTGACATCTTAAAACAGCTACAAGGCTCATGAACTATGTTTAATTAATCAATGCCCTGTTCGTATGCATCACTGCATGTATATAGGGTTTATATTTATTCAGTATGTGCGTAGTATATCAAAAAATTATATTATAGTATTAGTTTTAACTGTCAATTAATTGATAATGCACAAATACATATGTGTATGTGGAATATTGATTATTTCTATGCATATATGTCCAGTACATAAATTTAAATAATATTCAAAATAGGTTTCTATATAGCACCATAAGCACACAATAAACAGATAGATGATATATCAATAAACAAATACTGTAGATAAATATAATTATAACAGTGTTTGAATATAGGAACATATGATGGCATATGAATCAAGCATAGCTGCAGAGCTATGCTAGAGCCTAGACATGATGTATGATCCTATATTTTAAGCACTGCTATTATCCATCTTTTAATTGTGTTTATGATGCTACTATATGCAGAAAACCTAATACTATGTACAATGATTTGCAAGCAGTAACCTATAAGCCAGCTCATAGCTCCAACATGTGTAAGCACAATAGTCAATTGTATAATTTCCCTGATATTGAGAGACTGCCTTCTCAAATCCTGCCAGATACTATTTTTTTCATACAATTGAAAATGGAACTGTTCCTTAACAATGTCTCTTATACACATCTAGATGTGTATAAGAGACAGGTATGAGCTAATGTCCTCAGGTAAACCTATATACTATTTAGTTTATATATTATTTAGTATCATGTTATGAAATATTGTAAAGCATCACTCCTTCCTCTAACCTGCTATATTTTTTCTGCTTTTTTATTTTTGCTCGATTATCTCGCTGTCACACGTTCGATGCTTGGTTTGCATGTATCCAGGAGCAGGTTAGTACACATGTTGATTGCTTAGCTTTTTTCCAGTTGTTAGTGCATGTCAGGTACTTGGATAGAAATGTCTTTCCAACCAATGGGCTTTGATACTGAATTCATCTTAGTGGTGGATTTACTTTTTTTATGCTCATAATTTGAAGTATTTCTTGTGTTTGTAAGAGTTTAATGTCCTCATAAGCAAACACAATGTTGTTCTTAACTAAATCCTTTTACTTCATCAATTGCTTTGAATAGAAAATTGATATCCTCAGAGATAAAAAAAAAGAAAACGCAAAAATCAATATTTATATTACCAGTTATTATGATCAAATAGTTGAATTTATATAACACAATAATACAGGTGATTAGAGAAATTTTTAAATATTTGACTGCTGTAAAAAACAGTAATTATTATATATTGCATACAAAGATTCCAGGCATCTGATTGGTTAAAAAGTGGGTGAAACTTCAACCATCACTCCTATGACATAGCTTGAATGATAGTTCATAAATTTCCAGGGGGAAAAAAACTACTATCACATTAAATAATAGTACATAACTAAAAAAAAACTTCAACCATCACTCCTATGACGTAGCTTGAATGATAGTCCATAAATTTCCAGGGGGAAAAAAACTACTATCACATTAAATAATAGTACATAACACGATGTAACCTCTAGGCTTCACCAGCGGTGGCACCGGGATTTGGCCAACAGGGGGGGGGGGCGGCGAGGTGACGAGGGGTCAGATTTCCCCGACGAAAGCAATGTGGGCGTGGTCAAGCTTCGAATAAACCGTTTCAAAGCGGTGGCACCGGGATTTGGCCAACAGGGGGGGGGGGCGGCGAGGTGACGAGGGGTCAGATTTCCCCGACGAAAGCAATGTGGGCGTGGTCAAGCTTCGAATAAACCGTTTCAAAAGTGGTCCAGAAGCCGTTGCTCCCTTGTGCATTATGGCCCATGTACACGTTAAAGAACGCAGTACACTCTTCGGAAAAGAGAAGGGGATTGTCTCCCGGTGTACTGCCCAATCACCACCAGAAGGACCCCACTTTAAATAAGTCTTCTTCCAGACTTTCCTGGGCTATCCTTGGTGTTTACACCGAATAAATCCAATCCAATCCAATCCAATCCAAATTGTTGGCTAGTCTCCACATCACCTCAGAGCAATATATTCACCATTCCCCTCATTAGCAGTCAATATTTGTATACTACAGTATATCTAATTTATCATTATCATCATCTTTTAAAAAAATTTTTTTTTTTTTATTTAGGTATAAAACACATTACAATAGGCAGAATGAGTCTAAAATTATTGTATTACAATAAAAAAAATAACAAAAAAAAAAACCAATTATTTACAGAAAACATTTAAATATACTAGAAGAAAGTACTGATCTAGAGGGGTGTTGTATTATATCATCATAGCCCAAACAATGTGAGGCTAGTTTGGTTATATTCTTCATAGAATTTTTATTTAAAGCGACATTTTCGGCAAAATTTCGTTTTTTTAAGATAAATCTGATTTTCATCAATGTTAGAACAATATGTAAATATAATACGAAAATTGCATGTTTAAATAAATTTCGACATTCCTAAACATGAAAAAATTGCTAAATAAGACCTTGAACATGAATGAATTTTCTACGTTGAATTTTGCAGTAGATAGGTCTAATCTATTGGTGAAGAAATATAGTAGGCAGTGGAAACATTGCCTAGCAACACTGCTAGGCTAGGAACTAAATGTTAGGTTCTGTTATCAGACATAAAAATGGGCGACATCATATTTTTGCCGTTGCTAGTATTGTCAATTACGAAATAGAACCCTGGTATTGAACCCCTGCCCTGCGGGCCAAGTCCGGCCCACCAAAGATTTTGATCCGGCCCGAGCTACATTGCTAAAAAATAAATCATTTTTCAGGACAATTTTCAGTACTTACAGAAAAAAGTATTTTTGTTAATAGAAGCACGACCAACTACTCTGGCATTGTTGACAATGAGTGTAGCTCACTGTAATGGCGTAGAGTATTGGCATGCGGAGGGGAGACTGATTGGGGAACGGATTAAGTGGGGGAGCTAATGTGATGATATCTAACCGTTTGCGGCGCCAGTGGTGGATCCAGGAAGCAGACTCAAAGGATGTTATTCTGTTGAAAACACTGCTTTGAAAAAGTATTTTTACAGTCTGAAAGTGCCATTGCCGGGAATCTAGAGTGTCTGCTTTTTTAAAAATTTACTCGTCTTAGCCCTAACCATTGTAGGCTGAGGTAAATGTAAGCCTTTTTGTGGGATACAATCTCCTCATCGGGGAATTTCTGGCGCTGGCATTGTTTTTAACTACTTGCATGTGCATGAGTGGAATTTTTTGTGCTCTGAAAATTTCGAGTGGTAGGGTAGGAGAACCTGGAGTGCAGGTATTTCTTTTATCCCCTACCCTTCCTCATGCTACTGCATTCCCTCATTTTTACAAAACAAGGCCTATCAGAGTTGATGTTGGAAAACCAAGGCTAATAATATGCCTACTAGAAAGACTTGTAGGCCTGTAGAGTGGCAGATTCTAGAGGCCCAGCCGTACCCTCCCCACTTGTGAATTTTTCAAATTTAAAACATGGGGGGAAAAAACCAGATAAAAAAGGAAGAATGGTGGATAAGCTAAAAATTTACCCTATCTACCATGTATGCTCGGCTGTATAACATATACTGTACACAAAAAGCAGCTGGTGAGACTATGCGGGGGGGATGCAATCTATAACCGCTAAATTTGTCTAGTAGCAAAGAAGTCGTCGAGGAAATGAGTAGTCTCTATTTTTCATTTTTTTTTTCTCCTCGGCCATTCTGTGGCAAAACAAAAAAAAAAGAAAAATTGAGTTACAGTTTGCATGTTCATAACTTCGCAATAAATTGTCGTAACCTTTTGAAATTTTGCAGGATTGTATATCATACAGTATAGACATTGTGATTATATGTAATTTTAATTACAACCATTTGTTTATTGCAAAGTTATTAGTGATAATTAATACAGATCTGTTGTTTTGTCTCGAAAACATAGGCTCAGTATTGTTGCAAGTGCGACATATTTTTGGAATTTATCACGTTGGGGGCAATCACATGCATTACCTAGCTTGGTCATACATCACTGTTAAGTATTGATATATAAAAAACCAAATAACCATTTGATTTTGCCTTACCAAATTCTATCGGCTCAAGACCATTTTTGAATATCATTCCGTGGCAAAACAACATATCTTCATTGCAGATATACTTTGTTTTGCCACGTAATCTTGTAGTTACGTAGTTTTGCCACAGAAAATCACTAGATTTTCAGTTTTGTGCTTAAAGATAGGTGGTTCTATCTCCGAAATTACTCATTATTGAGACCTGACATTTTCACAGGTAATTCAGACGTGTTTAATATACTCCCAAATGATATTATTTCAAAATCGACAAAAATGTCAGTTACATCTTTTTGCCTCGCGACGGCCATCCTCTAGTATAAACCTACAAGTTATGCCAAAAAATGATCTGGTTTTTAATAATTAGAGTAATGCATGTGCATTTTTTCTGAAAATTGCTTTGTTTTTATGTGAAATTTTGCCGGGAATATGGGGCTTTAATTTTATTTGTAATTTAAGTGTTTGACATCAGAACCCCATGGAAAAACAATGTCCCCACATTGATTGGGTATCAAAAAAGAAAGATTTATATCTATTTATCTGTCCTCTATAAGTGTCTCACATTCTTTTTACATAAACCATGCAGGCCTGTTTAACTACTTCTATTTTAATCATTGTACCTATACTCATCATTCACCATTCTCATTCATCTCACTACCTAAACTACACTGATTTTGCTACTTTTAGCATCATCATTATATGCATGAGTCAAAAAAATATAATTTAATAATAATAATAATAATAATAAATTTATATGGCCTTTATTCACATTTTAATGAATATTAGAGAATAATCGGCTTATACATTTCATCTTTTATGAAATTTTTATGATGTGTGGGATAACACAACTCAGCATGAGATGTAAGAAGTGGATGCAGTGATTTCCAACAATACAACCCATTTATATCTGTTAACATTTTAATAAAAGTGGTGTCAGTATATAAAAAGGGCACACAATTTGACGTATGAGACTGGATAATGATTTGCATTTTATGATGGACAGTCCATAATTTCATATTCTGTTTCTTAATCCAGTAATAACCTATATCGTATGAGAACCCCAGTTAATATATTAATATCTGCATATTTTTAATATCGTAATTGATGATCCATATTTTGTTAATGAAAATGTGGGCATAGGAAATAGTTTATTGAGTGGGAGACATTGTTGTGTAATCAGTGGATTATCCTTTAATTCTCTTGATTTCTTTAGAATGTCAATCGCTTTACCAAACAAATTACTTTGAGCAAATAACCATCATGTATATTATGATTGATGACGTCAAAGTAAATGCTTATGTTATCTAATTACTCTCATGTTATCTATCATCTATTTCTTGTACAAAAGAAATTTCATAATTATTTCATGTTGAAATAGTTTTGATTTTTTTTTATCTTGTCTTTAGAAAACAGATTCAGTTAAGAAAAATGTTATAACTGTGTTAGATCACAAACGATCAAATGCTATCAACATTGGATTGACTGTTTTACCTCAACCACGCACAATCAAACAAGCTATTTTAAATATGGACAGTGTTGCCATCAATAAAGAAGGAGTAGAGGTAACATACAGTAGATAAGTATCCAATACATAAAGAACGTACTCAATTTGAATCTATGTAAATTAATGCCAGTCCCTCATCATCACACCATTTTTTTAGGGCTTTTATTTTGGCATCATTCCTGTTGAAACGTCCTGATTGGCTGTAGAGTTTGAAGCCTCATATCTATATTTGAATAAACACATTTCTCGTATGGCCACTGATACTTTATAAATGTTATTGCATTATTATTGTAAAGTGTTGTACATGTATGTACAACATGGTCAGTGCATACTGACAATTATAATGTACTGTTCAACATTAGAATGCATGAATTTTGAAAGTGGTCAACATGCTGACATTTAGAATGTATCATACACATCTATGGTGTTGCCATTAGAATGACAAACATGTAGATATTGTGAACATAGCTTACCATTAATAGGTATGGCATGGTAGACTGGAACTATGATGTAGGCATAAATTATTATTCCATAGGACTCATGACAAAGAATAAAGATATTTGAGTGAAGTTCAATTACTGGTGTGCTTGTAATGCATTTCAAAACAAATATTTATTTATTACAGTTGAATGTCCCTTTCCATTGTTTGACATATTTTGTGTTAAAAGTCTCTTGTATTGATCATGTATGTTATTCAAATCTGGTTATGGTTATTTGTAAGTTTTTCTTAATATTGTTATAGAAACTATTGACTCTAGTTCCTTCTGATGAGGAGATTAAGTTAATCCAAGATGCCAAAGCAGCTCATCCTGATGTACCACTGGGATCAGCTGAACAATTTCTAATAACCATGTCTTCAGTGAGTGGATTAAAAGCAAGACTTAATCTCTGGCTATTTAAGATGGATTATGAAACATTGGAACAGGTAAGTCAACTCAGTTGAAATTAGTTGAAATTCACTACAATATGTTTGTAGATAATAGCAAAATGCCTTAATATTTTTTATGATACATTAGCTGCCTGTGTGGCTATGCTGATGGTCTAGGCCCACACGTTAATTAGATTATCGCTATGTTGACAGACAGGAAAAGTGGTCTGGGTAACGCGATGTAGTTTTTATTGCCTTCATAGACGTTAACTAGGTATTTCTACCATGTGTTTGGTAGTACATACCACGCTGTAAGTAGCTATTTTAATTTTCGGGCAGCATCATCAATGGTTGCACAATGTTAAACTACGCCTACCTCTGTATTGTAGCCTAATAGGATAATAAGCAGCAGCATACACACACAAGTGAAACAATTGAATGTCATTGGGTTATATTAGCTTAAGCTTTTTTACCGGCCCAGAATTATAGGGAAGTTATTAGCATTGCTTATAACAAACATTTAATCCAGCATCTTTTACACTGATTTGGCTGATATTGGGAGGAGAAGATAAACATAGCAGAGATTTAATGTATGTATAATAAATATCAAATTAATTGCATTACTCTATTCATTGAATAAATATCAATCCTGGAACAATTATTGTTTATGATAATCAGACATTTTTTAATTCCCATTAATTTTAATGTCTTGCTAATTAATATTTTTTCATTAATTTATCAGGAGGTGGCTGAACCACTTGCAGATTTGAAACAGGGAATTGAAGATTTAAAATCTTCCAAAACATTGAAATACATTCTTGCCACACTGCTTGCCATTGGTAACTTCCTCAATGGAGTACAGGTAATGTCATAGGTCATCCAAATATTTAATAACTCATCTGTTCTCATTACTTTAATCAAGGCAATTCAACAAGAGAACGCACATTTTAGGACGTCAAAGCTTATAAACTTTGGCATCGACATTCTACGCGCCGCGCGCACCTACATGCTAACCAGCACAAGAACCATAGCAACCAATCATAATTACCGTAAATGTGTGACGAATTACCCACGTACGTGTCAGTTGGCATGATAGTCGCGCATTGTGCGGTGGTTACAAAGGCCTTATGAACATTTGCATTTTCATTAGACTGAAATTATATTCGTTATTTCAACATTAATTTTACTAATGAGGTGGTGTCCGGTGGTTCATGAGACTCACTTCGCAGAAAAAATAAATAAATTTTCTGTAATTATTCAAATGTTCGTTTTGTGCACCTTACTCCAACATTGTCAAAATGACAGTTTAATGTTATATAAGAACATGAATTTTTATAAAAATCGTAACTTTTCTTACAGATTGTATTTTTCAGCTCATAGAAACTATACTAAAATTTTCATTTATTTATCACTCATTTTTTTCGCCATATTATTGTTACTTTAAAAAAAAATTATATCTGGTTTTTTAATATTATTTATTATATAATAATATTGATTATATATTAATATAACATAAATTGAAAATATTGTTATTTTTTCATTAATATTTTAATTGATAATAATGGATTATCCAAATTAACCCAATAATATTATACACTTGCTATGTTTTTATAAAATCAGTTCTCATCAGACAATGTTTTTCTTCTGTCATGTAATGCAATCAACCCTACTTAATTCTTTTTGTTTTTATTATGTGTATTTTATAGACTTCCTGTAAACAAGTACATTTAATTAATTTAAAATTATAATGCTTTTATATTTTTTAGGCTAAAGGTTTTAACATAGAGTATCTTGCCAGAGTACCTGAAGTAAAGGATACGGTCCATAAACAGTCCCTTCTTCATCATCTTTGTAGCATGGTGATGGAAAAGTTTCCTGATGGTTCTGATCTTTACAGTGAATTAGCATCTATTAGTCGATGTTCAAAAGTAAGACTTCTATATGTACCTTTGATGGATCTTTTTAATATTCTTTGAATTTCAGTTTAGAAAAGTATACATTTCCATCAGTTGTATTGTTAGTATTGTCATTTACCTGAAGGCAAATGGAATCTTTTCACTAATAAGCACCCTCCACAATAAATAACATACATGCACACACATGAGTGCATATATGAATACTATTTTTTATATTGGATAGTGAGCTTAGCTCAAAATGAAAGAAGATTTCCCTTAAAATTGATCTACAAAAAACAGTTAAAACATTACTCTAAATAATGGTGGACATAGTAATCAAAACAAATAATAATAATAATAATAATAATAATATGTCGGTCTTATATAGTGCTTCATGCCTAAAGCCTCTAAGCGCTTCACATTATTACCCCTCCACACATATTAAATTTCAACTTTTTCCTTTAATGTGTGTTTATTGAACTTCATGGTTTAAATAAAAATTATATAACAATGGATTTTACACTGTAATGAACTGTAAATTATAGCTTAACCACACTTAAATAAGTAACATTTTATTTGGATTAAGAAGCTTATAATTATTTAACCAGCTAAATCTCCAATTTGACTACCTTTCAGGCTAGTGTTGGATTGCGCCCTATATAGGCCGAATATCCACAGCCTTGAATTAAGCATAAATTTAAACATCTTTCTAACACCTTCACATCTAAATGTATTCATATGATGATGATATTTTTTTTAGCTTAAGATATTATAAATGTATATTATTGTTGTTACTTTTATTATTAGTTTGACCTGATTAATTAAATATATTGATTGAATGATTAATTAATATATTTAAAGTAAAGTAATTATTGTGTTTAGGTTGATTTTGAGGCTCTTGCCGATACACTAGAAAGGATGGAAATTCAGTGCAAACAGTCATGGGAACACCTTCGAGTCATCTCCAAACATGATAGCCATTCCCAACTGAAAAATAAGTAAGCATTTGTCTGAAACCAAGAATTACAAAAAGTTTCTATTCTGTGCCACAAAAAAATATTCAGAAATGAGAAAGCCACTAACAGTATTACATTTTATATTAAAATAATATTTAACAAAACAAAAACAATCCACAAGTTTTCCAATAAAGTAGTAATCGTTACAAATGTATTTACTTGCTTGGATATCAAACAAATAAAAAAAATTATTGTGTTGGCCAATGCCAACCAACCCAGAATGTACGAAATCAAGCTTCAGCATTTTAGCAATATATTTTAATGAGCTAAAAAGGCTGAAATAGGCCTATCTTGCTGGACGGTAATTGATGTGAAAGTTTTATGCAATCATTTTGCTCTTCAATTTAGATTTTAAAATGGTCTTTGTTGTATTTTTGTGTATTACAGTATTGGTTTAAATAAAAAAATTAAAAAAAACTTCTACTACTGACCTACTCATTTTTTTGGAATTTTCCAAAACGTGGCAAACACAAGATTTTTTTGGTTGTTGGCCTTGTTTGTGTCCACCTAGGGTGTATTGGGCACCCGGTAAAGTGTAAATTCCAGTACGTGGACAAAATCTGCAACATAATGGATACTGCATCCCCTTCCCCACCCACAAACACAACAGTAAGCCAAATATATATGTTTCATAGTCAGTTGACCTTTGGAAGCAAAAATTCAGATTTGGTGTAAATGAGGCTTTAGATTGACCCATCATAATGTGTTATTCATTTATGTCCCACAACAAGTGTTTATGCTGTTATTTATTATATGCACTATCAGACCGCTTATTATGATTAATATTCATTCAAAATGAAAAGAGCTTGTTGTTGAGAGTGTCTCTGCATCTTAATTGAGGCAACTCGCTCGAAATGTCAAAACTCAACAATAACAGGAATTCTCTGTTGAGTTAATGGAAACACTTGCTGATACTGTGAATTCGTCATTGATGGAAAGTAAACTCCCTAACCTATAGAAAAAAACCATTGTTGTCCCCATCCTCAAAGAACATTCCCCCCATTGACAGGTTGAGGCCTGGTTCACTTTCCTGTGCATTTGCTAAGGTTGCAGAGAAATTCATTTGTTATTGGATCCAATCAAAAAAAGATATTAGATAATATGGTAATGTGAAAGGGGCCTGAATCTGCCATTGCCTTCTTTGTCTTATCCATGGCCTGAACTCTGCAGCTGACACAGGTGGCAATGGTCATGTATTTTTATCGTGCCTGCCTTGGCAATACTGGAACAGTCGTGCTCACAGACTTAGCTAAAGCATTCAACCTTATAGATCACAATGTGTTAATTAATAAAATCATAGATTCTGTTTGTGGGACAATTGTTCCATGGATTTGTAGCTTCCTCAGCTGCAGAGATCAGTGTGTCACGTATAAGAACAGCTTATCCTACATCCCACTTAAAGGTGGCCATTCTTGCTCTCAATTATACTCCTGTGACCCCCACCCCCCTGGATTTTCATTTTAAAAAAAATTAAAAATACCTTTATATGTCAAAAGAAAGATTCCAAAATTTCAGCTTCAATTTCCAGGTGGTTTTTAAGTTTTTATGAATGAAAAAGGTCATAACTTAAAACTGCTTGGAAATTGAAACTTTGAAGGGCAAAATTCCACTTCCTAATATTTAAAATATGTTGTTGATTTATCTTTCTATGAAAACTGCAATATGTCTTTTTCAGATTACAAGAGTTTTTAGCAGACTCTGCACAAAGAATTATTGTTCTTAAAATTGTACATAGGAGAGTTATTAATAGGTGAGCAAAGATATCAGATTATGATATAATTTGTAATAATTGATTTATCACAATTCAATAATGTTGAAATGTATTTGTTTGGATTTGTCTCAAGTTACGGTAAACATTTTTTTAAATTACATAAAATTTAAAATGAGAAAATGGTATTTCAATGTCTGGATTCATTCATTCATGCATTCACTTTTTCATTCATTCTTCAATTTCATAAAAACCATAATACAATTGGTACATACAGTACAATAAAATAAAAAGTATCCAAAACTGTAACTATTGAAATGTATTTGATTTGATTTGTCTCAAGTTACGGTAAACATTTTTTTAAATTACATAAAATTTAAAATGAGAAAATGGTATTTCAATGTCTGGATTCATTCAGTCATTCATTCATTCACTTTTTCATTCATTCTTCAATTTTATAAAAATCATAATACAATTGGTACATACAGTACAATAAAACAAAAAGTATCCAAAACTGAAATTACAGAAAAACTGTCAAGGATTAACAAAAACAATAAAAAAAAAATCACTGTAGCTCACATGCTACATATCCTAGTCTAGTGTTAGTACACCAGACCTATTTTCTAATGGGGTACACTTTTACATTTTGGCATTAAATTTATATCTATGAGGATTATTTTTTTCTGCAATTTTAATGTAAATTTCCTATTATGTTTAATATGTTTCATGCTTTTTTATGTTTTGATGTTAATCGTATTTCATAATTCAGGCTTTTTGGCTGCCATGTTTTATACTTTTATGAAGTAATGACAATGATTATGCACATGACTTTCCAAGTAATCATCATTATAAATTTTCTCATAATTATCATCATGCTAATTTTTCCCTGTATTTTAATAGGTTTAATAAATTATTACTGTACTGTGGGTTTACCCCAAACACAGCAAGTGACATGAAAGTTAACGAATTTTGTAAGGTGCTAAGTGAATTTGCTTTAGAGTATCGGACCGCTAGGGAACGTGTCCAAGAACAAGAAAAGAAAAAAGAGAATCACAGAAAGAGAAATAAAACTAGAGGAAAAATGATTGTTGAGGTGAGGTAAAATCCAAAATACTGCCATTTAAACATTTCAAATGTTTAATAGTGTCTAATGCATTAATAAAAAATTACTATTCAGGACAGAAGTAAAATTGTGATACTAAGAGTACTGTAAACAGTACAGTAGTTGGAAAGTCAGACATTCAAACTTGTAATATCCAGTGTTACAATGTTAAAAAGATACAATGTTAAAGATAGCACTAATTATTGCTACATATCTGAACAGATTGCTCTTCAAAATATACTGAAAAGTAAATAAAATATTAAGAAATCTGAAAAAAATGTTGGAGTGAAGTGAATTGGATTATGTCGGTGGAGTTGAATAGTGGTTAAGATGTTAGCCTTCCAATCCCAGGCTCCTGGTTTAATTCCTGTCAGTGTTGCAGGATTTTTCTCCTGACCAACACAACTTCACTTCCTAAACCATTGAGATTTGGTTTGTGTAAGCATCCTGTGTCTATGTTTGTCTTGTGAAAGGGACGGTCATACATATTCACTATTGGCAAACCTTAAAGCATGTGTACTTAAAGAAAAAAAAATTATGAGGGGCTTTATTTAGCAGTTAACTTTGAATGAATACCAGCGATTACATGCATTTATATCTTGTGTTAGAAATTTACGGGGAAGGACAAAGAAGAAGATGCCAAGCTACAAAAACTACTCAAAGGTTCTGGAACCACCCCTGGCGATGATGCACGTAAAGCAAGGTCAAAAAAAGTCGCAGGTAAGACACGCACAGTGCTTGGTATCATGCATGTTTTTACATGTTTTTGGGTGACAGTTTATCTTTAATATTATCCAAGTTGGTTTTAGTGTTTTTGTACATGCTTATTTATATGAAGATTGAAAATTAATTTTATTTTGTCATTCATAAATGCATATGACATTTATTTTCCTGGGTACAAGAATATAATAAATGTAAATCACAAAACACTTTCAGACTTGCAAAAGACTTAAAACAAAAGGTGTTAAAAATTAATTGGTTTTGTAAGGCAGGTATTGTTGAACAGTCTTATTACATTTGTATTTTTTAAGCTATATGTTTAATTATGAAACAGATAAAACATATTAAAACTTGTTCATACAATTTTTCAAAAGTCACCTTGCATTATCTAATAATTGAGAGCAAGGTCAAGATATACTGTGAATGTCATCATCTGCTATGAAAGTCTTTTGTTTAATAATGAATGCAGAGCTGAATATATTATTCTTCATTCATATGAAACAGGTCGAAGAGTTAATTACATTTGTTGCAGACTTGAAGAGACAAACAATATTCTTTTCTTTAATACTATTCATTGTCAAATATTATGTAGCATATTAGGATACATGTGTTTCGAAGACAAAATATGATTTGATTGCATGTCACTACATTATCATCACTGGATTAGACACAACAACTTCTAGAAACCCTAACCATGTTTTGTAGTGATCACCCTCTAGAGCTGCTTTATATTCCAACAATCTTATGACATTTTAGTGGAGATGTATGTTTGCACATGCTGGTTAAGTTGAATGTGAATATATTATACTTTGTGTAATCAATGAAAAATGCAATTTTTAATTAAATTAGATCAAAATTATTTTGAAATGTAAAAACTCAAGGCCAGTGCCAATATACCACAATTAATGAGGGACTTTGTGTACACAGTGCAGTATGCTGCTGTATCTGAAGTCTATGGATTAAGTATAGACTGAATTTGAACACTTTCAACCCTCTTTTTAAGACCTAGGTACTAGTTTCACAAAAATTACAATAAATTTAATATTGTATGAAATTGATATATTAATACCACCACACTAAGCAATTTCATTTGATGTGGTACAAAATCTCTTACATATCAATTTATATTTGTTTATGTTGAGTACCCAGTAAACAGTATGTAACCAGATCCAAATTTATCTATGGAATCAGTCTATTGTTTGATTAATGCAAGTATTTGTAGTACGCTGATAAGTTTATGGGTGACTGACATACTTTTCAATTGATATGACAGAAATTGTGTGACACACTACTTGCATAAATCATTTTATTGAGTAATTAATTAAGAGTAATTTCTACTCATTAACTATTCATTCATATGTAATATATTTATTATTACCATCTGATGGATTAGATCTGCAGGTTGATAAGTGATGTTTATTATAACCTTTATAAGCATATAAATATTAAAATACAATTCTATATTGGAATTCTTATTATTTACTTAGTCTTCTAATCTGAATTTCATAATTGTGGTTTATAATCAATATAGAATTACTATTATTTTTACATTTTTTGTATATGTGTTTAGGATATATATTTTTGAATAGCATTTTCATAATATTTAAACATTCTGCAACTCAAAAAAATGCATGGAAAAATTGTATTCCACATTTAGATGAACTGAACTAGTTACCAAATTTTAATGAGTCACATATTGAAAGAATAGATTTAATTGATTTAAAAACGTTTTAGTATGAAATTCTGTAAATTTGCTGCCAGGGTATAGAAATTATACTGTAATTAGCAATTTGTTGAGTATTTATTCTGATTTAATTTTCAATTGGAAGCTATAGCATTTAAAAACAAAACAGAAAGCAAGCAATTATTATTTTATTTCTAAGCTCAGTCCAGACTATCACATTTTATGTGACTAAAAACTGTTGTATTCCCATACAAATCATGCTGTGATTATATGGTGATGGTGTGATGTCATCATTACCATATATAGGCATTTCACAAGTTTTGTCAAATGAAATTGGATGGAGTGGACAGGGCTTTAAGCTTTTATTTGATGTAGGTGGCAGTAAGCCATCATGCAAACAATGAAACAGAAGTAGCTCTGCTTACCCCTACATTTACAATTATCTATCACACATCATTAAATGATGTCAATCTTAAGTTTGATCCATAGTTCTATTCATTCAGTAACATTATGTGCATTGCCTTTTACACCCATATTAAAAATGTTGACCCATGCCTTGTGGCTGTTGTCACTAACTCTTGTCCAATACGTGATTGGTAATTAATCTATGTGAATATTCATAGCCTATCTCATGTTACCATATGAACTAGATTTATTTATATTGGCATTTCATGATCAATAACCAGCAAGGACCAGTATTAACTTCATCAATGACAATACATTCCCTCAAAATCAGAAAAGTACTTGGCAGATATTTTCATTGTCATGAAATAAATTAAAGCAAAAAAACATAAGAACTTACATAATTGTGTATATGAATATGAGTATTTTTTTTTTTTAATAATTGTTACTAAGGCTTATCACACCCATATGTTAGCTAGTTACAACCACAGGTGGATGGCCATTGACTCTAAACACTGAATAATTAATAGTGTTTTCTTTCCACAAATATTTGCACACTGTTTTGTCCCTTGCCTGGTCATGTTCCCTTGGAGAAGGCACTGTTGTCCCCCTTGCCTGGTCACATTACTTGTTCCCTTGGGTAAGGCATTGTTGTTTTTCTTCACCCAGAACTTACATGTGTAAAAGGGCAATAATTTAGAATCAAATCGGTACGTGCTATACTACATTCTTGACTAGAAATTGTCCTTAAGGCGCAAAAGAGGTAGCACATTGTACAAAATAAATTGATATCATAAATTCTAAATCTAATTACATGGAGGAGCACTTTGGTATACCTAAAAGCAAAAACAACATACATATATGACAATATAATATTAGTACAGGAAATTTAAAAAATTACTAGTAATAATATATTAGTAAACATACTATGTTAATGGTAGCAGTAATGGTGATAAATAATAATAATTATAAAAGCCAGAAGTGAGATAAATTATTTAATGATTTACCTAATACATAAATAGCTACAATATATTAGTAACTTAATATATGATTCATAAAGATAATAATCATTAAATATTATTAATAAAACAGTGTTCATTGTATACCTACAGGCCAAATTTTAGGATCGTATGTGGCTAGTATCAAATAATATTACTGATATAATTCAAGGCTGTATTAAAGCAATTTACTACAGTTGTGATTTGAAATTAGTGTCATAAGTAATAAATTGAGCAATTCAGAATGTTAATCAAAGTACGCATTTGTGATCCCCCATCACCATGACAACTTTTCGGTCCCATTGACAAGACTCCAATATAGTTGTAACCTGATCTTGCCAATAGTATTGTCATCTTTATTTTTGGCTTCGACACCAAATAAAAACCATGAAATTAATTCCAAACAATAAAAGATGGAGCGCGTCAATCTGGGAAGCTAACGAGCTGCGCGATATATTATCGTAATTGAAGTTGTGCGAAATGGCCGTTAAGATGTAAAGAGAGCAAACTTGATCAATACGACACTTAATGTGAACAATCCACTTAGAGTAAGGTTGGGCTATCAGCAAGGGCTCACCACTTAACTGCTTGTTAATTTGCTATTATGTTGTCCAAGGTCTGTTTCTAAAGGTGATAATGTGCCAGAGATGTACAGTATTGACAGAATGATGTAGACACGGCGCTACTAATTTGCTGCACCAGTGAAACATTAAAATCTAGCCCTCTGGTGTATTAAATTGGTCTTTCAGAGATCGTACAATTTACAAATGCAGTCCTACTACAGTATATTTATTTCTGTTGGGATGTGATTTAACCCCCTTCTTTGCTGGATTCAATGACCTTGATATAATAGTTTAAGACAAAGAATTATCACATGCACTTAACCTTGGTAATTGTAAAGGATGTTAAAGTAGAATAAGATGACCCCTGAACTAATGCCATAAAACATTTTGCATTAGGATTGATTCTTTATATTAATTTAATTTTCAATTTGAAGAATCATATGTTAATGCTGGTATTCAAATCCTGTTTAGAATAAATAGTAATGAGTTGTATTCAGTGAAGATCCCTAACCTGGAATCATACTCTATCTCGATGAACTTGAATCCAATAAAAGCAATTCTTCTCATTCTCTTATGGAAGTACAGAACAAAACTAATCTTTGACTTGCACACGTGGTACAGTCTTAGAATAATAATAACAATAAATACGGAAAAGTTGATTCACCATCAAGGCCATGTTGTGTTTCCTAGAACTGGAAATCAGGGTTGGTCTTTTGTAATACTGTAGATCTATGTCTAATTATAGGGTTCATATCTAACCCATCACTCATCACATGCAGTTTTGTCAGGTAAAATGGTACAATTTGGCTTAAATTTAGTGTTCACATCAAACTTTTAAGTTTTCCAGGGTCGCATTGGGTAGTAATGTGTATTGTTACCAAAGAAAAGACAATCCTAGATTTTCTAGATTTTGTGTATGTTGGACACAAGCTTAGCATAGTGTGTCTTTATCCTAGTATATTTTTTGTACATACCATAAAACTTTGTAAAGAAGATGGGCTTCTTTTCAAGATTTGCTCTAAATGTCAATGTGTGCATATAGTAATGGCTATACAGGGACAAAATATATTCACTATGCCATACAAAGGTTGTTTTAAGGCACAAACTAAAGATTTAGTATGCTATTTGTGCACAGTATTAACATACCAACTCCCCCACCCCACACAGGTCGACACAGTATGCCAGGAAACGAGGAGCCATCTGAAGAGCAGGGTGATGAAATGATGGATATCCTCGTCAAGTCTGCCACCGCACCTAGCAACCGTCCACCTCGGGAACGCAAACGGACCAGGCATGGCAATAGAAAGTCATGTGAGTTACACGCTTGCTTGTATTATGTATGCACATGCAGTTAACATGACTTGATGAATATTGTGCTTAGCTACATATGACACACCCATGTAGAACACAATGTAACAAATTTAAAACATTACAAGCACTACCTTCATGTCATTAGTAAGCTACTTTCAGTTGGCTGAAAGGAATTGTTTATTACTATTGTTGTTATTATATGACATGCATACATGTTGAGTGTCTATAATTTTGTTTTTATGCGATTGAATATGTGAACATTTTGCCTCATGTGCAAACTTTTCCATCAACAATGAGTCTGCATATGAATTGAAACTTCTTCGATGATCTGCAAATTCCTGTGTTTCGTTTCTAAATATGTTCCATTCTTTATTTTTCTATTTTCTTTGTATTCCCTATTTATCTTTGTTTGGAAGACAATACGCAGTCATTGATCATTTACAACGTATGGTTATACAGTGTTCATCGTTTGTGAATACTGTCCATGATTGTGATGGTGTATTTGTTTGTCAAACAAGTTAATTGGCAACTAATTATACTGGTTTGGCTATACATAATTTGCTGCTTTTATTTATCTGCTAAATTTCAATGTTGCGTGTGCATTTGTAGCTGATTATTGTGGTTATTTGATTGAAAAAATGATATAAAACTGCGAAAACAATTGAAATGTTCAAATAATCATTACATGACATCTGAGTAGAATTAGACGTTTGCTCAGTAATTTAAGATGTAATTGCTATATCTGCAGTGGATTTTCTAATTTTGTTTGTCGAGTACTTGAAGTATTATCATTGGTTTGTTTTAAGCTGGCATCAGTTAAGTGCATGTATTGGGTGTCACGTCAACAAACACATCTTCTAACAATTCATTTTTAATAAAGCAATCTCTGAAACTTAAACATTGATTAAGTATTGATTGAACAAGAATTTTAATCTACAAATTTGGATTGCATATCAACATATATAAAAATATATGATCGAAAATAGGAATGTTATAATTGTATGAAAGATATAGCATTTCAGCAACGAAAAAATATTCGTCAGTAGTATAAAAAAACATCTCATCTTGCTATCAAGGCAAATGTTATACTAATAGACAACAGACCACAGAGACCTGCCATAGATGGAGATCTTATATCCAGTTTCCTTTTCCCATACAAATGACTTGTGAATATATGTAATATTATTATTATTTTAATAATAATTATTATTGTTTTGCTAAATAAATGCAAAAAAATGTAGACCTATTGGAGGTAAGCTTCCATCTAGTTTATCCATGGAGGAAATATATTAATATATTATTATATATAATATAATATATTTCATTCATGGTTTATCTAAACACCATTCTTTCATATCTTCTTAATTGGACTAGCAGCATTACACTGCAACCACTGTGCCATAGAACCAGACCCTGTGAAAAAAAGGGAGAAAAAATCAGAACAAAAACAATGGCTTTTCTACAGGTGCAGAAAAGCCAAATATATATGATAATAATAATAATAATAATAAATTAATAATAATAATCAAGAATAATATTTGATAACCTATTAAGTTTATTTAAGCTCTTTAGATAAGTATATTTAACCACTCCCTTTAGTGCACAAGTTTCAAAGCCTAATTTGTATAAAGATATCACTGATAGGTAGAAGATTTGCTGTTAACGAGCATGGTATTTGCATGGGTTTTGGATGAGCAATTTTTACAACAATTTATCACTTGCGGTAACAGTGGCACAAAACTCTAAACAAATATTTTGTTTACTTCTTGAGCAGATGAATTTGGGCATTTTACCTTGTAAGAAGAGACTGTATCACAATTGCAGGCTTGTGTAAGTAAATTGTGCAACAACATCGGCAACTTGATTTAGTGTGTTTGTATATAATATGCAATTTATTTACCAGTTTTTGCCGATCAATTTTAATTGCTTTTATGGGGTATAAGACAAGATAAGATAACTTTATTGTCCAATATAAAAAATAGAAATTTGTTTCCTTTTTGGCATTATAAGACATATAAACAGATAAAAATAAATAAAAACACATGAAAGTACAAGATGAGATAAAACAATTTAAAAATACATGATAGAGAGAGCATGTGATTCTCAGGCGTAAATTCCACCGTTTACCACAAATATAAAACAATTAAAAAAAAAAAAAAATTTTAAATACAATAAAATGACAAAATTAAAACCCAGTGCAAGATTCTTTTTTTTTTGTCTTTCGTGGGTGACCTTTATTCTCTCTTTTTTCATTGTTTTCATTTTTCCAATAACTCTTGTTCAAGGTACAATAAACATTATGTTCAGAAATACAAAATTACAAATAATTTCTGAAAACCAGACTAATGAGACTACTATGCTGCTGCTGTTAGCATTGTTGGAGTACGTTGTTGCCAGCCAGAAGATGATAATGGTGGTACAGCACAACAACGCTGGCTGATGCCTACGTTACGTAATCGTGTCCTGGTAATCTGAGCCGACTTTACCGTTAAGCAAGTTAATTTACCATTTTCTAGTGAAGTTAAGTCACTTAACTTTAAGTGACTTACGCCTTTATCTAGCTATAATTGAGTGGTTCACGTCAAACTTTTAACTAGTTAAGTGGATCTATATCTAGATAAAAGTTCAATGTGAACCAGGCTTTTGAATAACTGATTGATAAGATAAATGAAGAATTGTTCTATCTACTTTGAATTGCTTAAGCTTCCTTATAAAGTACAGTCGTTGGTTTGCTTTACATTGACAAACTTCAGTTTGTTTCTTCCAATTAAGTTTGTTGTCTATAATTGTACCTAAGTATTTGTACTCATCCACTTGTTTACAAGCTCGTCATGATTAGTGTGTGGCATTAGGGCATTGAGTTTTTTACGGCTCATTTCCTTAGTTTTTTTAAATATTTATAGCAGGGGTCTTGTAGCCTTATATAATAATAGTAGACCCCGACTTATAAGTAGGGTTGCTTAGCCTCATATATAATACACTAAATTAAATGCAATTCAAGAATATGATTAAAGTGATGCAGATATTAGACTATTTATAGATATTTGATAAATGGGATTGTTAAAGGGATCAATTGTTTAAAATCTTGCGGTTTATATGAATCTGATTTATTTCTCTTAATTCATATTTACATATCAACATTTAAGGAAAATTACTTCTATATTGAGTATTTACCTAAACTCATATGCAAACATCAACAAAGAGAGCAAGAATCAATGCTGGCAAAAATCAATTTCTAACTCCCCTTGGGCAACATTGCAATAACTGGTGGGGGATTGCTAGGAATTTCAGTGGAAATATTGACAAGGTTGGTTGATATCAAGTTTAAGATAAACACCATCAGATATTCAAGTCACTCTGATGAACTTCACGACCCATTTATGATCCCTGATTTCGTTTCATTGGCAAGTAGCAGTTTGATGACGTATAGTTTTAGACTCCAAAGTGCACCAGATTTGGATCAACCCAATATCTAATTTGAAAATAAACCTACGCAGCCTACAGGCACATCCGCTGCTGAAGAAAATCATTATTGTCATAGTCAATGGTTGATATATGATTCCTAGCAATTTCATATTAGTACGGCCAATATCATTATTGTCATAGTCTACCAAGAGACAGCTCAATTAAACTTCAATTTAGTAGATAAATATGTTAATAAACACATAAAGTGTGCAGTTATTTTTCAATAAAGATGTGTAGTGTAGTAGCACTTGTTATTCATTAATTTAGTTTCCTCAACAATAAAAACACAATAGCACATATACTAGGACCTGTTTGCCATTGCTGATGATTTTAAGACATTTTATTGGAATTGTATTTTGTGTGGGTGTGTTGGTGGAGGGAAACAAGATCTTATTTTGTTCTTATTGATAAAATTAAATACAGAAATATTTCATGTAGGCTGCTCAATTTGACAATAATCTATACTATATTGAATATATCTGGGGTGATTTTACTACAGTGTACAACCGATGGAATATTTAATTTCTAGGCCAGACTATGCACACACACAGCGAACCTAACAAATCTCACTCAACAGCACTCGAGTGAAGCCTTGACCGTTCTAGGCATGGCCTAGAAAAGCATAATGGTTATGATATAACACGTTGATTTATAAAAGAACTGAAAAAAATAAGGCAACACTGAAATAATTCATAATAATTTTTAGAATACATTTTTAGATTAAACAAATATCCATCAGGATGTTAGGCCTACCAATAACCCCCAATAAATTTCATTAACCACAATTAATTTTTTTATCTCCGTATTGCCAAGTATCGCGAAGAACTGTGCGAAGAGTGTCAGTGAGCGTAATACTTGGTACTACTAAGAAATCATTCTAATACACACAGCTAATTTCACATGCAATTTCCAGATCTTTGTGTTTTCTGAGCTTATCATACTCTTTGACCGATATGTTGGTATCTCTGGGTACTACCATGTCGATGATAATACAAGTTCCTGCTTTTTGATCTTTCATAACAGTGTCAGGTTTATTGGCTTTGATGTTGCGATCAGTATGGATTGTAAAATCCTTGGCATGTGACTTCATGAGGTTGGTGATCGTACCATTTTTTGGCTACCTTGATGTTAATAGTGTCTGCATACATTCCAATATATATAATACCTAGCCGATCATGCTGTGCCTTGCGTATTCCTTTGGCATTGAGACCGGAAAACAGGCTATAAGGTGGTATATTATCTCATCTGAACTCTTGCAGATGCGGCAGAGAGGGTCAGTACTGTCTCTCATTAATGTAGCTTTATTGATATTATTGATAGTTTTATGTTACTAAAACCTACTTAGACAATGGAAAAATTAGAGAACAATTTATAAAAAAAACAATGTTAATGGGAAAATAACACAAAGGATATTCCCCCTAAGTCAGACTTAGCGCATATTGTTATTATTGTTATTGTTATTATTATCATTATTATTATTATTATTATTGATAAAAAAATTCCATCTGAACTTGTTGATGTAAGATAGATGTAGATAAATTAGACCAAAAAAATAGGCTAAAATACTTTTTTTAGGGTTTTGGCTTGAAATTCAAGTAACAATATAGCACCTCATTCTGAACAAGGCTTGAGTTTCAAGCCAAAATATAAAAGCAAGTATTTTTTTGCTATTATTATTGTCTAATTTAAAGAAATTTACATCCATATTTAAGACTTGATTTTAAATTATCATCATAATTATTATTACTATTATTGTTATTGTTGTTATTATCAAGTTAATTAAACATACATTAAGGAGAATTTAGACTAAGGAGAAATTAGAGAAGAATTTTAAAAAATGACGTTAAGGGGAAAATAACACAAAGGGTATTCCACTTTAATCCGACTTAGCACATATTATTATTATTATTATTATTATTATTATTATTATTATTATTATTATTATTATTATTATTATTATTGTTATTATTATTGTTATTATTATTATTGTTGTTATTATTGTTGTTGTTATTGTTATTATTATTATTATTGTTATTATTATTATTATTATTATTACATTTGTTACTGTTATTGTTTTATTATTATTGCTATTATTTAAATATATTTTTATTATTACCTTATCTTATGATCTAGCAGTCCAATGCATGGCATATCACTTCTCCAAAGCCTTCCATTTGTTCCTATTCCAATTGCTTATTCCTGCTTTAATTATCATTATCCATGAGTGTCAGCATTCTCAATATATTAAAAACCAAAGTATTAGCTTTATCTTAGAATGCTGGTTTTATCACTAAATTACTTATAATTTATGTACCAGTGTTCACTGAAATGTCTTTTAGTGTATAATTTTGGTGATAGATATTTGCTTCAAACTAACTTGTAAGTGCCTGTTTTAATTAGATAAATCATGTTAAGACTTGTATAATGTGGGAAGTTCTCATTAGCTCACCCATAAATATAATTCTAAATGCTAATTGAGTTTCTCTAACAAATACAATTCTTTAGTAAATATACAAATATACATACAAATTCTCTCGCTAATGCAGTGTGTGAATATCTCATTCACTTACTGCTTCTCGTGTTATTAGAAATGAAAAATGCAGCAATGATGACATGATATGCATTCAATCAGAGAAAACAAAATTTTTTCTGGATCCCAGCGACGCTATGCCATTAAATTATACACTGCTTTCATTATTCCATAATTAAAGTAACAAACATTTCTTGCTCTCATCAAAAAGGAAAATTCACCATCGTTGATTAGATATTGATCGCTGCTCTATTAACACCAGACCTCCAAACTTTATTCATGTAAATTTTCAGTGGTTTCAGTATATATTGCTCTTTCTTTTTCCGATATATTCCAAGGTTGATTGTACGGTTGGAAATATTAAAATAAAAGTCTTTTTTAAAAACATTCTGCTTAAGTTATTTATTTTAGTACTTATAAATATTCATTCTGACTGAATTAGGAATTGAAATTTGACTTGATATGTGACCTTTTATTTAATTTCTTTTATTTGTTTTTTAGTTATTTAAAAGGAGTTGCTCAAACTAATGGTAAGGTAGTATCTGATGCGGATCTGTGTTCAAAATGAAGCCCACCAATCTCTAATTTAGCCAAAACTGCCCTTAATTGTCCTTCTAATGATGTCTTTAAAACCGGCATGGTAGTGGCCTTTCAAGTGGATTTGTCTGCTGCTTTTGACATCACTAACCATTCTGTTTTATTAGTATAAGTGCACCATGTAAATCGCCCTGAAAAGAACCATAGAGTGTTAAGAATATTGATTGCTCTGATTGCCTTCAGAAGAAACAATTCACCTACTTGACATCTGTGTGTTGAAGATATGTAAATTTTTCTTCCTGAAAAGAGCAGAAAGGAGTTGACTTCATGTTTCAAATAGATTTCTCTTATCATCCTCAGAAACCTGTTTTCTTTTAAAATTGTTATCTATGATTTTGCTGTTTTTAATTTAATGATTTTTTTTAGCAGTTACTTTTTATTCCTTCTCCAAAGAATTTGTGTTCATCAATGGATGTACTATGTCCTCTTCTTTCCATACTATATTTTCCCACAATTTTAAGTTTTACTTTGTGTAGATGATACTGTATACAATTTCTTTTCACTCTGTCCTCTTCAAAGTTGAAACTTTAGATATATTCCAGTGCTACATAATATTGTAATATAGATGACTTACAATATGCACCAATTTGTCCCAATTTTTAAAAATATATTTCCAGCCACTAATCCCCAATCCCATCCCTCTGTAAATGCCAAATTACCTGTGCATCTGTGCATCTGTCTGTAGTTTTAGGTGATCTGATGTTATCATCATTTGATAAACACGGCCACAATATATACATGCTTTAATGTATTTTTATTCTTGTCTATAAGCCATGAAAAACTCGCAACTATGGCTGAAACAGTGTAAACCACTTTACAGCCCATTGACAGTGCAGGCCGGAGTATCTATGAATGGCCGGCCAAGAATGGTCAGAGTGTGGCTCATACTCTTGACTATGAGATTCAAAACCTGATTAGAAAACGCTGTGACATGAGTCTTGATGAATCACTCATATTTATTCTTCATGGTTGAAAATCAATTTTACGTCTATTCGCAACCTTCTGAAAATTTTATTTTATCCTACTTAAATTATTGTTTAGTAGTTTGCCTGAATGCTCAAATGTTTGTAGCCCAAATTTGTCTGTTCACCCAAAAAAGGATACATTTTAACCTATAATATGAAAGGTGTGTGGTATATTGTAGATTTTAATAAAAGCCCACCCCCTACTTTACACCCAATTTTACGTACCAACCTTTTCTCTGGTAAAAGCCCAGGGTATAATATGAATGATTAAATTATACCCAATTACGAATGAGTAACTTACACACATGTAACAAGCTGCATGTGAATGCCACAATCTCGGTGAAGTTTCTAGTGAAATCTCATTATCTAGTAACAACTTGTTACCGGCCTCGAAGTGACCTTTAAAGATTACGATTTGTTACAGCGCATTCTCAATGATTTTTGGGCGAGAGGAAGCTCCCCTCGACACGATAAATGTGGCGAAAAAGGTGCACCCAAATTCTAAATAGACCACAATCAAGTTTTATGAGCTTGTTAAAAAAAAAGATGAAAATGGCGGAAAAATGTATTATCTGGACTGCTAGTCGAATATTACAGCAATGTTGGTAAGGTCCAAGAATTAGGCTAGCTAGGCCTATGCCTAGCCTAGCCTAGGGTAGGAATTTCCTGCTGGCCAAGTTGGCCAAGCAAAACGGCAATAGAATCAGGCATACTCTAGCCTCCTAGGCCTGCTAAAGGTGCCTAGGGACTAGCGCTGTTTGTGATCTGTTTGTTCTAGAACCCTGTATAGCACTATAAACAATTTTATAATGTACATAGGCCTGTCTATCCTTTGATTTAATTGTTCGTGATATTTCTTCCGATATATATCATAGTTCGAGAATGTACATGTGTAAATGACCTGGGAGATTGTGTTACATCTTTTTAACACTTGTTACATTTGGTGTATGTGTGAATTGGGTGTTTCAAATCAAATACTGGCTTTGAGTTAGGCATGTAGTGTTTTCAAATGGGGGTGGGGGTGGAACAACATCTATTTTAAGGGTAATGAAATCTATATGCCACGATATGAGATGTGCTAAAATATGGCTAATTAAATCTATACAGTATGTACTCTAATATTGAATAACGAATGAATGTGGGCCCAAAATTAGTTATGACGTCAACTTGGGAGAAAGCAATTTTAAGTATAGAACTTCTTGAGAATAAAGAATTTGATGGATAGTTTGAAGTATTTTGTAAAGGAATTTGATTTTACTAAAATTTTGATAATACACACTCTGAGCAGCTAATAAGAATTTCTGAAATCTTGTTGGCATTTTGTTGAGGGTTTATTAAATGCAATTTTAGGATTATCATGTTTACAGTGAATTTGTAAAGATTAACTGAATGTATGTCAAACCTAAATTTGCAACATAGTTTTTACAGAGCTAGGAAAAGTTATTGTAATAAGGAGAGGCTAAAATAGAATTTGGCTTTTAATAAGAAGAATAAAGATGCAATGAATAACTTTAACATAATATTGGATTCAGTAAATTTAAACTGTAAAATTATCAAAATCAATTCCTGTTTAATCCTACAATAACGTGTATTTCTTGGAGTGTATATTATGATACTACCAGTAATACAATCTACTCAATATTCAGTCATTAAAAGATTTTTTTTCTGTATGACTGGAGCAATGGAAGCATATATGTCATGGAAAAGATTGGCACAATGGTTGCAGTTTGAGTTCTCAACCTTCAGGTCAGGATTTTTCCTTGCAATGTCCACCATGTTTCCACAAGCGGGGAATCGGCTAATTTTTAGTTTCAGTGGTCAGAGTCTGTAATGACTTATCTTTAAATTTCACGAAAAATCCAAGTCTGTGTAACCTTTAAATCTCATTTGAAACCATTTTTATTTACCAGTACATTTTATTACTTACAATCGTAGTCGCTTGCTTCATTTTTCTTACAAGTGGGCCATTCTGTTCTGTTGAACTTCTCTTAAGGCCTATATATATACTTGCAATTATAACAATAAAAAGTTAAAATATATTGTTCATATAGAAAATAAAAGACAGAAGTTTTTTTACAGTAGGACAACTTATCGTGTATACAATAAAAAATTATTTCACAAGTCAATTCAAATGACGTCATAATCATGGAAAAACAGTAAAATCGTAGTAGTAACGATTTTGTTTTGTTTTTTATTATTATTATGACGTCATTTGAATTGACTTGTCAAAACGTTTTGTTATCGTATACATGAAAAATCTTTATCGAATGTCCTACTATAAAAACTTATTTCTTTTATTTTCTGTATGAAGAATTGCTTTTTAGCTTTTCATCATCATCATTATCGTTGCAAGTATAAACAGGCCCTTTATCACAAATGCAGATGGTGCTGCAGTTTAGCACACAGTTTCCATATTCTTACACATGACATTAAGTTCTTTATACAAATATTATTGAGTGGCCTGACCACTGCCGACCAGCGTAGTGAAAACTTTGCCTTAAGCAATGGAAGAGTTTCAAGTTGTAACTGAATGTATTACGCAGGTGGGAGTGCTGCAAGATGTAACTAATGTATTAAGCTGGTGAAAGTGTTGAATGCATTAGGCGAGTGGGAGTGTTGTAAGTTGTAATTGAGCACATTACAGTGGGAGTGTTGTAAGTTGTAACTTGTAACTAAATGTATTAATTAAGCCGGTGGGAGTGTTGCAAGTTGCAACTAAATGTATTAAGCTGGTGGGAGTGTTTCAAGTTGTAACTAAATGTATTAAGCTGGTGGGAGCATTGCAAGTATTAACTTATGGCCCGTTCGAGCGAAAAATATCTGTGCGATTTACCTGTTAATTCACCGGTACACACTTTCTAATACCGCTCGGACACTAGTCTAATTACCTTACCATCTGGATTATCCGCGACAATTTTGACCACCAAATTGCTGGGTAGAATACCGTGTATGGAATGACCATGGAGCCGGAGGTGATGATAAATCAACCTAATTGTTTTTCCAAATGTTTTGTCCACAGCCCAGCGCGAAATTCAATAGGTTACGGCCCAGGCGTGGTTGCAGCTCTCCTTCACCTCCTCACACATGCACGACAAAATCTTAATTTAGTAGCATAGCTATGGGATCGATTTGTAGATTTACTATTATTCGGAGAAATAAACTTGAATAAACTAGCCTACGTACAGATTTTAAAGCAGCCATTATAAGTTATTGAGCTACATTATCGTTCCACCGTTATAGTTATAGCAGCAGTAGCAAGTAAACAAAGAATGGGTTGTTGACCATGGGATAAGTTGAAATTTACTTCTGGAGTGGTTTCGTTACACGTATTTACCGTGAGCTAAAACTTGCTCGAACGGTCGACCACCCGCGGAGTGCTCAGTGCGATTACCCAGTGAAATAAACGGAATACGGTTGGCGTTTTTGCTCGAACAGGCCCTAAATGTATTAAGCTGGTGGGAGTGTTTCAAGTTATTATTATTATTATTATTATTATTATTATTATTATTATTATTATTATTTTTATTATTGTTATTATTATTATTATTATTATTATTATTAAAAAGCATTTATATAGCGCCTTTACAAAAAAGATCAAAGCGCTGTACATCAAAAACCATTATGACAAAGATAAAAAATAAGTAAGTTGTAACTTCATGCATCAGGCCTTCTATTTTTGCGGAGTACTTTACTCCTGTTACATTACTATTGTGAGTTTACCTAATAGCAGAAAAAAATCATGTTAAGCTAAGATATTAATCGTGTTCCCTTTGCTTGTATTTTTATGAGTTTTTGTTTTTCTGTCTACAGTACGTCGAACATTAAAGGGTGGTTTATCAGAAGAGGAAGCAAAAGCACTTGGAATTGTATCTAAACATGAAACTATGAAGGTCTAGGTACATGGATGCCAAGAAAACTGCATCAGTGCGATAAATGACACCAGAACAAATTTCATGTTACAGGGTAATGTTTGGTACTAATATTAAGTGAACTTAAATGAATATTTGAGTTGGATGTAGATGAAAGGATGTAAAGGGTTGTCCACGTAAACACTGCAAATGCATATTGCAGAAACTTAAATCACATCTACTGTTACCAAAATATATTGCATCATAGATGTTAGATAAATGAAAAAATATATAGTTATAATGCACTGTTATAAATCCTATTGAATTTTGTGTATTGCAGCACACCGTAGGTTTTCTGTTTCCTATACAGCTTCCTGTTTTTATGTAATAAAAAATTATGATTAAGTATTACTAGAGTTGTTGGCAAATTTATGGAATATTTTATTGTAATTTTGTTGTTCTTCCAATAATTATTGTTTGCTTATTTCTTTTATTGATCCATCAAGATATGAGAACAATGATTTAAAGAGAACTCTTTACATTGATTCAGTGTCTTCAACATCTTTGATGAAAAACAACTACAACATATCTGTTTTGATGAAACTATTTGTTTGTTTTTAGTTATTGTTTAAATAATCATGGAGGAAAGTTCTTTCGTCATGAAATAATCATGGAGTTAAGTTCCTATTTAAAACCCGCCTAGTATGGTCATGGATATACAAGTGAACAGATGTCATTTTGGACTTACTGTGGTGCAATAGG